AGCTTACATATGAGACCGAAAGTGACATTTTCTAAACCGGAAGTAGTCAATTATCTCCCTTTTTACAGGCAAAAGTATATATAAACCATATATTTTTGGAATCAGTGTAAATAAATCTATCATATGAGACCGGAAGTGACATTTTCTAAACGGGAAGTAGCCAATTATCTCCCTTTTTACAGGCAAAAGTATATATAAACCATATATTTTTGGAATCAGTGTAAATAAAGCTATCATATGAGACCGGAAGTGACATTTTCTAAACCGGAAGTTGACAATTATCTCCCTTATTTCAGGCAAAAGTCTATAGAAACCGCATGTTTATTGAATCAGTATGAAGAAACCTATGATTGGACGCCAATAGTAGCTTTGAGTAAACCAGAATTAGCTTCTCATCAATTATTTAGAAAGTTGACCTTCAATTGTTCTTTGAACAATTGGTTTTTAATTATTATTTTTTTTTTCTTCTTCCGCCACTTTTTTCTGACGGTGCTTTTTAGTTTCGCAAGATGTCGCTTAGATTTTTTGTGTATGATATCGAACAGTTTTTACGATTTTGAAACCGACCCTGTTAATCCGAACACTTTTTATTGTAAGAGTTATCTCCCCAAACACTGTTTTTCTTGTGTACAAATCTCCTTCGCAACCGATATAGATTACGACAAAATTATTTCACCATTTTGCTCGTTATATCTTCAGGATCTTAAAAATAATTTTGACCGAAGCGGTCCAGAGACTACATATGGGAGTTATTTCCCCTTTTGTATTTTTAATAAGAAAAATGTAGTTGTAGCTTGTAAACCATAAGTGATAAAGACCTAGGGTCTTTTGATTTGAGATCCTTGGTCCAAAAAAAAGAAAATAGGGTCAAGGTCAAAGGTCAAGGTCATTTCTAAATTTGGTTTTTGGCTTATTTTCACCACTTTTTAAACACGATATAAGATATCGACAACATATTTTTACTTAATTGTTAGTTGCAACATGTCGTAACACAAACATATTGGTTTAAAGGGTGCGCTTACATCAAATTAGGGTTTCTCCCCTCTTTATTTAAAAAATATGCATATGGTGATATAACTCATGTACCAAATATAATTAAGATCTAGGGTCTTTTGATTTGAGGTCCTTGGTTGATGTCCTTGAAATTGAGCCCAAGGTCATAGGTTAAATTGACGTTCTAGATTTTGACCTTTGCTTTTACCTCATATGTATACATGATAAAGCCATGGGACTTTTTGCATTTAGTTGCAAGCCATATGACCTTGAAAAGGGAACCGGAAGTGACCCTGTGTAAACCGGAATTAGCTATTTTTTTATACTTTTTGAATGTAAAAGTATATAGAACCATATTTTTGGAATCAGTGTCAATTAAACAGTAAAATAATACTGGAAGTAACCTTTTTCAAACCGGTAGTAACAAATTATTTCCCTTATTTAAAAAATATTGTATAGAAAACATATATTTTTTGAATCAGCGTACTATAAGCTATCATTTGACGCTGTTAATGACATTTTAAACCGAATGTTTACTATTTTCATATCAAAATACTTGTTTGTTTTGTGGAAAGACCTTCAATTGTTCTCTGAACAATTGGTTTTTAATTTTTTTTTTTTCTTCCGCCAAATTTTGTTCTTGCGATAAATATTTGTTTCGCAATATGTCGCTTAGATATTTCTCATATTGTATCGTATAGTTTATGCGCTTTTAAATTTTACCCTGCTAAGCCGAACAATTATCTTTGTAAGAGTTATCTCCCTATTCACTGTTTATCAAGTGTGTGCATCTCCTTCGTAACAAAAAAAGATATCGACAAAATTCTTTTTCTAAATTGTTCGTTACATCCTCAGGAATTTTTGGCTAATTTGGATCGAAGCAATTCGATGAAATTTTATAGGAGTTATCTACCTTTATCAAATAAATTTGTCGTTATGTTTTTGTTACTCATAAACTGTAAGCCGTATAAACCTATAGTCTTTTTATTTAAGGTCCTTGGATCCTAACTTCGAAAATGAGGTCAAGGTCAAAGGTCAAGGTCATGTTCTGAATTTTGTCTTTTGCTTGTTTTTGCATTTTCTCCGATATTTTTAATGTTATATATTAAAGAACAAGTGCAAAATGTTTGTTATATTGTGATGAAGATATAATACATTTGGTCTGAGACAATCCAGCGACATCTTATTGGAGTTATTGCCCCTGAAATGTTTTATTTTAAGGTAAATTGATTATTACTTCATATTGGTACATGATAAAGCCATAAGATCTTTTGCAAAATGTTGGGTGACATATGACCTTGAAAAATGTCAACCGGAAGTGACCTTGAGTGAACCGGAAGTAGTCATTTTTGCACTTATTTCATGTAGAAGTACATAGAAACCATATATTTTTTGAATGGTCATACATTAATCTATCATTTGAGACCGGAAGTGATATTTTATAAACCGGAAGTAGCATATTATCTCCCTTATTACAGGCATAAGTATATATAAACCATATATTTTTGGAATCAGTGTAAATAAAACTATCAAATGAGACCGAAAGAGACATTTTCTAAACCGGAAGTAGCCAATTATCTCACTTTTTACAGGCAAAGTATATATAAACCATATATTTTTGGAATCAGTGTAAATAAATATATCATATGAGACCGGAAGTGACATTTTCTTAACCGGAAGTAGCCATTTATCTTCCTTTTTACAGGCAAAAGTATATATAAACCATATATTTTTGGAATCAGTGTAATTAAAGCTATCATATGAGACCGGAAGTGTTATTTTCTAAACCGGAAGTTGACAATTATCTCCCTTATTTCAGGCAAAAGTCTATAGAAACCATATGTTTATTGAATCAGTATGAAGAAACTTTTCCTTGTTATTTCATCTCCTCTGTCACTTTAAAAATTACAAATTAAAGAACTAGTGCAAAATGTTTGCTTAATTGTGATTAAGATATGATACATTTGGTCTGAAACAATCCAATGATATCTTATAGGAGTTATTGTCCCTGAAATAATTAAATTTAAGGTTAATTGATTATTACTCCAACTTGGTACATGATAAAGCCATAGGGTCTTTTGCAAACTGTTGGTTGACATATGACCTTGAAAAAATGAAACCGGAAGTGACTTTGAGTGAACCGGAAGTAGTATTTTTTGCACTTATTTCATGGAAAAGTACCTAGAAACCATATATTTTTTGAATGATCATAAGTTAACCTATCATTTGAGACCGGAAATGACTTTTTATAAACCGGAAGTAGCATATTATCTCCCTTATTACAGGCAAAAGTATATATAAACCATTTATTTTTGGAATCAGTGTAAATAAATCTATCATATGAGACAGGAAGTGACATTTTCTAAACCGGAAGTAGCCAATTATCTCCCTTTTTACCGGCAAAAGTATATATAAACCATATATTTTTGGAATCAGTGTAAATAAAGCTTTCATATGAGACCGAAAGTGACATTTTCTAAACCGGAAGTAGTCAATTATCTCCCTTTTTACAGGCAAAAGTATATATAAACCATGTATTTTTGGAATCAGTGTAAATAAATCTATCATATGAGACCGGAAGTTACATTTTCTAAACCGGAAGTAGCCAATTATCTCCCTTTTTACAGGCAAAAGTATATATAAACCATATATTTTTGGAATCAGTGTAAATAAAGCTATCATATGAGACCGGAAGTGACATTTTCTTAACCGGTAGTTGACAATTATCTCCCTTATTTCGGGCAAAAGTCTATAGAAACCATATGTTTATTGAATCAGTATGAAGAAACCTATGATTGGACGCCAATAGTAGCTTTGAGTAAACCAGAATTAGCTTTTCATCAATTATTTAGAAAATTGATGTGGAAAGACCTTGAATTGTTCTTTGAACAATTGGTTTTTAATTGTTTATTGGTTTTATGTATGGCTTTCATTGTTACATGTATTGTGTTATTATGAAAAATTATTTAAAAATTGTATGGACCAAAATTCTAAATACACAGTAAGATTAAGCATATCAAAGAACCCCAATATTTCAAGATTATTTAAACCCCATTGAAATTGGTTAGAAATAAACAATTCAAATAAAGTTAAAAAATTGCTTGTTTTTTACCCCTTTTTGGCCCTTAATTCCGAAATGGTTAGGACTATAATCCCATATTCAGTCCAACCCATTCCTTTTGTGGTAAAGAACCTTGTGGTACAATTTCATAGAAATCCATACACTTTACTCGCTTTTGTCTGGAAAACAAATGTCTTCGGATGACAATGACGGCATGGCCATACCATTATATGGCCGCAAACTTTTGTGGTCGTATAAAAAGTGTATGATGCATGTTGAAATGTTGAAATGTAATCTGACATTAACATTTGTTTGTCAATCAAATATCTTGCAATCACAATGTGTCCACAAGGGAAAGTAAAGTTAAATAGATGTATATTAAAAGTCAGCGTGGACTTATTTATTAGCTTAATGTAGTACTTATCTACTGTTAAAGCACTTCGAAAGAAGATTTCAGCCAATGAAATAAATGTACTCATTGAAAACGGATTAAAAATTCAAAATCTATGTGTTAACTTTTGATTAAATTTGATGTAAGATTTCAACAAGTATATTTATTTCATTGGCTGACATCTTCTTTCGTTATTTTTTCTTGGATATTAATTTTCATGGATTCAGGAAAAATTGTATATTCTAGACTAGATTTTGTGTTTTTTTCCCCAAAATTCTGCATAAAAGCTGAAAGAAAATTTGTATTTTGTTGCACATTTGAATTTGTGATTGAAATTTTACACCTGCAATCCATGAAAATTTGTACCTCACAAATAATAATGAATTCCCAGTATTCCCTACAGACCTACATGAATGTGTTCTTAAAAAGAAAAGATATTAAACTTCACAAAAATACCCAAGTATTCTATATATTAAAATGTCTAAAATTCAGGTATAAAAGGGAATCTTTTTTAACATCACTTTCACACTGCAAGATTTAAGAATGTTAACTTACTTGAGGTATCTTTGATAAAACATTTCTGACTGTTAAATGAAGTGTATTCTGTACTGAAGGGGAGAAGACTCCAGTTGTTGCTGGTCCTGCAAATGTATCTAGAACAATACCTTTAATACCTTCCCTGAAAAAACGCAATGACTAATTTTGGACTATAATTTTTATTGGCAAAAATAAATCAAGAGTTTGGTAGCTCTAAGGGAAAGATGGTTCATTGTTAATTTTTGATATTAGTATTCTTCCTTTTCCAAAACAATTGAACTGAAACAGAGTAGAAATAAAAGATATTTTGACCTTACCAGGTATATTTCTGGTAAAGATCTTATGTTATTGTAACAACAACATTTATAACATCAAATCATCCGAGCAGATTTGGAATAAATTGCTGGATTGTCACAATTCAACTTGTAATCCCATACAGTGCTGTGTTGTCATTACTTATAATGCTGCTTAAATTCAATGCTTTTTATACCATCACCAGGATTTTTACGTCAATGCTGTCAGACATGTAATTCTTCTAGTGGGAGAAGAAAATCCTTTTCTGATTTGAAGACCCTCTTCCATAACTTTCAGACAAAATTAATAATCGTCCTGCTTCTAACTTTATTACAATTCAAATTACCCTAAAAAATTTGTTGATCCACATTTTTTGTTTTGACTTTGCTGTCATCATTTCTGTTTATCTATTCTGTGTCACAGATGAATAGGTGATGGTAATGAAGGGCTAAGTACCAGTTAATTACTGAAGGTGTTTATGTTTGTACATCAATTAACAGTTATTGACAATTAACTTGTGATCAACAAGGTAGTTTATGACACATATTAAAATCAGAAAAAGTGAAAAACAACAATTGAAGTAGTTAACAACAACTCATTGATCTTTGATGCTGTTGAAAATTTTGATGATGATATGATGATGATGATAATGATGATGATGATGATAATGATGATGATGACGAAGATGATGATGAATGGCTGCTCAACATCCAGCAGCAAATAAATATGCATATTCAGGACGACAACATGTTAATGTAATATGAATAGTAGCCCTGCTTTGTAACAGACTGACACACTGAGCCGGATTTTTTACATGCTAGTTCACAAGGTAACAGTCCGCAGGAAGACATGTCACCTTACCTGGACACCTTATTCTGACTCCGAGCCGACCAGTCTTTGCTCTAACTCCTTAATGCTGCCTGCTTAGTGCAGAAGCAACAAATACCAATTTTAAAGTCTTTGGTTTGACCCCACCAGGGTTTGAAACCCACCCGCACTTGAGGCGACATGCTACCACGAAACCTCTGAGGCAGTGATTTGAAAATTTTGAAATGAACATCATATAAGTATGAAACAGTGATACATCAGGGCCATTTTCAGATATGGTCCAGCAACTCATTTCACAAAATATCTGATGACAGAAAATACTCATAAGTCATGAACATTTCAGTATAACTTATGTGATCAATTTTTATCATAAGATTTTTTGTGAAAAGAGCCCTAGCTGCGTAATGTGGCACATGTCCTTTTTATTGGGCAAACCTTGCCTATTAACAGGATACAATTTACAAATACTAACTGTTAATTTACTTCTAGTTTGTCAGCAAATTTAAAGAGCAAACAAATTAATTTGAAAATTTAAATTGATTCATTTGACAGCTCTGTTGTCATACTGTCTTCTAACTTCTGTTACCTCACCCTAAGATAATGAATCTGTACTTTGCAAAAATGTTTGTGAGTAAACACTTAGTTACTTCCCTTGTCTTACTATTTTTTAAACAGCACTCCTTGAAATATGACTAAAAGCAAATCAAATGCACAGTTATTCAAGAATGTCAGAACTTAAAATAGTTTTTTGAATTCTATACATAAAGAAATTATACAACCATACAATTTTTTACTACAGAACTATAATGTCACAACAACTTACCACACCTTAGTGAAGTCTACACCGTTTACTGAATTATACCACCACCAAGAATCTACAACAGTGCAAAATAATCTATCATCTGCATCAGGCAATGTCCTAAATTCATCATTAACAAACTTTCTAAATGCAGACTGTGTTGTTTTCATGATCCTCATCTCTTTAAGTCCTGATCTCAACATTGGTATTCCTTTAAAATATAATAAGATTTACTGGTTAATTACTGTGGACTGATTTTTTTCCCATGGGTATCAGTTTCAGTGGATTGAGAAATCAAGATTGCATTTCATTACAAAAACACAAATCTTTTATGGGCTAAAGTAAATAAAATGCTCACTGTCATTATCAAGAAATGCCTAGCAACACTTCATATAAAAAGAAGGAGATGCTGTATGATTGCTCAAGAGACAATTATCCACAGGAGACAGAAGGACGAGAATATAAACAACTATAGGTCACCATACAACCATTAACAATGAGCAAAACCTAAGCAATAAAGTAAGCAATACACCTTATCGCTATTTGTCTGCCATTACTGGACATCACAAAGGTTCCCGTAAAATTTTGACGTCATAATAGAAAATATCTGACGCCACAATGGAAAAGTGATTGTTGTACGACGTCAATAGTTCATTAGGAGCAGATTCTTGGGTCAAGCTGCGCAGATTTCCAAATAGCGATAAGGTCTATAATAGGCCCGAGATTGACAAAATGTGAAACAATTCAAATGAGAATATAGACGACCTGATTTATGCTAAATACTATAAATAAATACAATATGGTGACAGCAATCAATGACAAGCACTGAATAACAGGCACCTGAAATTCCAGGAAACATCTACCGGTATATATCAATTTTTTTCAAAAGGACTATTAGTACATATTTGTATAAATGGACAATGAATTTATGTGTGTCCTTCATCCCATTTTCAAGGCACACAAGGTACAGGAAATTTGTAAGCAATCTGGTAAATGGAAAAAAATTCAATTTGTATCTTCCAAATTTCATTAAAGACTCATTTTTCAATCTTTTTGAACAAAATGACCCTTTAACCATAATAAGAGAATTTTTTTGTTTAATTAACATTTTAATTGGATATGCAAGTGTTAGCAACACAAAGGTATCATTAATGAGTAATGAAAACATTTCTAAAAATTTATGAAGAGTTTTATTTATACCTCCCCTTTCCTGGGTTACTTCACACCTTCTAATGGCCTCCTTACTGAAGAAAAAGGCATGTGCATGTTCCTGTCCATCCTGTCAAAATAAATTAAATGTCACAAAATTATTGTTGTAGTTTTTAATGAAAATGTTAACAAATTGCAAAAATGTTTCCATATCCTTTTTACTGTTCATTTCTAATATTTATAATATTTAATGGCTCAACTATTTGAGTGTGTAGTTTGCATATGGAACCTTATTCTTTATTATTTCTTTTTAATTTATTCACAACCTGTTTAAACTGTTCTTATAACCAACCTTTTGATACCTTGTTCAATTATCTGATCATGTGCACAATCAGCTAATAATGATGACAATTGCAGCAAAGATGTATTGGTTTTACAGCCCACCTGAAAAGCAAGGAAACTTGCACCAAGTGTTGTTTATAATGGTTTGTATTTGATTGTATGTCTGTTTATTGGGGGAATCTGTCCTTAATGGATGATGTGGTCTGTTAAACTGTGAAGTATTTTTGGTGCTACCCGTTCTCTCTTTTTATGTATAAATAACTTCAGTGTTCTTTGTACACACCCAAATAGATGAACTGTAAAACCAAAAGTTGCTCAGACTTAAGAGGGGTGGTAGACGGAGTTGTCGTCCCACATTCCCACAAAAATAAATGCTGAATCCTGAATTCCTGAAAAAATAAAGCTTTTTTTCCCAGATCTCAAAAAATCAATCATTTATTCCTGATTCCCAATAAGTGTAAATCAATCAAAAAAAAAGACCCAATCCAATGTCCTGAAAAAGGTCCTTCCATCCCTCTTATGAATATCATTTCATTTGCACACAGCTTTTTATTACATTTCCATGCATTCATTTACAGGTAAACACAGGTATATTCAGGATTCTGCATTTATTTTTCCTGGAATTCAGGATCACACACTCTCATACCCCTTCTTATAGGCAAATGAAATGGCAATGCACTGGTTTTAAGTGTGTCTCACAATCAGATTAATAAATTAAAACCATTGGTTTGCACCAATTTGATAATCAATCACCCCTAAAAAATAATTTCATGTGCCATGTTATATATATATATCAATTTACCACAGATATTCTTTTCCAAGGGGCTTCTTCAATATATATTTGAGTATTGGTAACATGACCATATTTCCTCAAAAAGTGGTCAGATATAATCAAAGCAAACTTCTCAATGCTCTCTATCTGAAAGAAAAAAAAAACATAAGACAAATGTAAGAAGATTTTTCGCTGATTTTATGTGCTTTCTATAGAAATGTTACCCATTTTGAAAGAAATCAATCAGTAGTATTTCAGAGAAAGGAAACGAAAAGTTCAGGAATTTTTCCATTTGTAAAGGGGCATAACTCTAGAACAGTTGAAGTGACGCCACCAAATTTGAAACTTGATCTATAGTGTGGTAATAAGCATTGTGTATAAGTTTCATAACATTTGGTTGAGGCAAACTAAAGTTAGAGAACGGAAACCAACTTTGGGACGTACATACGGACGTACAGATGGACAAGGGGTAAAACTTAATGCCCCCTCCGCTACGGCGGGGACATAAAAATTCAGAACTTCTTTAGATTCTGCACAATTTATAGCTTAGCGTATATGGCATACAAACACTTGTTTTTTGCTAGAAATTTTAAGTTGCCCATATGCCTTTTCTATGTTTATTGGTTGCTGTCTAAATGACAATTGTAAATATATCCTATATTTTCTTTTATCATGTTTATCCCTTTTTAAACTGTCATGGTGTGGAGATGTTGGTGAGGTGATTTTTGTTTAAGCTTACTTGCTTTGAACAGGTAGTTGTCAGCCAAATTCCCATCTGGGTCAAACCAAACACTTTAAAAATATTGGTATTCTCTGCTTCTCTACTAAACATTATCACAATTAGAGTACTTTTAAAAGAGCAAAGACCCAGCTCAAAGTAAGAATAATGTCTCATGGCAAGTTTGAATCTTCTATTGGACTGTCACCTTATGCTATAGTACATTATAAATCTTACTCACAGTGTTGACCTTGTACAACATAGAGAATGTTATCATTTATAACAACAACATAATTGCCTGATTATGCATGTTTTATTTGCCACTGTAAGTTAAACTAGCACCCATAAATCAATCAATTAATGTATATTCCTAAATTTCTATGTGCTTTTATTAATGTGATTGTTGAACAATGGAAAAATGACAGATGAATAATTAAGATTTCAGAAAATACCACAAACACATGTACAATTAATGCCATACAAATTTTAAATGTGACTTTTCATTTTTGTAAGACCTATCCTGTAACAGTCTTTGCATAAATAATCAAAGCACGAAAGCGCTGTAAAGGCAGTCAATTACAGGTTGTGTGTATTTTAAGTCCAGTTATATCATTATCTTGCATAGTACAGTGTACTTATCAGAGGTGGCTTTCAGTATTTAAGATTTAGAGTTCTCTAATGATATTGAATAAGTTTTATGAATGTCATATTCTGAGCACTATATGAAGGCGATTGTTCTCACTTGTTTATGAACTAGTGCATTATGTCCAGTTTGTACCTTTTTTATCTATGTTTATAGTCAAATTAGTTATCAAAGGTACCAGGATTATAATTTAATACGCCAGACGTGTGTTTCGTCTACATAAGACTCATCAGCGACGTTCAGATCAAAATAGTAACAAAGCCAAACAAGTACAAAGTTGAAGAGCATTGAGGACCCAAAATTCCCAAAAGTTGTGCCAAATACGGCTAAGGAAATCTATTCCTTGGATAAGAAAATCCTTAGTTTTTTCATTGGCAATCATAACACATCTCCTTATTTATATAATGATCTATATTCAACGACCTCAGGTACAAAAAAAATGTATGTAACTAAACTATGATGGGAAACCTTTGACTTCTTTCTTTATATAAACTTTTGATTTGGTACCATAGAACTATGTAGAGTAAATGTACATTGCAACATGTCAACTCTTTCAACTCCAAGCAAAATTATATTTCCAAGCATAAAGTAATTTATGAATGAAATAAAATGCTCCGCTGGGGCGCAGCTTGATACGACCGCAGAGGTCAAACCCTGAACAGTTGGGGCAAGTATGAACACAACATTCAAGCTTGATTCAGCACTGAATTTGGATTGTAATTAAATATTTGACACAGCATAGGTTTCTGACACAGAATGAAAGTGGTCTAAGATACTTAAAAAAATTTAATTTACCTATTCAAACCATATCATTATTATTTGCTTTTATATATAAATCAGAAATAACCAATTTAAAATGGAAAATTTTAAAGAAAAAAAGTTTGAACCCCCTTATGATTCATCACCCCAAAACTCAATCCCAGCCTTCCCTTTGTGGTATGGTACCTTGCAGTACAATTTCAGAGAGATCCATACACTTGAACACATGTTTTTGTCTGGAAACTAGAAAAATGCTTGTTTTTTGGCCCCTTTTTGGTCCCAAATTCCTAAACATTTAGGGCAATTACCCCCAAACTCAAAGCCAGCTTTCCCTTTGTGATATGGAACCTTGTAGTACAATTTCATAAAGATCCATACACTTACATACAAGTTATTGCCATGAAACTAGAAAAATGCTTGTTTTTTGCCCCTTTTTGGCCCCTAATTCCTAAAATTTGGAGGTAATTACCCCCAAAATCAATCCCAGCATTCCCTTTGTGATATGGAACCATGTGATACAATGTTAGAGAGATCCATAGACTTACACACAAGTTATTGTCATGAAACTAGAAAAATGCTTCTTTTTGGCCCCTAATTCCTAAAATTTGGAGGCAATTACCCCCAAAATCAATCCCAGCATTCCCTTTGTGGTATGGTACCTTGCAGTACAATTTCAGAGAGATCCATACACTTGAACACAAGTTATTGTCTGGAAACTAGAAAAATGCTTATTTTTTAGCCCCTTATTCCTAAACTTTTTGGGCAATTACCCCCAAACTCAATTCCAGCTTTCCCTTTGTGATATGGAACCTTGTAGTACAATTTCATAAAGATCCATACACTTACACACAAGTTATTGCCATGAAACTAGAAAAATGCTTGTTTTTTGCCCCTTTTTGGCCCCTAATTCCTAAAATTTGGAGGCAATTACCCCCAAATTCAATCCCAGCATTCCCTTTGTGATATGGAACCTTGTGATACAATGTCAGAGAGATCCATAGACTTGCACACAAGTTATTGTCATGAAACTAGAAAAATGCTTGTTTTTTTCCCCTTTTTGGCCCCTAATTCCTAAAATTTGGAGGCAATTACCCCCAAAAATCAATCCCACCATTCCCTTTGTGATATGGAACCTTGTGGTACAATGTCAGAGAGATCCATACACTTACACACAAGTTATGTCTGGAAGTTACAAAAATGCTTATTTTTGGCCCCTAATTCCTTAACTGTTGGTACCATAACCCCCAAAATCAATCCCCACTTTCCTTTTGTGGTATTGAACCTTATTTGAAATTTCATTGAGATCCATTCACTTAAACTAAAGTTAGAGTGCGAAAACTAATGTGTCTTCGGACGACGACCATGCCAACGTCATACCAATATACGAGTATATAATACGACCACAAAATTTTTTTTGCGGTCGTATAAAAAGGAGTTCTTAATTAAGAAATAAACTGATTCGCTGAGCGCAGCTGGATACACCCGCAGAGGTACTACCCTGAACAGCTGGGGCAAAAATGGACACAATATTCAAGCTTGATACAGGTCTGAATTTGGATTGTAATTAAATATTTGACATATTATAGTTTCTGAATAAATGTAGTCAATGAACTTGAAATCGGTTATATGAATTGAATTTATATTCAATTAAAGATTTCTTGCTGTTGTGCAATACACTGTGCTGTTGTGCAATACTTAATAAATCTGTTGCCAGACTATAAACAAATAAAGTTCAATTTCTTCTCAATGTCATATTTGAAATTTATGAAAATCAATAGGGAGATTACATCAATAGCTATAAATAATTCACCAAAGTTTCATGTGAACTGCTTAAAGCAATTTTGAGTTGTTGTCCAAAAACTGGAAAATCCCCCCTTTTTTAATGAATAAAACCCCATAACTCAGAAATGTAAAATCTAAAATTTATAAAATTCTAAAGGGAGCTTACGGATTGATAATTTAGTCTTAGATGCAAGATTTTTTTATCAGTTGTTAGTGGCTTTGAACTAGCTGTCAGTAACTGCGAGTACTCTCAGATTTGTACTTAGTGTCTTTTTGTTGTTTGGATGTACAACTACCCAACCACGTCCACTTGTATTTATCCATCTGATGAGTTTAGCCTCTTTCAACTGATTTTTATAGTTCTTTCTTATATTGTACTGTTACACCACTGTACCAGGTTAGGGGGAGGGTTGGGATCCCGCTAACATGTTTAAGCCCGCCACATTCTGTATGTACATGTATGTGCCTGTCCCAAGTCAGGAGCCTATAAAAGTGTAATTCAGTGGTTGTTGTTTGTTTATGTGTTGCATATTTGTTATATTTGTTCATTTTTTTACATAAAATAGGCCGTTAGATTTCTTGTTTGAATTGTTTTACATTGTCATTTCTGGGCCTTTTATAGCTGACTGTGCAGTATGGGCTTTGCTCATTGTTGAAGGCCGTACCGTGACCTATAGCTGTTAATTTCTGTGTCATTTGGTCTCTTGTGCATGTGTGGAGAGTTGTCTCATTGGCAATCATACCATATCTTCTTTTTTATATTTACATCAACAGATATAAAAAATTCACCAAAGTCAAGGTGAGACAACAAAACTTAGTTGTAAGATCTCTGAAATTTTTTACAGGGTACGAGTTTTTCTCATTGTTGGAGATTGTACGGTGACAGTAACACCTGTAACTGCTTAAACCCATTTCTTATGCACTTTAGTTTGATAAACTCACTGAATATCATACCACATCTCCTTATTTTTATATGCATTACAATTTACATGTGCATGTAATTGTAAATATATATATATATCAGAACAAAATTCATTGCGTCACTTTTATTTATGCATCCTTTGGCACAATACAAGTTCTAAAATTACACAACATAAAACAACTAAATGTTATTTCAGATGAAAGTTTTGTTTCAGTTCCATTCATAGGATTTATTAGAATTTTGTATGTTTTGCCAAGTCCAATTATTCGCTCTATGTGACATAGAGACATAGTTGACTAAACCACCAGGTGTCGAACATTCAAGAATTTTCAGTGTTTCTGTTTTTATTTGATGAAAAGGTTGCCTGAGCTCTAGGAGCTTTAGGTTTTATCACAGGATATTCTGTGCTGTCAATAATAATCCAAGTCGTAGGAAACTTTAATTTGAAGTTGGATGGTGAAAAATACCTGACTAAACCACTAGATGGCCAAGTGTTAGCCTCACACCACTGTTTAGACATAAAAACAATCCATGTATACACAATATTCTGAACACTAGATTCAATCTAGAATCTAGACAGTTCAAAGTTGGTTGTATGATGCCTCAATTTCATCAAAGTCATAAAAAAACTGATTTTCAACTGACACCCTATCAATTTGAAAATATGTGTATCTCAAACAATAAGCTGCTGGACCAAGAGTGGTCAAAACAAATAAAAATTTAGTATACAACTCTAAACCGGTATAAAAATGCATGGCTGTGTCAAGTGTCTTCATTTCAAAATTCTCTGCGGAAAACATAGGCATTGATGGTGTTTGCGTAATTCCATCTGTGAAGCTCAACATTAGCTCGGCAGTTGGTGGTGGACAGTCATAAATCCTTTCTGCAGTATGAATGACTTCTTCAGGAAAACCAACTTTACAATCAAAACTTTCCTCTAGATTTTTACTACAATATTCATCAAGTTTAGTTCTTTTGTTTTCACAGGAAACTGCCCTGATTTTTCTTTTTGCGGACGATTCAGTCTCTTGCTTGGTCCAGGAAAATAGGCTGGGAATTGCAGTAGACTTAAGTCTCTGTATGGTGGGTTTGCGCCCTGAAAAAGGTTATAAAACATTAGTTTTTTTTATAATTAAATGAACTTCCATTAGCAATGTATACTTTGTACTACCTGGCGAAATATTAACTGGATTTATTCATTACAATCTGGATAAAACTATGTTTGCCTGATTCAATGTATGTTACATGTATGTAAATCCAAAGGACAAACAATGAGAGACTTATGCAACAAACGTACATTGTTTGTACCTAAATAACTATAATATAGATGAGAGCATGTCATTGTTTTGTTCCTGTTAACATTGTCATTGATATTTTTCAAGAAAGTCTATGAGGCATAGCTTATGCATTCCTGTCATTACTACATTAGCATAATTACTGCTAAAATAATTCTCAGTATGATATACCTCTTGTAAGAAATCATTATAATTGTAGCAATCACCAAAAAATCTCAAACAGATCACATTGAATCGTAATCCAAAAAATTATGACGTCTTGAATTACCCACCCCCTTTTATTCTAAAACGATAATTGCGGTTGTAAACAGACTTTGGTTTATTCGCATGGAGATTACATATATAACTATATATTTCACAAAGAAAATAGAGTTTTACCATGAATAGTTTCCTGCACGTAGTCTTTTTCAGTAAAATGTGCCTTGCAAACAACAGCTGATTGAGATGGACTCCACGATATCATCGTGTTCTCGTCCAATCTGCGTATGGGCCATGGCGTTGATCCAACTTTTCCTTCTTTTTAAGTCATTTGGAAATGCATGTCCTCCTCTTAAATGACATCCAGGTACACAACAACAAGTACTTGGCATCGTTAATTAAGAATATAACTGAAATAGTTGCACAGTGCAGAAACCGGAAGAAGAGGAACAGGATCCGCTACCACGGCGCCACCTATTCAGGAACGATAATTTGCTACTTTATATAACTGCGAAAATAACGTTAGACGGGTTCACGTGCATAAACAGAAATGCGCTTTAAATTGTATAATATAATTCATGTTCAGTCGACCTTTAATTATTATATCAACGACTGAAATGATTTATAAACATCTAGATTGCAGATAACACTCGAAATTAACCCGAGCTCTTTCCACACGGAATTCAAATAATTCTAGTTTGTCAATCGGTTGACTGCTTATAATGCAAAATACTAATATATCTAAAGTTTTTAAAACTAACAAAACACAATGATCGTTTCTCTATTTCCCAATGTAAATGAAATGAAACAAAAAACATTTTATATCGCAATAAGAAGAGGAGAGAATTCAACATTTCCGGATCTACTTGGAGTCTAATGACCCCCCACGTAGATAAGTTGGATATCGCGGAAGGAAGGATTAACCCGGCAACTAGAAAGGCATTAAAGCACTGCCTTTAAAAACAGTCCAAAAATTTCTAATATTACAGTATATTAAACTTACACCATGTTGTCTAGCTAGAACATAAACTGTGTTTTTCTGTGAATCTGTTGCAATGATGTCAGAATTATCACCATGGATATAGTCTTTTGTGTTATTAAGAGTCAGTTGTGTGCTGACTTCTATTTCTTTCACATGGTGTATTTTACCTTCCCGTCTTAGCTGTAGCACCTTTACATAGTTTTTACCATAGCCACTAAATACAAACTCTGTTTTTAAGCCTGACTGTGACATTCTCTCAACTGAAATTAAAAACTAGACTAAATGTTTGTCAAGCTATACTGACATTCTCTCATCTGAAATTTAAAAAAAAATAGACAAAATGCTTCAAAAGTCAGACTTTAACATGTATTTGTCCATAATTAAATAAACTGCTTCACTGAGCGCAGCTGGATACGCCCGCAGAGGTCCAACCCTGAACAGTTGGGGCAAAAATGGACACAATATTCAAGCTTGATACAGGTCTGAATATGGATTGTAATTAAATATTTGATATATTATAGGTTTCTGAATAAATGTAGTCAAAGAACTTGAAATTGGTTATATGAAAGATTTCTTGCTGTTGTGCAATACACTGTGCTGTTGCCTAATACTTAAAAACAGAGCTTACAAAAATAGATATACATGTAAACAATTTACCAAAGTTTCATAAAAAATGCTGAAAGCATAATTGAGTTATTGTGCGAAAACTGGAAAATCCCCCTTTTTGTAATGAATAAAACCCCATAAATTGGAAACGTATAGTCTGAAATTTATAAAAATCAAAAGGGAGCTCATGTCGATAGAAATAAATAATTCACCAAAGTTTCTTGCAAATTGGTGAAATTGTTTTTGAGTTATTGTCTGAAAACTGGAAAATCCCCCCTTTTTTAATGAATAAAACCCCAAAACTCGGAAAAGGTAAATCTGAAATTTATAAAAAATGAAAGGGAGCTCATGTCAATAGATATGAACAATTCACAAAAGTTTCTTGCAAATTGGTGAAATTTTTTATGAGTTATTGTCCGAAAACTGGAAAATCCCCCCTTTTTTAATGACTAAAACCCCAAAACTCGGAAACGGTAAATCTGAAATTTATAAAAAATGAAAGGGAGCTCACGTCAATAGATATGAACACTTCACAAAAGTTTCATGCAAATTGGTGAAATTCTTTTTGAGTTATTGTCCGAAAACTGGAAAATCCCCATTTTTTAATGAATAAAACCCCAAAACTCGGAAATGGTAAATCTGAAATTTATAAAAAACAAAAGAGAGCTCACGTCAATAGATATTAACAATTCACCAAAGTTTCATGCATATTGGTTAAAGCGTTTTTGAATTAATGTCGGACATGTTGATGACGGACGGACGGACAGACAAACAGGGACGGACAGACGGTCAACGGTATACCATAATACGTCCCGTAAACGAGCGTATAAAAACTACACGAAGGAAAAATTGTTTCTTAAGCCAATTATGAAATTTTATCACCTGATATGGGTACATAGATAACCTGAAAACAAGTTTTTAATTTCCAAAAGCAATATTTTATGCAGTCTTTTGTGGTAAATAGTAATTAAAAAAGGATATACAGTTAAACATGTCTTAACCGAACACCCTCAGGGCTTTGTGTAATGTTCAAAATTGGCTGATTCCGTACCTCTACCTGATTAACAAGAGGATTGCCAATTGGTAAATGAAAGTGGGAAGTTTAAAATCATTTTGACACTTGTCGTCTGATTCAATTAGTTTTCCCCCATAAATTCAGATTCTCAATCCCTGTCAAATTTCCATTCCGTAGTTTAATTGTCATCAAAAAGGGGTTTCTATTATCTGCACTCAGATCCTTTAACTGTATCTGTTGAACTAAATCGGATAACAGAACTTCGTCATCCATGTCTTCAGGCTCATCTACATTCGATGGGGTCTCTACAGGGAATCCAAATTAAGATAACATTGATCACAGTGTATATCTTTACATTTGAGAATTCACAAACAGTAGCATTTACCGATCATATATTTAAAAAAGAAAGAGTCTTTTTGTGAATGATTTGATTTCACTAAATTCGAATTTGCATTAAATAGAAAGACCCACTCTTGCCCTGTTCGGCTAGGAAAATATTTATCATTTTTAGCAATTTTTAGAACATACTCACCCTTTCTCGTCCAATTGAAAATCATTTTTTTCCCATCTAATTTTCATAGTACATGGCTTTCCATGCACTATAAAATGTGATACATGAATCACTTTTCATAGTAGATTAATTATGAAAGTGAACTGTTTATAACTACACTTAAATGAAGTGTACAATCCCCTTGGGCTTTAAATATTCTTAAAAGATGACCAAGTATTGTCTAACCTATACATGTTTCATGTTAGGCGCTTACATTTAAACACTGTGTACATATACATTAACAAGTAATAAATTGCTTCGCGGAGCGCAGCTAGATACGACAGCAGAGGTCCAACCCTGAACAGTTGGGGCAAATTTATTCGCGCTTGATACAAGTCTGATTAAGATTGTAATTAAATATTTGACACATAAACGGTTTCTGACACAGAATAAATGTAGTCAAAGAACTTAGAATTGGTTATATGATTTGAATTTATATTAAATTTTTTGCTTTTGTGCAATATACACTTTGCTGTTGCGAATTGACCCCTCTCCTCCCACAAAAAAAAAATAAAAAATTAACCCCCCCCTTTTGTGCAATACACTATGCTGTTGTGTATTCATCCCCACCCACCTTTTTCCCCCCAATAAAATTCTTTCCCTCAAGATATGGATAATCTCAATTCAAATTTCCAATGGAGTTTGCAACCATAATTACCCATTTAAAATTTACCATAGTGCTAACTTAATCTGTTTTATAATAGAATTTAAAATACGGTGTCAAATCTTTCATATGGATTTTTTGGTAAAAAAAAAAGATGCAACATTTGCAGATATTTTTACTGGTCTTCTTTATAAATATGCATTTCTTAAAACATAATTTAAAAGCAGTGTAAGGGAGGTAATCAAAACATTGTATTTGGATTACCTCCCTTACACTGCTTTTAAATTGTCTTAATTGTTCATTAACCATTACTTTATACACTTATAAATTATGTTTTGTACTAAAGTATTTGTCCATTAACCAGGACACCCTTGTTTTTCCCCCTTATTTGCCCCTAATTCCTAAACAGTTTGAACCATAACCCCCAAAGTAAATCCTAACCATCCCTTTGTGGTATGGAAACTTGTGGTATAATTTCAGAGAGATCCATACACCGTTCCACAAGTTATTGTCTGGAAACTAGAAAAATGCTTATTTTTGGCCCCTTTTTCCTTAACTGTTGGTACCATAACCCCCAAAATCAATTCCAACCTTCCTTTTGTGGTATTAAACCTTATGGTAAAATTTCATAGAGATACATTCACTTTAACTTAAGTTATTGTGCGAAAACCAATGTATTTTTGGACGACGACGACAATGACGATGCCAACATCATACCAATATACGACTGCAAAATTTTTTTGTGGTCGTTTTAAAACAACTTATCATGAAATTAAACTTCAAATAGCCTGGGGGATCCTTTGTCAGCCTGTGTATGTTTAATCACTCATGCAAATAATTATAAAGACTTGAATTGTATCAATTTTGACAGGTAATCTTTTAATATACAATTACTTAGAAGCCTTCAAAAACGGTTCAGAATTCAGTATCATTCAGTATCGGCAGAATAATCAATAACACACTAAAACACTAAAGGAAACAGGTTTAAGTTTTTAGGATATCGGGTCAGTTTGCCCAGAGTCCGTTCGCCCATAAAGTCTGTTTGCCCTGGGTTCGTTCGCCCTACTTTTTATAAAAACATGATAAATACTAATGGTATCATTCAGGTTTTATAAACCTTATTCAGATATGTATATGGTAAATATGGAAGAAAATACATATTTATGAAAAATCATGAAAAAAAACATAGAAATATTCAAAAATTAAGGGCTTGTTTTTGGAGCATTATTGGCTTAATTGTTACATGTATGTATGTTTTTGTTTAGAATTACTTTAAATGACTTGTAATTAAGAATGCTGATTAAGTAAAGTCATAGTGTCTTTGATCTCACTGAATGTTTTATTAGTTGTTCTTCATCCTCCATTGAAATTATTGGGCAAATTATTGTACAACTACGGAGTCAGGATTCATCGGAAACGGAGCGGCTATGACCGATATCCAGATTATTCCGATAATGACTACGGACGCATGAATGGCACAGCTGACAGAAGAAAATTGATCCCAAAAGGAATAAAATGCTCCGCAGGGTGCAGCTTGATACGACCGCAGAGGTCGAACCCTGAACAGTTGGGGCAAGTATGGACACAACATTCAAGCTTGATACAGCTCTGAATTTGGATTGTGATTGAATATTTGACACAGCATAGGTTTCTGTCACAGAATGAATGTGGTCTAAGAACTTAAAAATTTTAAATTGGACATTCACCTATTATGGTCCAATATCCAAAATCTAAATACATGGTTAGATTCAGCATATCAAAGAACCCCAAGAATTCAATTTTTGATGAAATCAAACAAAGTTTAATTTTGGACCCTTTTGACCTCAATGTGGACAAAGTTGATAACGGGGCCCAAAAATCAAAAATCTAAATACATGGTTAGATTCAGCATATCAAAGAACCCCATATATATTCAATTTTTGTTGAAATCAAACAAAGTTTAATTTTGGACCCCGATTTGGACCAACTTGAAAACTGGGCCCATAATCAAAAATCTAAACACACATGAAGATTCAGCATATCAAAGAACCCTAAAAATTCAATTTTTGTTAAAATCAAACTAAGTTTAATTTTGGACCCTTTGGACCTTAATGTAGACCAATTTGAAAACGGAACCAAAAATTAAGAATCTAAATACACGGTTAGATTCGGCATATCAAAGAACCCCAATAATTCAATTTTTGATGAAATCAAACAAAGTTAAATTTTGGACCCTTTGGACCTCAATGTGGACCAATTTAAAAATGGGGCCCAAAATCCAAAAACTTAATACACGGTTAGATTCAGCATATTAAAGAACCCCAAGAATTCAAGAATAAAACCCCATTGAAATTAATCAAGAAATAAGCAATTTATACGAAGTATCTTCTTTTGCACAATACTGTGCAATTGAATATTTCTTGCTATTGCGCAATACTGTACAATTGACAATTTCTTGCTATTGCGCAATATTGTGCTATTGGATATTTCTTGCTATTGTGCAATACTGTGCAATTGAAGATTTCTTGCTATTGCGCAATACTGTGCAATTGAAGATTTCTTGCTATTGTGCAATACTGTGGAATTGAAAATTTCTTGCTATTGCACAACTTATTATATAATAATTTACACATCCTGTTTGGTGTGTATCTCCTACCATATCATTATTATTTGCTTTTAAATATTAATCAGAAATAACCAACTTAAAATGGAAAATTTTAAAAGAAAAAAAAAAAGGAAAAAAACAAAAAAACAAAAAAAACAAAAAATCCCCCCTCCCAAATTTTTTGAACCCCCTTATGATTCATCACCCCAAACTCAATACCAGCCTTCCCTTTGTGGTATGGTACCTTGCAGTACAATTTCAGAGAGATCCATACACTTGAACACAAGTTATTGTCTGGAAACTAGAAAAATGCTTATTTTTGGCCCCTTTTTGGCCCCCAATTCCTAGACGTTTTGGGCAATTACCCCCAAACTCAATTCCAGCTTTCCCTTTGTGATATGGAACCTTGTAGTACAATTTCAGAAATATCCAAACACTTACACACAAGTTATTGTCATGAAACTAGAAAAATGCTTGTTTTTTGCCCCTTTTTTGGCCCCTAATTCCTAAAATTTTGAGGCAATTACCCCCAAAATCAATTACAGCCTTCCCTTTGTGATATGGAACCTTGTGGTACAATGTCAGAGAGATCCATACACTTACACACAAGTTATTGTCTGGAAGTTACAAAAATGCATATTTTTGGCCCCTTTTTGGCCCCTAATTCCTTAACTGTTGGTACCATAACCCCCAAAATCAATCCCAACCTTCCTTTCGTGGTATTGAACCTTATGGTAAAATTTCATGGAGATCCATTCACTTAAACTAAAGTTAGAGTGCGAAAACCAATGTGTCTTCGGACGACCCTGGACGACGCCAGACGACGACGACGACGAAGACGACGCCAACGTCATACCAATATACGACCAAAAAATTTTTAATTTTTGCGGTCGTATAAAAATTACGCATTCCACACAATTTAATATACGTTTGGTTAGATCTACTAGATTAATGTGTATATTTCCATGTATAAAATTTAAGATAGAAACTGGTTCAAATTATAACACAATTTTGTTCTTGATAATTTTATATCTCCTTATGACAGGAATCCTTTCACATACAACAACTTTCTTTCTAGAAACTATAAAGTTTTTTAAATTGAACATTTTTGTTCTCTTTTGAATCTGGGGAACAGTATATCTAACAATATATATGTTCCTGTTTGAATGATATTTTATTTTCATTGATCATGGATTTTATAAAAGATTTAATTACTTTAAATTTAGATGAATATTATGTAATGAATCATGTTTTATTTATTTTTAAAAAATATTAAAAGTATACAAACTGTTTATTGATCTTTTTAACCAATAATATTCTGACATAACACAGTACCACATTATTAAAACAAAACAAGAGACATAAAAACTGCAGTAACTAGAAATATAGCGATACCACGCGACACAACTGATTGTATGAATCATTTCACCAAGCTGTTCACACGCGTTACCCTGGTGCTATCCAAAAATCCTGGGGAGAACACTGGTTTCAATTTATAAATTAAAGTTGCTCAACTCTGGGACTATAACTGTGTTAAATAAAACTGTTAAATTTATATATCTTTTTAATGAGAAATACTTAATTTCATAAACATGATAACAGAGTAGTAATAATTGAATTTTAATTGATATAACAACTTTCTTTTCCTTTTTGTTATAAAAAAAAATCTTTTTTAATATTGCCAGATATTTAATTGTTTTTTTCTGACAAGCATTGACAAGAGGACTAATATGAATGTGCAACTAGATATGATAATGTTAAACAACTTTGAATTTGAACTGTTACTTTAATTGTATACCCAGGTACATATTGAACAATATAAAAAAAAATAAGATACATATGGCCCTTTGTATTATACTGTAAATTCAGAAATTATTGCGTGCATTTATTATTGCGATTTTGTCATTTTAGACTAATATGCGATTTTAATTTTTGCGATATTGAGAAAAATCCTGTTTAATCCATTTTTCAAAATGCGAGTTAAAATTATTGCGATTATAACCCTGTCGCATTTTTCGCAATAATAAAAACATCCCAATAATTTCTGAATTTACAGTAGTAAAAACCAAACATTGTAGCGCCGCGAGCGAACGACAGGGGTTTTTCTGGGTATTTTGGGAAAAAGGACCCTGGCCAGTTTTGGGAATTTTTTCACACACTTTTCAATGAAAATAAAAAGAAACTTCCAGAATTTTACTGGCCCTTCAAAACTGAGAAGAAATTACCTCTTGGAATTGTAGTTATATGTTTACACATAAAAACATCTACATGTAATATCAACATTTATTAATGATTAGGAAAATTACTGTCACATTTTATTGGATTTTGACATGAAAATTTGTGAACTAAAAGTAATTTTGAGTTACTGCCTGGAATTATTATTTTTTTATTGTATTTGATCGGCAAACCCAGAATTACCCTTATCCGCCCCCAGAATCTGACCCGGTATTGTAATTGTCTTCATTTCCAGTTTATGGCATCCATTGTTTTTCAATGTTGTTTTTGTAAGTCAGATACGATTTTACTCAGATTTACACATTACTTGTTGGCGATTTTCGGCATAAAGCTAGCGGTTAAACAAAATGAACATCGCTGTCATGAATAATATAGATGAAAATAAATTTTGAGATCGTTTGGGAATTTTGCTCCAAAAATTGGGAAAAATGTAGGGTATTTGCCATTGGGAATGGGTCCGAATACCGGACCCTGTGGAATGCTAGAAAAATCCATGAACGAGCACTTCGCTTTCAAATCTCACCACTTCTCCCTCTCAGTTTCAAAAAGAGAAGTCACTTCTCCCTATGATTCTGAAGTAGTGTGAGCCCTGCAAATGACAACTACTGAACATCAGATTCCTGACTTAGGACAGTTGCAAACAATTGCAGCGGGTTTAAACGTTTTAATGGTACCAAACCTTCACCCTTATCTGAAACAATAGTGTAACATCACAACATAGAAAGACACACTATAAAATATCAATTGAAATGGCTTAACTCACTCAATGACATATTAACACCAGTGAACATACACTGAACAAATAAATTTGATCTATGATACAATGCAAATACAAAATAAATAAACTAAGGGAAGAATAATTAAAGTAACATGTTATACCGATGTGAAATGTTAAACAATTTAAGAAAAACAATATGCTAGAACAAAAATATCAGCCATTTGCAATTACTTTCAACATAGGTAAATGAAAATAATTTTGTTGTTAGGTATACATGTATGTGTACAGTTCAAATGGAGAAAGGAAATGTTTTTACAAAATAAATAATTTTGATGTTCATAGTACGAAGAAGTTAAAATTTATAGTAATACCAAACACTTATCAAAGCTGGTATATAGACTAGATATAACCCTGAATAAGTAAACATTAAATAACAAAAAAACATTACAATTAGTATCAACAGGTCAAATAAACAAGAAAGTATGATTTGAGAATACTCTCAGTTACTGACAGCTAGTTAAAAGCATAAAACAATTAATAATAAAAAATCATGCATCAGAGACTAAAATCAACTAGTACACATCCCAGGGATTTAGTATTTTAACGTCATGGACAGTCAAAGAAGGCACACAAATACAGATACAAATCATGCACAAATAAAATCAATAGTATGAACAAATATTTACAAAATCAGTCACTATAAATTATGAAATCACTCGCGGAACGAAACAAGTTCTGAATGCTCTATGATAAGGTCATCTGCTTTACATTAAATTATTATAAATTGATCATTATTGTCTTAATCCTTTTATTTATTGTAATTAATAAATATTATTTCTTAAGATTCATGTAATCTCTGATTGGGTCAATTAAATTCGTTTCATTTTCATGTCAGGTAAAATATGTTCAACACACTAACGTGCCGCTTGGACGATCAACAAAGGTGTTAATTGCCGGTCATCCGTAATTTTTACATGTCATTTTTACTGTTATACAAACAAGTATGTTTATTCAGCTTTAATCTCTTTAGAAAGTGATTAGGTTACATAAGAAATACATCCGAATTGAAAATTATCATTAGGTTTGCATTTTTCGAAAAAATTCTTACTCTCGAACTTCGAGACATCGAGGTCAATTTACATTAGTTTTACATCAATGGGACTATAAAATTTACTTGACTTAACATGAGTATTCGAATCAACCCAGTTCGACTCATCAGAGGTAATTATTCATTGATCAAACAGGAATTTTACCAATGCCTAGGAATTACTTTCAATCATCAGACTTTTCGACATAACCGAGTTCGACACAATGAGGTTCGACTGTAGTGATATATTAACTTTAACATGATTAAAACTTATTTCAACACAAAACCAATAAAAAGGGTGTGAACGTGATAGGGGCGAAATTAAATGGGAGCGAACATGATTTTGGTCGAACAGACCAGGATTCAAACTTAAAGTAAACCAAGGCAGAATTATTTTTGGAAGACTAAGGATTTTCGTCTGTTACTGTGTTACTGTTTGTGTTAGTGTTACACAACGAAACAAATAATGTCAACAATAAAAATTGATTGTACTGTGAAATTAGTAATATCTGCAATACCTTTTTCACGAATTCTCTGACAATACTTCTTATTTCGCTTAGTTATATCACCCTAACACAAGGTCAGTGACCAACGTGATAACAGACACGGAATATTATCTCCCCTTTTAACTCGACCTTGACACTTTGAATTTGTCTCAGTACCAAAACTTTTCAATCAGAAAGAAAGGATAAAAAGGGCGGCTTAACCTATAATCCATGAAATGTTTCACATTCTGTGTGCAAAATTAAATTTGTAATAAAATGAATGACTTTCAATTTTCCAATCATATTTTTTGCTGTCAGTCAACAATATTGTCACCTATGATGGAAATAAGTAATTTATTTCCTTTCGACCGACTTCGGGTTTTGGACATTTGTCACGTGACATTTGTTATTTATATATTTGTCAACTTTCGCAATACTAATATTTTCAATGATATTTTAACAAAAAGTGATCTTCCAGTGATATATTTTACTCATTCAACTCAACCAGAATAACATACAGTAGTTTAAAGGTAATTTTATCGACGTTTGGAAAACACACACAGACAGTAACTCCATGCTCTATTGAAATTAATACACATCATAGCTCGAGAAACACAGTGAACGGGGACGATTCCAGCAGTATTACCTAATGTGAGGCAGGTGCTACTTTTTGAGCTCCTGCAGGTTATTGGTTTTTCACAATCTCGAGCGATTGCAGTGATTTAATTAGGTTTTAACAAAGTATTGTATTAGTACATGTAGTTGTAAGGATTGAAATATTCATGATATTACATAAAGATGTGGTATGATGTTTCATGATCGATAATTAGAAACAATTATTAAATTTATATCAACAAAAGCACGCTTCACTATATTGTATATAAGTTTTATTATTAAAATATTTTATTTAAAAAGAGTATATTGACAGTCAGGGCCAGGGGTACTACTTGTACAAGTAATCTTTATCTACTAAAAAAAAAAATATACTTATATAAGTTAAAGTTAAGTTGAATAATCTCCCCTTCATTTTCTCAAAAATTCACTTGTATAAGTAATTTTTTTTTTACAATCCCACAAAAATTCTAAAGTTTTGAGATATTGAAACATGCCTTTAATGATTTTCCCCAGGTTACATGTAGCTCATAATTTTTGATTAGAGTTCAATGTTTCATCTCATTAATTCAACAAAGAAACTGATTGTGCAAAGATCTTAAGTATTTACGCAAGGCCTTCAAAAATTGCTCCTTAGGAGCTTGTAAATGAGCAGTGTTCTGAAGATAACAGACAAATGAGATTTTCATTGTCCATGAAATTACACTTAAATGATTAGTTTAGACATCTGCAAAGGACAGACAATTTAAAATTCTATTAGAGCAAAGAAGTCCTAAGAATTCAAGAAAAGAAGATAGGATGACTTTTTCACTTATATAAGTGAAAAAATCTGAATGTCTAAGGGACATAACTAAGCCATTTTTTTTTTACCTATTCAAGTAAATAAAATACACTTGTATAAGTATCCTACAAATTTACTTATATAAGTATATTAATATTACTCCTTCAAGTAAATAAAAATTACTTGTACAAGTAGTACCCCTGACTGATTGAAGTCAAAGTTGTCTACATCTTGACATGTTTAACATGTGTGGATGGGATAATGATGGTTTTTAGGCACCAAATAATTCCTGCCAACCTCTGAAACCTTTGACAGCTGAGAGGGAGATTTTGCGCGAACGACATTTTCAAGTTAAATATATGACCTGTTTACATATTCATCTACAAAACACCAATAAGAATTAATATATATACTTTATTTCTACAATTCATGGTTATAATCTATGCAAGGTGTTTTTTTTTAAGCTTTTTTCAATACCTCTGAGTCTCGTGACTCATTACATTCCATATTTTGATTTTGTTGTGAGTCTCCCACTAAGCATGTTTACAAACATCGTACAGACCACCAGAAGAAATCGAAAAGTTGATTGAACATGATGTGCAAAAAGATTCATTGCCAAGTGAACTTGGTCGTAAAAATTGAAAATCTTTCATTCAAATTATCTGCTTTACATTTCAATTTGCAGTTATCTATTTCTTCTTTTTTACACTGCCGCTTGGTCCAGACAAAGACCTCTATTTTGTTGGAGTTGACATAGCAGAACTGAATTTCAATTACTTATATATCAACATAAAAACTACTGACCAAAGTTTTCAAATGATTGCCAATTGTTTATTTATTTCTATTGAAAGTAATGAAAAAGCCAGAGAATTACAAACATGGGTTATTCCAGGTCAAAATATGCAAAAGCAGGAGATTCTATACTCCCGCGTGGGAGCGGACCAGCCAGCGGGGAATTTCTGGAATTTCGTCGTTTGCGTGGAAGATTCCTGCTCAAAACGGAAGAGATGGCAGATATGCGCCAAATTTATGTTTTATTACAATGAAAACTGTTGTTTTGAAATGCAACTGTATAAGACTTCAATGTAAAAAGTATCACATTATGTCGTACATATAAAAAAAGAAGATGTTGTATGATTGCCAATGAGACAACTCTCCATGAGAGACCAAATAAAAAAAAAGTTAACAATTAAAGGCCACTGCACAGCCTTCAACAATGAGCAAAACCCATACCTCATAGTCAGCTACATTTGTAGTAAAGGCCCAGAAATGACAAATGTAAAACAATTTTTAAAAGAGAAAACGAACGGCCTGATTTATGTTCAAAACAATGAACGAAAAAAAACACATGAAACAGCAGCAAACGACAACCACTGAACAACAGGCTCCTGACTTGGGCCAGGCACATACAGAATGTAGCGAGGTTAAACTAGTTTGTTGGCACCAAACCCTCCCCCTTACATGCATGTTATTATACTTATAATGCTGAATTTAATTTGGAAGTTAAAAAATTTTGGCCATTAAAAAGGCAACACAAACAAAAGACAAGATGGATGAAAGGAAATTTTGTAAGAACTGTCGCCACACAACCTATTTTCATTCTGTGTATGCAAATTTACATGAGATTCCAATCCTTCCTATCTAAATGCTTGTTAACAAGTAGATTTTGCCTTATATAAGTTATAATGTTTTACTTGTTATGGCACTCATACTTTTCTGCAATCAGGTAACCAAATTTGCAGGAAACCATATGCATTTTTTTGGAGTATTCAGATACAATATTGAGATGAATCTTTTATAAATAAAGCATGCTTTTTACAAATTTAAGTATTTAATACATAAAAGTGTAGCTTTGAGTGGATTAGATATGTTAATGAGTAAGCAGTCTTCACGATAAACTTTTAAATCTACAGGCCCGAAGCTCAACTTTTGGAAAATTTTAGTTAGATTATGTTGGCCTGTAGAGATGATTTTTACAGGCCCAAAAGCAATTTTACAAGCCAGGGCTGCTGGGCCTGTGGCTAAGCGTGAAGACTGAGTAAGACGTGGCTATATCATATGATTTCTTATATAAATGGGCAATAATTACATATGTCAAAGGTTACATTTTAACCATGGAAATAATCCAAAACTTAATTGTACTTTTCATGAATTAATGAATTAGATATGTCAATCAAAAATTGGCACACCTAATATCACAAAAAATCTCTCATTTTGTGAAAAATTTACACATGGATCATATTTTCTTAGTAGGACTTGGCTTTGCACCTTTCCTAAGTCAGGAACCTGATATTCAGTGGTTGTCGTTTGTTGATGAGGTTCATAAGTGTTTCTCGTTTTTTATATAGATTAGACAGTTGGTTTTCCTGTTTGAATGGTTTTACACTAGTCATTTTTGGGGCCCTTTATAGCTTGCTGTTCGGTGTGAACCAAGACTCCCTGTTGAAGGCCATACTTTGACCTATAATGGTTTACTTTTACAGATTGTGACTTGGATTGAGAGTTGTTTCATTGGCACTCATACCGCATCTTCTTATATCTATTATGATTAATGTAAATGAATTGTGGCTGTAAAATTTTCATTAAGTTTTACAGACCAGAGAGCAATTTATGTATTATTGAATATAAAGTATTGCCACCACTCTCCCCAACCCTGAAAAAGGGGAGGTCAGAAATCAGTCTATTTTTAATACACTCGGATTGGTTGATAGGAAGTAAAGAAACAAACAGAGGCATGGTCACCCTTAAATGTGTGACCTATTTATCTGTATGTAGCTTTTGGTACATGTATTTCTAGAAATTTCAAAGTGGTTGGTTTATTCTTTCATTGTTTACTGTTTAAAGGAGCCAGAGCCAGACAATGCATTAACAATTTTGGAGATGGGAGTTATTGCACTGGTCTAAGCTCTTTTCATTCCTTGCTTTTCCTATGACAAACAGTCAATGGCTGGATTGAATAGTGCGATAACTTCAAAACAGTTCAGTTAATAAAATTGAGAATGGAAATGGGGAATGTGTCAAAGAGACAACAACCCGACCATAGAGCAGACAACAGCCGAAGGCCACCAATGGGTCTTCAATGCAGCGAGAAACTCCCGCACCCGGAGGCGTCCTTCAGCTGGCCCCTAAACAAATATGTATACTAGTTCAGTGATAATGGACGTCATACTAAACTCCAAATTATACAAAAAGAAACTAAAATTAAAAATGATACAAGACTAACAAAGGCCAGAGGCTCCTGACTTGGGACAGGCGCAAAAATGCGGCAGGGTTAAACATGTTTTTTGAGATCTCAACCCTCCCCCTATACCTCTAGCCAATGTAGAAAAAACAAACGTACAACAGTACGCACAGTAAAACTCAGTTTAAGAGAAGTCTGAGTCCGATGTCAGAATAGGAAACAAAAGAAAATTAACAAAATGACAATAATACATAAATAACAACAGACTACTAGCAGTTACTGACATGCCAGCTCCAGACCTCAATTAAACTGATTGAAAGATTATGTCTTCATCATATGAATATCAGGCACAATCCCTCCTTCTAAAAATAAATCATTATCTGTAGTAAGACGACTTTGATTTCAAAGACTTTCAACATTTGGTTCAGTAAAGCCGGTGAGACATTTCAATATGTGCATGCTTGTTGAGTTTGTAAAAGGTACATAAAAGAAAGTACAATAAAAATCGTTAAAAAAAAAGAAGTTCAATCTGATTTTAATGAGCCATGAACTCATGGACCAGTGCTTGTGTCTTTAGATTGCTGTCTCCTTAACTTTTAACACCACATCTTTTATTTATATCTTTAAAGACACTATTGGTTGATTAAATGGCTTGAGTTCACTTATATAAAGTCAGTAGGTCAGTTATTACAGAGCATTTAATGGATACATTGTAGCACTATTGATATTTAGAAAAATGGATTAAATATTTGAATTAACTACGGTAATCAAATATATATATACAGATACATGAATACAGAACCTATACACATTGATCTTAAATTACACCACACTCCACCCCTACATAGTAATAATGATAATAAAATTATTATAATATATATATGTATGTGTCACATGTTGATTAACTTTTGAACACTATACAATTAAACATATATATATACAGTATTAAATTAAAAGTAATCAATTCCCAGCCAAACAAATTGACTTATGAGATATTTTAAAAATATATTACAAAGTCGTATACATATATTCTTATATCATGAATATCCTTTAAAAATGAATTGCTCTTTTTCAAACATTGTCAAATAATGGTTAAATATTTATGGGAGTATAAAATTTTCTCGAAAAATTAAAATAAAAAATGTTGTTTAGTTTCAACGTTGTTATTTTCTTAAATACATTTGTTTACTCATCTTATAAACAAATGATTAGTTACCGACAGTTTTTTATAGTCACTAATTAGGATAAGGATGTGAAATATGCAAATCAATCAATGATTTATACATTTGTAATAAGATATTATAATCAGGGGAATCAATTCATGTAATCACACTGTATACCATAAAGAAGGGTCTGGATGGGGTTTACAGAATAGAGAGTAATCAGCTAAGAAATGAGTAAAAAAACATTTAAGATTAAAGAAAAATAGCCATAAACAAGGAAGAAATGAAGCCCCCCTATGGAACCTCATATAGCAAAATATATTGACAATAAAACATTTCCTCGTTTAAGTCTTAAATAAAAAGGATTTTCAATTTCACTAAAAATGAATTATACATCAAAGCTCTCAGTTAAACAAGGCCTTATAGGAACAGATTAATCAAAGCAGATCTGTGGATAAATATTACAATACAAAGTAAAATTATTGATCCAAGCATATCTATATTGTCTCTCAGGGAATTGTTCAATGTATTGCTTTAATGTTCGTATGTAAATTCCTAATGATGCTTTCTTTGTAATTTGTTATCGTATTTGTTGTAAACATGGCTGAGTTATTTACACTGTTTGGATACAGGAAAAAGAAACATAATATGTCCTTTGTAAGTTTTACATGCATGGATGGAAGATTTCTTTTTAAATATTGTTCACTATCATTGTATATGATGCTATTCTTTTTCCAATTTTGTCAAGTTTGTTTGCTTGGTATATTCATTTATATTTTGAGTATCATATATATTGGCTAAAATCAATTTTATATACAGGGTATTTCCTGGGTTTTTTTCAGAGGAGTCAGATGTTTGTGCTTAACATTGTTTGTTGTACACTCCATTTTTTATACCCCTGCCGTAGCGGAGGGGGCATAAAGTTTTACCCCTTGTCTGTCCGTACGTACATCATCACGTCCCAAAGTTGATTTCCGTTCTCTAACTTTAGTTTGCCTCAACCAAATGTTATGAAACTTATACACAATGCTTATTACCACAAAACACAGATCAAGTATGAATTTGGTGGTGTCACTTTAACCGTTCTAGAGTTATGCCCCTTTACAAATGGAAAAATTGCTGAATTTTTCGTTTCCGTTCTCTTACTTTAGTTTGCCTCAACCAAATGTTATAAAACTTATGCACAATGCTTATTACCACAAAATACAGATCAAGTTTGAATTTTGGTGGTGTCACATTAACCGTTCTAGAGTTATGCCCCTTTACAAATGGAAAAATTGCTGAATTTTTCGTTTCCGTTCTCTAACTTTAGTTTGCCTCAACCAAATGTTATGAAACTTGTGCACAATGCTTATTACCACAAAATACAGATCAAGTTTGAATTTTGGTGGTGTCACTTTTACTGTTCTAGAGTTATGCCCCTTAAAAAAGGAAAAATTGCTGAATTTTTCGTTTCCGTTCTCAAACTTAAGTTTGCCTCAACTAAATGTTATGAAACTTATACACAATACTTATTACTACAAAACTCAGATCACTAACAAATTTGGGTAGCGTCACTTTTACCGTTCTTCAGTTATGTCCCTTTATAACTTAATATGATATGCAAGCGGGGGCATCATCTGTGTCCCATGTACACATATTATACATTCCCCATTTATTTATTTATTATTCCTGTAATACTTTTTATTATGTATCAGTATTACATTTACAATCAATTTCAGTTTATTATTATATTTTACAGATTTATCCAAACATGATTAAGCACATTTACACCAGATCAGAATATTTTTACATGTGATTAACAGACTGCTAGTACTGTCTTAATCTTGCAGTGTAGTGAGAGTTTTTGCTCTGTGTTGAAGGCCTCACTGTGACTTTGGGATGAAGAACAGCAATAAAAGGGCTGTTCCTTTGCTTTTTGTGTTTTTTGTTGTGCATGTACTGATTTTGTGTCATGGATGGATACCTGATATCTTTTCTTTTCTATTGTGGTAATTTATAACTTCATTATTGCAAATAAAACAGTTATATATGTTTTGAATTTTTCAGGTAAAAATATTATTGGATGATTGGGTGAATGGGACACCATGTCTCTAAAGATAAAAAAAGGTCATCGAATAACTTGACCACACCAAAAGGAAAAAAGTCAGCCAAAAAACCAGGTGGTTTGTTATCCTCTTCAAAGGGGGCAGGTCAGCCCAAAGGTGCTACTGAAACATCAAAAAGGAAAATGCCTTTCCTAAGATTTCAAAGTTCACAAGCGAAGAAACGCTACCAGGACCAAATGTTTGAGGTATTGTAACATGTTATTTGATTATTTAAATGTAACAACTTTCATGTAGTTTATAGCATTACACACACTCAAACTTTAATAGCACAAACATGAGATGTGAAATAACTTTCAATTGACATTGAAGGATCTTCTAATATGACTGAAGTTGTTAAAATGTAAAGACAAAAAGTTGTAAGAATGTAATTTTTTTCACTCTTTATGATAACCGAATAATTCAGTCGTTATATTTGCTGCTGTACAATGGCTATTTTGAAGCCTGAATGCATTGACAATGAAAAATCTTCAATCAATCATCCATATTTAGCTTGGAATTTACCTATCTCGATAGAATTGAGCTGACTGCTGATTTGTCAACTCTCCTACAAGGCATGCACTAATCAAAATCCAGGATTTGTGATGTGTTTTTAGTGGATAGGACATATGTGCAAAACAATAAACCCAAAACAAATATGATATACAGCAACAAACCACAACCACTGAGTTCCATATGCCTGTATGTTTGTTTTTGTTTTCTTTATACAGGCTGAGAATAACCCAGAACCAAATATTGATGTTTCCAACTGTGAACTTGATGAGGTAATGTAAACCATTATTTTTACAAATGAAATCATATTGGTTTTAACCAATTTTCTTGCAAGTGGTGAATTTGGTTTAAATTTTATGAACTACTGTTTTACTGTTTTAAAAAAATATCAAATGTTAAAATCAATATTACTGGATTATAAATTTAAGCAAATCTAAGGCAAAGTCACCATAGCAGTATATATTTTAATTCTTAACAATATTTAGATAAAGTCAAACCTGTATAATTATAAAGGTCACCCTTGGGGCCAGAAAAAAACTGATCTTTTAAGAGAGAGGAAATTTGAACTGAGAATGAAAATGCATAGGTATTACTACAGTTGGACAAATAGTGGTTGACATGACAAGACCAAGTTTTTCGCTTAAAAGAGGTGACCTTTATATATAGCAGTTTTGACTGTAAAATTCAAATTCAAATTGAACTACTACAATATATGGGGGTTTTTAACGACCTTGACTGCCCAATCACCAGTTGCAAGAAATTTAGTTCCTGTAATACTTGAATAAGGTGAGATGTAATAGCTATTTTTATGCCCCACCTAGGGGCATTATGTTTTTCGGTCTGTGTTTCGGTTTGTTTGTCCGTCCGTCTGTCCTGCTTCAGGTTAAAGTTTTTGGTCAAGGTAGTTTTTGATGAAGTTGAAGTCCAATCAACTTGAAACTTAGTACACATGTTCCCTATGATATGATCTTTCTAATTTTAATGCCAAATTTGAGCTTTGACCCCAATTTCACGGTCCACTGAACTTAGAAAATAATAGTGCGAGTGGGACATCCATGTATTATGGACACCTTCTTGTTGTTTATAGGATATAGTAAATATGAAGAAATTAAGTAGATGACAATTCTTTGAAACATAGTTATACTTTTTATTTCATATTAGAATGATCAGTGTAACATGTGTAAGGTAAAATAAAGAGATTTAACTTGAGAAAGATTTTCAGTAATGGACAAACAGTCAGTTTTCACATTAGAATTGTTAAGGATGTTCACTTATCTTGTTTTTATACGCCCGTTTACGGGACGTATTATAGTATACCGTTAACCGTCTGTGCATCTGTCCGTCTGTCTGTCTGTCCGTCCGTCGTCAACATGTCGGACATTAACTCAAATAAGCTTTAACCAATATGCATGAAACTTTGGTGAATTGTTTATATCTATTGACGAAAGCTCACTTCGTTTTTTATAAGTTTCAGATTTACCGTTTCCGAGTTTTGGGGTTTTATTCATTAAAAAAGGGGGGATTTTCCAGTTTTCCAACAATAACTCAAGAATGCTTTCACCAACTTGCAAGACATTTTGGTGAATTGTTTATACCTATTGACATGAGCTTCCTTTCGATTTTAATAAATTTTTGATTTTACGTTTCTGAGTTACAGGGTTTTATTCATAAAAAAGGGTGTTTTTCCAGTTTTCAGACAATTACTAAAAAATGCTTTCAGCAGTTCTCATGAAACTAGGTGAATTGTTTATATCTGTTGATGTAAGCTCCCTTTAGAATTTTATAAATTTTAGATTTTACATTTCTGAGTTATGGGGTTTTATTCATTGAAAAGGGGGGATTTTCCAGTTTTTGGACAATAACTCAAAAATGCTTTCAGCAGTTCTTATGAAACTTTGGTGAATTATTTATAGCTATTAATGTAATCTCCCTATTGTTTTTCATAAATTTCAAATATGACTTTGAGAAGAAATTGAACTTTATTTGTTTATAGTCTGACAACAGATTTACTAAGTATTGCGCAACAGCACAGTGTATTGCACAACAGCAAGAAATCTTTATTTGAATATAAATTCAATTCATATAACCAATTTCAAGTTCTTTGACTACATTTATTCAGAAGATTATAATATGTCAAATATTTAATTACAATCCAAATTCAGACCTGTATGAAGCGCGAATATTGTGTCCATTTTTGCCCCAACTGTTCAGGGTTGGACCTCTGCGGGCGTATCCAGCTGCACTCAGCGAAGCAGTTTATTTACTTTTTGTCAGATATTCAGAATTTTTATATATGAAGTTCAATTAGAAATTTTGCTTGCTTACCCCTATTTTTTTTTTCATAATTTTGGTCTCACCTTGACGGAGTCAAAAAGCGAGACATGGGTATGTTGTTTCCGGCGGCGGCGGCAGCGTCAACAATGTATTAGTTTGTGATTAGGTCTAGTTCATGGTGAACCACTAGTGGTAGGTCAATGATATTTGGTATGCAGTTGTATTAGCATTGGCACATCTCATTACCATGGAGATTATTTGGCCCCACCCCCTCAGTCAAGGTCTATTGACTTTGAAACTTTGCTTAGTTTACATGTATTAGTTTGTGATTAGGTCAGTTTATGGGGAACCACTAGTTGTAGGTCAATGATATTTGGTATGCAGTTGTATAAGCATTGGCATATCTCATTTCCATGGAGAATATTTGGTCCTTACTTCTCAGTCATGGTCTATTGACTTTGAAACTTTTGCTTAGTTTACATGCATTAGTTTCTGATTAGATCAGTTTAAGATGAACCACTAATGTTAAGTCAATGATATTCGCAATGCAAATGTATTGGTATTTGCAAGTTTCATTTCCATGGAGATTATATAACCCCACCCCCTAATTATGGTTCATTGACTTTGAAATTTTACATAGTTTACAAGTTAATGTTTGTGTTTAGGTTTGTTTAAAGAGAACGACTTATGAAAAGTCAATGGTATTTAGTTTGCAGTTGTATTAGCAGTGGCACATCTCATTTCCATGGAGACTGTTTAGCCCTGTACATTCAGTCATGGTTCATTGACTTTGAATATTTACATAACTTACATGTTAAAGTATTGTAATTTTAATTTCAACATTTGCATTATCAAAATAACAAATAGGCGAGACATATCTCTGTGTTAACAGTTTATATTACATATAGATAAAAAAAAAAAAGCAAGCCATTTTTGAAAATCTTTTCAAATTCCTTGTTTTTTTTTCCTATGTTTTGAACGAAAAGGAGCCAATGTTAAATGTAGGGAAAATCTAGATAAAAGTCATCTCCAACCAAAGTTTTAATAGCCTATACCTCAAAAACAAGGACACACCCTTTAATTTTTTCTGATTTTTTAGTTCCTCTATTTATTTACTATCAATTTATAGCAGTCTTTTAATAAGCTTGTTATTTTGAAACAGAGCAGCGAACATAAAAAAAAAAGCATGACACCAATAATAAAGTTAGAAAACCCATGAACCCAAAGTTTTTGTCAACAAATGAAAAAAAATATGAAAACTAGAACCAAAGATACTTGCACAGTTATTCTAATACTATATTGTAGCTGGATATTTTATATGCTGACATAACAGTTACAAATAGCTGTATGGTCCTGGGTAGAGTTGTAAAAACTTTCAAAATTAACATTGTTTTTGCTTTGTGTTTCAGATACCAGATGATTTATATTCCACATGTAACTACTTACAGAAAGAGGTCAGTAATATTCAGACTTGCCAACTATCCTGATTTATGGGGGATATCCCCCATGAGAATATCCCCCATGAGAATATCCCCCATGAGAGGTGACCTGAATTTTGAAATTCTTTATTATATAAACTGAAGATTTCAAAACAGGCATTCAAATGAGTTAAAAGGGTTTTAAGTTCATGTATACTCACTCAAACAACATAGTAGTAGATTAAGAACACTTATGACTATATAAGGGGAGCATTAGGTCCTCTTGCACTTATAATCCCCCATGGAGATTTTGAAAAGTTGGCAGGTATGAACATTTTGTTTTTGAAACCTGTTTGATTTATACAAGTGTTACTGATCACATTTATATGAATGAACAGAGGTGTGAGGTCGACGTCAATGAGACAGCCAAATACCACAAACAAATCAAAAGATATCTACATATGGTCTTCAAGAATAGACAAAGGCCTACAATATATAAAGCCTTACATATCTCTTAATCTTTGATAATTGTGAATAAATTAAAAAGAAATTAACCAAATATCTGCCAAAATTTACTAAGCAAAAAAACATTAAGATCTGGTAAAAAACTTGCGACATGCACATGTGTGGTTTAACTAGTTATTTTAAGTACACAAGAACTGCCATTCCAACCATACTATGGCGTTCTTTCCTATTCATCCTAAACTCATTTCATTTGAGAAAAAAAAATGTTTATCTGACAATTTGTTAATTCCTACTTTTCTACCTTCAGAAATAAATAAATTGAAAAGAAGGAAAATTTAATAAATCCTACAAGATAAGAAGTTCTGCTCAATTATTGAAGAACCAAAAATCAGTTTTGTTTGTTTGTTTTCAGGCCTTATTATTAAATAACAACTGGTTATCTGGAATCGACAAACCAGAGAGATTAAATGATTTTAGGACACTCAGGGTAAGTTTCTCTAAGAATAGAAATAAAAAGGTAGTCTGCTACAAGACGTGACTGTCTGCCTAGTAGAACTGTGTCTGAAATCTAGCTTTCCAGAACAGTGTTGCTAGTGTAACAGTATTTTATTTGGTTGAAAATTTATCTTGTTACCACAAGCAACATTTTGGATAAAAAGCAAGCAACAAATGCTGTATAAAGTGGTTGCCTATTCTTTTAAGTATTAATCAGAAATATTAGAAAGCTTGTTACAGTGTGGTTAAAATTTGATAATTTCACTGATAATGATTTGTACAAAAAAGATATACTTGAATAATTTAGATACTTTCATGGTAAAAAGTTTCTTGGATTTATTTAACAATTATTTACTTAACCTTTGACAGTTTTATCTTCATAGAACATTGATGAGGGTGTGGTTGGGGGTTTACAGAATAGGGAATAATGAGCAAAAATTATAAAGAATAGAAAAAAATGGACCATAAAAATAAAGAATAGAGAATAATGAGGTGCTAAAATATAAAGAATTGAGAATAATGGGCAAAAAGTATAAAGAATAGAGAAAAATGGCAGAAAAAATTAAAGAATACAGAAAAGATGGACCCCATCCAGACCCTCATTGATCTATAATTCCAAGATTTACTACAAATCTTAATATTAATTCCTTATTTTACTTTTTCAGGTATTGGATTTACATCACAATGAAATCAAAAATTTGCCTGAGAATATTCATCAGCTTGAAAATTTACAGGTAATTATTAGAAGCTTATTGTTTATGCTGGTAGTTTTCCATCTTACTACTGGTTTAATCTTCTGTTTTTATACGACCGCAAAAATTAAAAATTTTTTGGTCGTATATTGGTATGACGTTGGCGTCGTCGTCGTCCGGCGTCGTCCGAAGACACATTGGTTTTCTCACTCTAACTTTAGTTTAAGTGAATGGATCTCCATGAAATTTTACCATAAGGTTCAATACCACGAAAGGAAGGTTGGGATTGATTTTGGGGGTTATGGTACCAACAGTTAAGGAATTAGGGGCCAAAAAGGGGCCAAAAATAAGCATTTTTGTAACTTTCAGACAATAACTTGTGTGTAAGTGTTTGGATATTTCTGAAATTGTACTACAAGGTTTCATATCACAAAGGGAAAGCTGGAATTGAGTTGGGGGGGTAATTGCCTGAATTGGGGGCCAAAAAGGGGCCAAAAATAAGCATTTTTCTAGTTTCAAGACAATAACTTGTGTTCAAGTGTATGGATCTCTCTGAAATTGTACTGCAAGGTACCATACCACAAAGGGAAGGCTGGGATTGAGTTTGGGGGTGATGAATCATAAGGGGGTTCAAAAAAAATTTGGGGGGGGGGATTTTTTTTTTTCTTTTTTTTTCTTTTTTTCCTTTTTTTTTTCTTTTAAAATTTTCCATTTTAAGTTGGTTATTTCTGATTTATATTTAAAAGCAAATAATAATGATATGGTAGGAGATACACACCAAACAGGATGTGTAAATTATTATATAATAAGTATTGTGCAATAGCAAGAAATTTTCAATTGCACAGTATTGCACAATAGCAAGAAATCTTCAATTGCACAGTATTGCGCAATAGCAAGAAATCTTCAATTGCACAGTATTGCGCAATAGCAAGAAATATCCAATAGCACAATATTGCGCAATAGCAAGAAATTGTCAATTGTACAGTATTGCGCAATAGCAAGAAATATTCAATTGCACAGTATTGTGCAAAAGAAGATACTTCGTATAAATTGCTTATTTCTTGATCAATTTCAATGGGGTTTTATTCTTGAATTCTTGGGGTTCTTTAATATGCTGAATATAACCGTGTATTAAGTTTTTGGATTTTGGGCCCCGTTTTTAAATTGGTCCACATTGAGGTCCAAAGGGTCCAAAATTTAACTTTGTTTGATTTCATCAAAAATTGAATTATTGGGGTTCTTTGATATGCCGAATCTAACCGTGTATTTAGATTCTTAATTTTTGGTTCCGTTTTCAAATTGGTCTACATTAAGGTCCAAAGGGTCCAAAATTAAACTTAGTTTGATTTTAACAAAAATTGAATTTTTAGTGTTCTTTGATATGCTGAATCTAAACATGTATTTAGATTTTTGATTATGGGCCCAGTTTTCAAGTTGGTCCAAATCGGGGTCCAAAATTAAACTTTGTTTGATTTCAACAAAAATTGAATATATGGGGTTCTTTGATATGCTGAATCTAACCATGTATTTAGATTTTGGATATTGGACCATAATAGGTGAATGTCCAATTTAAAATTTTTAAGTTCTTAGACCACATTCATTCTGTTTCAGAAACCTATGCTGTGTCAAATATTTAATCACAATCCAAATTCAAGCTGTATCAAGCTTGAATGTTGTGTCCATACTTGCCCCAACTGTTCAGGGTTCGACCTCTGCGGTCGTATCAAGCTGCGCCCTGCGGAGCATTTTATTTCTTTTACTTGGTTAACAGATTAAAAGGTTAGGGGAAAATTGTTGTTCTATTCCAAAACACCATATTGCTTAGACAATTATACATCAATATATCAAGTAGTGCAGTTAACTATACAACTTTTGGAATTTATAATTAGATCTTGCTGCTGTCTCATTGGCATTTACCCAACTCCTCTTTTTATACGACCGCAAAAAAATTTTTGTGGTCGTATATTGGTATGACGTTGGCGTCGTCGTCGTCCGGCGTCGTCGTCCGGCGTCGTCCGAAGACACTTGGTTTTCGCACTCTAACTTTAGTTTAAGTGAATGGATCTTTATGAAATTTTACCACAAGGTTCAATACCACAAAAGGAAGGTTGGGATTGATTTTGGGGGTTATGGTAATAACAGTAAAGGAATTAGGGGCCAAAAATAAGCATTTTTGTAACTTCCAGACATAACTTGTGTGTTAGTGTATGGATCTCTCTGACATTGTACCACAAGGTTCCATATCACTAAAGGAATGCTGGGATTGATTTTGGGGGTAATTGCCTCCAAATTTTAGGAATTAGGGGCCAAAAAAGGGGCAAAAAACAAGCATTTTTCTAGTTTCATGACAATAACTTGTGTGTAAGTGTATGGATCTTTCTAAAATTGTACTACAAGGTTCCATATCACAAAGGGAAAGCTGGGTTTGAGTTTGGGGGTAATTGCCCTAAACGTTTAGGAATTTGGGGCCAGAAAGGGGCCAAAAAACACATTTTTTTCTAGTTTCCAGACAATAACTTGTGTTCAAGTGTATGGATCTCTCTGAAATTGTACTGCAAGGTACCATACCACAAAGGGAAGGCTGGGATTGAGTTTGGGGGTAATGAATCATAATGGGGGTTCAAAAAATTTTGGGGGGGGATTTATTTTTTTTTCCTTTTTTTCTTTTTTTCCTTTTTTGTTTCTTTTAAAATTTTCCATTTTAAGTTGGTTATTTCTGATTTATATTTAAAATCAAATAATAATGATATGGTAGGAGATACACACCAAACAGGATGTGTAAATTATTATATAATAAGTATTGTGCAATAGCAAGAAATTTTCAATTGCACAGTATTGCACAATAGCAAGAAATCTTCAATTGCACAGTATTGCGCAATAGCAAGAAATCTTCAATTGCACAGTATTGCGCAATAGCAAGAAATATCCAATAGCACAATATTGCGCAATAGCAAGAAATTGTCAATTGTACAGTATTGCGCAATAGCAAGAAATATTTAATAGCACAGGATTGTGCAAAAGAAGATACTTCCTATAAATTGCTTATTTCTTGACCAATTTGAATGGGGTTTTATTCTTGATTTCATGGGGTTCTTTAATATGCTGAATCTAACCGTGTATTTAGTTTTTGGATTTTGGGCCCCGTTTTTAAATTGGTCCACATTGAGGTCCAAAGGGTCCAAAATTAAACTTTGTTTGATTTCATCAAAAATTGAATTATTGGGGTTCTTTGATATGCCGAATCTAACTGTGTATTTAGATTCTTAAATTTTGGTTCCGTTTTCAAATTGGTCTACATTAAGGTCCAAAGGGTCCAAAATTAAACTTAGTTTGATTTTAACAAAAATTGAATTCTTAGGGTTCTTTGATATGCTGAATCTAAACATGTATTTAGATTTTTGATTATGGGCCCAGTTTTCAAGTTGGTCCAAATCGGGGTCCAAAATTAATCTTTGTTTGATTTCAACAAAAATTGAATACATGGGGTTCTTTGATATGCTGAATCTAACCATGTATTTAGATTTTTGATTTTTGGGCCCCGTTATCAACTTTGTCCACATTGAGGTCAAAAGGGTCCAAAATTAAACTTTGTTTGATTTCATCAAAAATTGAATTATTGGGGTTCTTTGATATACCGAATCTAACCGTGTATTTAGATTCTTAATTTTTGGTTCCGTTTTCAAATTGGTCTACATTAAGGTCCAAAGGGTCCAAAATTAAACTTAGTTTGATTTTAACAAAAATTGAATTCTTAGGGTTCTTTGATATGCTGAATCTAAACATGTATTTAGATTTTTGATTATGGGCCCAGTTTTCAAGTTGGTCCAAATCGGGGTCCAAAATTAAACTTTGTTTGATTTCAACAAAAATTGAATATATGGGGTTCTTTGATATACTGAATCTAACCATGTATTTTGATTTTTGGGCCCCGTTATCAACTTTGTCCACATTGAGGTCAAAAGGGTCCAAAATTAAACTTTGTTTGATTTCATCAAAAATTGAATTCTTGGGGTTCTTTGATATGCTGAATCTAACCATGTATTTAGATTTTGGATATTGGACCATAATAGGTGAATGTCCAATTTAAAATTTTTAAGTTCTTAGACCACATTCAATCTGTGTTAGAAACCTATGCTGTGTCAAATATTTAATCACAATCCAAATCCAAAGCTGTATCAAGCTTGAATGTTGTGTCTATACTTCCCCCAACTGTTCAGGGTTCGACCTCTGCGGTCGTATCAAGCTGCGCCCTGCGGAGCATTTTATTAGTAATATAAAACATTCTTTCCTAAGCTTCTCATTACATAGGTAAATACACATAATAATTCTAAATGCTGTTCATTCTTTTTATGTAGAACTTACATGTATGTCAGTTGTCTATGGAATGAAAAGATAAAATTTTCCAAATTTTACCCCTCACAAAGCATTTTATAACGACTTCCATTGCTTTCATTTTCTTCTTCTAGGTATTGAATTTAGAAAACAACAAATTATCAAAGCTACCATCATCTATTGGTAAATTACGGCATCTACAAACACTCAATATTAAATGTAAGTAATAAATGTGATATGAGTTTTGAACAGAGGAATTCTGTAAAATAAAAGCAACAATACAGTTTGAAAGGGTGTGATTGCTTTACAGTTAGGGGAAAAAAGGACGTAGAAATATGAAATGCTCATCAAGTTTGTTAATTTTTTCACGATTTTTTATCAGTCTTTGTCTACCACTATGACAGTCAAAAAGTATATCATAAAATAATCACAACAACACTTATATAAACATGGATTGTCATTGAATGTACATGGGTTGGGAAGAATATTTCTCTAATTGTTGCGTTATTTTCACATTGCTTGATCGGTGTGAGAAAAATATTTCTCCTCACTAGTGAAATATCTGTTCTCGGCAAATTATTGGTCGAAATTTAATTGGGACGTCAAATTTTCTTGGTTTCTTTTGAATTTCCTATTGTGACGTCATGAAAAAAGGCAACCATGCCTGATGATGTCACATATAAAGAACACAACTTCCTGCAAATCTTTGAAAAGGAAGAATAAAAATCATTAGAGAAACAGATTCCACCACTATAACTCGTGTATTACGATATTTCTCCACTCTCAACAGTTAAATTTTAATTATTGAAAAAGCTTGGCAAGCCTCACGCTTTAAATATTAAAATTTAACTGTCTCGAGTGGAGAAATATAGTAATACATTTGTTGCAGTGGTGAAATCTATATTTCCAAGCTTATTTTTCTTCATCTTAACATCATGGAAGTCTTATGCAAATATACTGAGTAAAAAAAGTTAAGCAACATATGTTTTAATTAAAAGACTTCGAAATAAAAATTTCCGAAGTTTTAATCTTTAGACTCAAATTTTTGTTGAATAAAAATTGCACCTTATGGTTTATTTTCTTTGTTACAATAATTAATTTTATTGTTATATTGAGTTTAATTTATTTTTGAAATATGAATATAAAATTAAAAAAAAATTGTTGCTAAACTTTTTTTTACTTAGTAATTTAATATAGTATTCAAAAATTTAAAAACTGATATCTGACAGACTTAATTATGTCTGATGAACATCTGAGGGATGAAATTTTGTGTATTTAAAATGGTTTATGGTTGTTGCCTTGATTACTGTGGAGATGATTCTATATTTGTCAGATTTGTCACAAATTGCCAAACTGGTTGAACTAGAATACACTGATGCTATGTTTAATATCCTATGTTTTTAGTTGAATTCAACAGGCCAAAAAAGTAGACTTATCATACCTTTTCCATTCAGATCAATTACTTAGGTTTATATTGATACAACACTTCTGTTCTCATGTAAAGAAGTTTTTGAAAATAAAGAAGATATCTGACCAACAGACTCTGCTTATTTTCAGGTCCATAACTAAATGAAACTTAATTTTCAAATGTTAATAACCTATTTTTCTTTACTTTTCCAACATAGCCAATAGATTACATAGCTTTCCCGAAGAGATATGCAATTTGAAGAGTTTACGGACACTAGATATTTCTGGAAATAAGATTGTGAGATTGTCTAAACAGTTCTACAAAGTCAGGACTTTAGAGACATTAATATTAGATCCAGAACAGATGCACTACCCACCTAGTGGTAACTATGAATTATTAATATACACTGATACTCCATTTTTCTCATCACTTGGTGTCCGTCGTCTGTCGTCGTCGTCATCCCTCGTCGTTAGCTTTTTACAAAAGTCTTCTCCTCTGAAACCACTGGGCCAAATTTAACCAAACTTGGCCACAATCATCATTAGGGTATATAGTTTAAAATATGTGTCCGATGACCTCGCCAACCAACCAAGATGGCCGCCATGGCTAAAAATAGAACATAGGGGTAAAATGTAGATTTTGGCTTATATCTCTGAAACCAAAGCATTTAGAGTAAATATGACATGAGTAAAATTGATTATCAGGTCAAGATCTATCTGCCCTGAAATTTTCAGACAAATCTGACAACCTGTTGTTGGGTTGCTGCCCCTGAATTGGTAAATTTAAGGAAATTTTGCAGTTTTTGGTTATTATCTTGAATATTATTATAGATAGAGATAAACTGTAAACAGCAATAATGTGCAGCAAAGTAAGATCTACAAATAAGTTGTCATGACCAAAATTGTCAGTCGACCCCTTTAGGAGTTATTGCCCTTAATAGTCAATTTTTAACAATTTTTTGTAAATTTTTGTAATCTTTTACAAAAATCTTCTCTGAAACTACTGAGACAAATTTAACCATACTTGGCCATAATCATTATTAGGGTATCTAGTTTAAAAAAATTTGTCCGATGGCCTCGCCTCCCAACCATCATGGCCGACTTGGTTAAAAATAGAACATAGGGGTAAAATGCAGTTTTTGGTTTATATCTCTGAAACTAAAGCATTTAGAGCAAATCTGACAGGTGGCAAATATGTTCATCAGATTTAGATTTATCTGCCCTGAAATTTTCAGACGAATCCGACAACCCGTTGTTGGGTTGCTGCCCCTGAGTTAGTAATTTTACAAAAATTTTGCAGTTTTTTGTTATTATCTTAGATATCATTATAATATCTAATATCTAATACTATTAATTATGATTTTAACCTTATTTTACATGATTTCCAAAGCATCAGTAAATACAGGTGAGCGACACAGGCTCTTGAGAGCCTCTAGTTAAGGCTAACAGCACAATTATCATAAACAGATAATTGCTTACATCCACTTCATTTCAACTGCTTACATCCACTTCATTTGAACTGCTTACATCCAATTCATTTGAACTGCTACATCCACTTCATTTGAACTGCTTATATCCACTTCATTTGAACTTTGGTGGATAGATGTCTCATTGGCAATCATACCACATCTCCTTATATTTATATATATGATCAGGTACCTAAGGAAAGATTCCTCTTTAGAATTCTTTCATTCATCTTTGAGAGAAGAAAAATAAGATCCAAATGGATGATCATGGATGGTAAAAAAATGTTTAAAAAGAAAAAAAATACAATTAAAACAAATTAGGACAGTGACGGTGACAACACCATAGCTGTAAGAAAATAGTTGAAACTTTAAACAGTGGTCCATACATCATTAATCAGAAAACTAAAGATTAAGTAATGAGATGCATACAAGGACCATGATAAAGTCATGTGCTGCAGAAATATAAGCAATTTTTGCTCCACTGATGGCTGCAATTTAGTGAAGAGAATAATATATAAAAATAATTTTAAATAGCATACCTGAAAGGTAGATTAACATAAAGATTCAAGAATTTTGCACGCATTGTTCTTTTAGCATCATGGTAATCATAAATGTGATGCTATATTGCTTGAGAGGGGTTTAAACACTTTTGGAATGTGGGATATAGAGTGTTAAAAAAGTGGGGATTTGGGATATAGGGGTTAAAAAAAGTTAGATCTTGGAAAAAGGAGGAAAACAAGTTTTAAGTAGGAAAGAATTACAAAAAAAAAGAAGCAGGATTTGGAAATGAGGACCCCCATGTCACCCCCATTGCTTGAATGTGATGCTATCTAAAATAATTTCCTTATAGATATTATCATGGATGTGATGCTATAATCTCTAGAAACAAGATGGTATTTTATAATTTGTTGTTTACCAGGAAGCTATAAGAAATTTGTAGGGAGAACACTGCCATGGTTGATTATAATAGAGATGAATGTCACAAATTATATTATTTTTTTAAATACTTGCATATACAGTACAATGTTTATTTCTGTAAATAAAAAGTACTATTGAGACATGGTTAATTTTTCTTCTTTAGTCTCAACAAATATACTGTAAACCAACTTATTTTCGAGTATACTTTATTTCACGTTTAGCCCTTGCTAGCCCATTTCGCGGCAATTTAATTTTCATTTTGATTTTCAAATTTACCTGATGCAGTGAAATAAGGAAACATACAAGTTTTACTATCGTGATGATTTATATTTTCGCATTATTTTTCTAATGCGAAAGTCATGAAAATAAATTGCTCATAAAAATTAGTTGGTTTACAGTAGATATATGCTCACATGAAATACTTCTTGCTATATAGCCTTTCTGCGCTGAAGCAATCAAAAATCAATCATCTTTGAAATATATTCCTTAATTTTCTTTTACAGATGAGTGTTGTAAAGGTACAGAAGCAATCATGATATTTATTTGCTCAGGTGAGTCAAAAAGTGCACATAGACATTTTGTAATCAGTTTTATGCATATTAAAAGTTGTGAACAATAACTTAAGTTTTAATATTGGTGCTGTTCTTTTTCATGGTTGATTAAATCAGAGTTATGGTATGGCTAAAAATTTACATTCTAGGTAATCAGGTATAATGTTGGTGTGAAAATCTGAGCAATAAAAAAACAGTATGTAGCTGATGGTTTGTCTAGCCACACATAATTCTTATACTATATCTACTTTCTAAAACTCCATGGGGTGAACAAACACCATTATGTTTACTTTTGGTAGAGTCTCCTGAAGTGGATACCACGGTATGCAGGGTTGTCAATAAATGTTAATAAATGTTTTAAAATAAAGTTCCAATTTGACAGCACTTCATGAAACTGCAATTTAAAAAAAAAAATGCTAGTCCACATGTTTCGTCTGCCAGGCAGGCATTATCAGGACAATTTACATACAGAAATTAAGTACTGATTGATTGATTGATGCCACTTTCAACACTATTGTGCTATTTCGTGGCAGTCAGTTTTTATTGGTGGAGGAAGCCGGAGTGCCCCGAGAGAACCACCAACCATTGGTAGGAAAACTAACAATCCTAGTCACTAACGATTGCAGTTGAGTGCATCTGCCATGTGCGGGATTCGAACTTACAACTTCAGTGTTGACAGGCTAGTGATACAGTAGTTTGACTACTTAGACCACTTAGTCACCGAAGCCCCTATTAAGTACTGAAGAACAAAGCTTGGTACATGTTCATTAAATTTTACGTCAAAATAATATGTGTTGCTCTGGGTGTGAGAAATAATGAAAACTGAAAGTAGAGATTTATAAATAGATCAGATAAATATAGAAAATTAAGTTTGTTTTAAAATTCAACTTGAGTTGTTTTGTACTATAAATCTCCTTTCTGTTTGCCTAATAAATATAGCATGCTCACATGGAGTAATTTAGTTCGTTTTGCCCAGCAACCACAAATCAGAACTGGTTGAAGTTTTATTGCTTAGTGTTATCCTTTTTTCTTTCTATTGCATCACCAGCTGCTTTCTATTTTTGCTGAAGAATTACTCTATATAAAATTTAGATGGGGTTCTATTTTAAAAGTATCTCTCAAATTGATTCTTATACAAAAAAACGACATGCAATACTGTGGATTCATTAATATTCGTTGGATACCAATTTCGTTGATTTCGAGGGAACATGGGAACCACAAATTTAAATAATCAACGAATAACAAATTTTCTAAAGGAATGTATGCAGACTTTGACAAAACCACGAAATTAAACATCCACGAATATACAAGTTTTCCTCAAACCATGAAAATTGGTACCCACGAAAATAAATGAATCCACAGTAGTGGAAAACTGAGACATCTAAAATAACATGCACAGTATTTTTTACTTTTTTTTGTAGTTTATTTAAGCACAGGTTAAAAAAAAAATGAATACATGTACATGCCAATATAAACTATAACCATTTTGGCTGTAGAGTAATTATATTATCTTATGAATACATATGCACACAAATATTTTTGTCTTTGTGTTGCCAGACAGGGAAGCTGTAGCAATACATAGGGATCACTTTTGTCTTTGTGTTGTCAGACAGGGAAGCTATAGCAATACATAGGGATCACTTTTGTCTTTTTGCATCATTATCAAACTTTGTTAATCAGCAATTCATTAAAAATGGCTTGATAGAAATGAACTAAACTTGCACAGATTCTTCTATAGGACAAGTAGTTGTGCACCTGCTATTTTGATTTTTAATATGAGAAAAATGTTTGTTTCCCATACCAGAACATGAAATTCTCACCATTTCTGCTTGTATCAGTTTGTCAACCCGTAACCCTTTGAAAATGGATAGGTAGAATTTCACCAGACTTCATCAGGACCTGAAGATGTGCACCTGCTATTTTAAATTTGATTCTTGTGAAATTTTTAGGTTCCAAGAGATTGCAAGAACACTAATCAGTTTTCTTTTGAAGACTCACACAATTTGAATTAAAACACAAACAAAAATACATGATGCTGTAAATTAAGAAATTATTGCTAGGTTTTTATTAAAATGAATAATGGGACTGGTTGTGTATCGCAATAATAAGAACTCACATTCTGATATCTGATACACATATCTGTATGCCGTTTTTCCTGAAATCTCAATAATTAATCTATGATTTTGGTCAATTTTTTTTAAATCATAATAACAAATGCACGTCATAATTTCTGAATTTACAGTAGATAAATTTGATAATTGTTGTATTTTCTACTTTCAGATAACCAAATAGAATACATACCTCCATCAAATTTTCTGTTGGACGTGTTAGATATTCCTACATCCCCAAGCAAAGTCAGTCAATCATTAGCAAAACATCTAAGAGACGAAGAAAGTTTACAGGTAAAAAAATACTTTATATTATAAATTATTGTTTAGATCAGTTCATCTGAAACCTTGATAAATCTTACCTTATGTAAAAATTGAGAATAATTGTATGTATCCAGAAATTAATTCATATATTTTTATGCCCCCGTCGTAGCCGAGGGGGCATTAAGTTTTACCCTTGTCCTTCTGTACGTACGTCCGTACGTCCCAAAGTTGGTTTCCGTCCTCTAACTTTAGCTTGCCTCAACCAAATGTTATGAAACTTATAAACAATGATTATTACCACAAAACACAGATCAAGTTTGAATTTTGGTGGCATCATTTTAACCGTTCTAGAGTTAACGTTATGCCCCTTTATAAATGGAAAAATTGCTGAATTTTTCGTTTCCGTTCTCTAACTTTAGTTTGCCTCAACCAAATGCTATGAAACTTATACACAATGCTTATTACCACAAAATACAGATCAAGTTTGAATTTTGGTGGTGTCACTATAACCATTCTAGAGTTATACTCCTTTACAAAGGGAAAAATTGCTGAATTTTTAGTTTCCGTTCTCTAACTTTAGTTGGTAAATTGCCTCAACCAAATGCTATGAAACTTATACGCAATGCTGGTTACCACAAAATACAGATCAAGTTTGAATTATGGTGGTGTCACTTTAACCGTTCTAGAGTTATGCCCTTTACAAATGGAAAAATACCGAATTTTTTGTTTCCATTCTCTAACTTAAGTTTGCCTCAACCAAATTTTATGAAACTTATACACAATACTTATTAACACAAAACTCAGATCAAGTTTAAATTTGGGTAGGGTCACTTTTATCGTTCTTCAGTTTTGTCTGTTTTATAATTTTATATGATATGCAAGCGGGTGCATCATCTGTGTCCCATGGACACATTCCACATTTATTTCAAAAATATTCTTTCTTCCAATTAAATGCAAAAATTGGAAAATAATCATATGTATGCCGTTATTTATTATGTGTAGTCTACAGGACGACAAACACATTTTTCACATGAAGGATAACATCACAGTTATTACTAAATTTAAAGTACAGTCGAACCTCGTTGTGTCGAAGTCGAAGGGACTGGACCAAAATATTCGACTCATCCGAGGTCGAGTGTGTCGTCATAAATTTGGAATGCATGAAATACGGTATGAGATTTGTGTAAACTAGATACAATGAACAGTGTGCCTTTTTTTCGATATGACACTTTATGATTGTGTATTCAATCTCCATTTTTGGTCCTTCGTAATAATTAAACACACAAGTACAGATACAAATCATGCACAAATAAAATCAATAGTCTACACAAATATTTACAAAGGTCAGTCATTATAAATTATGAAATCCCTCGCGGCACGAAATAAGTTCTGAACGGTCTCTGCTGAGGTCGTCTGCTTTACATTAAATCATCATGAATTTATTATAATTGTCCTAATCCTTTTATTTATTGTAATTAATGAGTTTTAAATCTAACGTTTCATTTAATCTCGGCTTGGGTTATTTAAATTGGTTTCGTTTTTATCTCAGGTGAAAAATGTTCAACACACTAACATTCCGCTTGAAAGATCAACACAGGTGTTAATTAGCGGTCTTCATAAACATGTCATTTTAACTAATATACAAACAAGTATGTTTACTCAGCTTTAATCTCTTTTGAAAATGATTAGGTGACATAAGAAATACATCCGATTTGAATTTTTATCATTAGGCCTGCATCTTTCAAAAATTCTTACTTTCAAACTTCGAGACATCGGGGTCAATTAACATTTTACTTCGACGGGACTATAAAATTTACTCGACTTAACCGAGTATTCGAATCAACCGAGTTCAACTCATCAGAGGTAATTATGCATTGATCAAACGGGAATTTTACCGGGACCAAGAAATTACTTCGACTCATCCGAGTTTTCGACACAACCGAGTTCGACACAACAAGATTCGACTGTAATTCAAACAAAACTGACATAAACGATGTCAAAACTCTGAATTAATCACTTCTGTTTAGTATTTCTGTTATAGAAAAGAAAAAAATGGTGGTCTTCTGTCTTAGCAAAAAATATTCAACAAGAGACTAACTTTGTATGAACAAATTGAAGACATAAAACAACATTGTAGAAACCCTACTAGAGATATTTTCTTATTTCTGTTTCAGAAATCTGTAGATGATTACAACACACAGATGGTAAAGTATTACTGGAGTTGTTTTTGTTGATAAATTTCTAATTTTAGATTAGTGCCTACAAAACAATAACACACAAATAATGGATGATATTGTGATAGTGTAGTTATTATCAGAGGATTAAATAAAATTATTTCCATATATTAGAAATCTAATTAAAATTAAAATAGCTGTGACCAAGCATAAAAAAATGAGAGTGCTGAGATTAAATTTTAATTAGATTGATACATAATGTGAATGTATCATAAGCAACAGCTTAGTTTTAAAATGGAAGGTCAAAATTTTCCATACAAAAAATATACTGTATCACTTTGAAAAGTAAGATCTTTTGTATGTATATACAAGAGACTTTCAAAATTTACTTTTATTAGAGCCAGCTTTCAATTTTCAAATACATCTCCAATAATAACACTGCAGGTAAAATAATTTAAAGGTAAAACGATTTTGATTCTAATTTCAAACTTAAAAAACTTCTTTGTGAAACGAAAAAATGATTCGTCATTACATTTCTCGTTCAATATTATAGATAGCTTTGATGATTGGTTTTGCATACAAATTATGAATAAAAAAAAATACTGTTGTACCTTACATTTGGAAGAACTTATTTTCATTATCAGTGTTTAAACATACAGGATAGAAAAAGACAAGAATTCGCTGATATAGAAAGAAAAATGCAGCAGGAAGAGAACGAACAGGCAGAGATCGCAGTGAAGATGAATATAAATAGGAACAAATATCTGGATGAAGTGGTTCAGGTACAGATTATATACATACAATCAAATCTCATTAATTTAAACTCAAGTAGAACAACTAGCCCTCATTATGCTTGATTCCAATCGTTATCTTTCCGTCAAAGTGTTTGGTTTTAGGTGACGTTATTTGACGTCATTTGTGCGTTTTTTGGGCATAAAATCTACGTCAGTAGGTTGAGCTAAGGGATGAATATTCCAATGGGGATAACTTCCTTATGACTGCTTGGATAATGGTTTTTATACGACCGCAAAAATTTTTTGTGGTCGTATATTGGTATGACGTTGGCGTCGGCGTCGTCATCGTCATCGTCCGAAGACACATTGGTTTTCGCACTCTAACTTTAGTTTGAGTGAATGGATCTCAATGAAATTTTACCTCAAGGTTCAATACCACAAAAGAAAGGTTGGGATTGATTTTGGGGGTTATGGTACCAACAGTTAAGGAATTAGGGGCCAAAAAGGGGCCAAAAATAAGCATTTTGGTAACTTCCAGACATAACTTGTGTGTTAGTGTATGGATCTCTCTGACATTGTACCACAAGGTTCCATATCACAAAAGGAATGCTGGGATTGATTTTGGGGGTAATTGCCTCAAAATTTTAGGAATTAGGGGCCAAAAAAGGGTCAAAAAACAAGCATTTTTCTAGTTTCATGACAATAACTTGTGTGTAAGTGTATGGATCTTTCTGAAATTGTACTACAAGGTTCCATATCACAAAGGGAAAGCTGGAATTGAGTTTGGGGGTAATTGCCCAAAACGTTTAGGAATAAGGGGCCAAAAGGGGGCCAAAAATAAGCATTTTTTTTTTCCAGACAATAACTTTTGTTCAAGTGTATGGATCTCTCTGAAATTGTACTGCAAGGTACCATACCACTAAAGGAAAGGCTGAGATTGATTTTGGGGGTAATTGCTTCAAAAGTTTAGGAATTAGGGGCCAAAATAGGGCAAAAAACAAGCATTTTTTTTAGTTTCAGGACAATAACTTGTGTGTTGGTTTATGGATCTTTCTGAAATTGTACTACAAGGTTCTATATTACAAAGGGAAAGCTGGAATTGAGTTTGGGGGTAACTGCCCAAAACGTTTAGGAATTAGGGGCCAAAAGGGGGCCAAAAATAAGCATTTTTCTAGTTTCCAGACAATAACTTGTGTTCAAGTGTATGGATCTCTCTGAAATTGTACTGCAAGGTACCATACCACAAAGGGAATGCTGGGATTGATTTTTAGGGTAATTGCCTCAAAATTTTAAGAATTAGTGGCCAAAAAGGGGCAAAAAACCAAGCATTTTTCTAGTTTCAGGACAATAACTTGTGTGTAAGTGTATGGATCTTTATGAAACTGTACAACAAGGTTCTATATCACAAAGGGAAAGCTGGGTTTGAGTTTGGGGGTAATTGCCCTAAATGTTTAGGAATTTGGGGCCAAAAAGGGGCCAAAAACAAGCATTTTTCTAGTTTCCAGACAATAACTTGTGCTCAAGTGTACGGATCTCTCTGAAATTGTACTGCAAGGCACCATACATTGTAACACAAAGGGAAGGCTGGGATTGAGTTTGGGGGTGATGAATCATAAGGGGGTTCAAAAAATTTGAGGGGGGATTTTTTTTTTCCTTTTTTTTCTTTAAAATTTTCCATTTTAAATTGGTTATTTCTGATTTATATATAAAAGCAAATAATAATGATATGGTTTGAATAGGTAAATTAAAAAATGTTTAAGTTCTTAGACCACATTCATTCTGTGTCAGAAACCTATGCTGTGTCAAATATTTAATCACAATCCAAATTCAGTGCTGTATCAAGCTTGAATGTTGTGTCCATACTTGCCCCAACAGTTCAGGGTTCGACCTCTGCGGTTGTATCAAGCTGCGCCCAGCGGAGCATTTTATTAAATGATAAAATTAATATATTTCTTTAGGCAGAGTTGGATTATGTACATAAGAATAAAGACGGGTGTTTAAAAAATGTCAAGCAGTGACAATTACCTTTATCAGTTCAGAGATGCAGGGATCCAGTTAGTCCATAAAACATTTAAATGACGTGAGAAATCAGTGTATAGTAAAAGAGTATTTCTGGTAATGGAAATGATATGGATCAAACTTATTGCTGGCTCTAGGGCTGGTGATGCTGTCTTCCAGCAGCAGCATCCAATGAAAACCAAGAATAACATCAGAAGTTTGAAGTAGTGATTTTAGCCATACTTTGTCATAACATTGTTGGAATAAGTTTAGGGTTGATAATATACCTATGTAAGGTAGTTACTGTATTGAGAATGTACTGTGGAAAATTGCATCAACTACAGGTTTTTGTCTTGTCTCATCAAAGTTGAAAAAGGGAGACTTAGGTGTGCTGTTTTAGGTGGTGTTGGTGGCAGCGTCAATAGATATAGGAAGATGTGGTATGAGTGCCAATGAGACAACTCTCCATCCAAGTTACAATTTATAAAAGTAAACCATTATAGGTCAAGGTACGGCCTTCAACACGGAGCATTGGCTCACACCGAACAGCAAGCTATAAAGGGCCCCAAAAAATTACTAGTGTAAAACCATTCAAACGGAAAAACCAACGGTCTAATCTATATAAAAACGAGAAACACGTATGAACTACATAAACAGACGACAACTACTGTAATCAGATTCCTGACTTAGGACAGGTGCAAACATTTGCAGCGGGATTAAACGTTTTAATGGTACCAAACCTTCTCCCTTTTCTGAACCAATAGTATAACATCACAACATAGAAAAACACACTATAAAATATCAATCGGAAGGCTTAACTCAATCAAAAAACGTAAATTAACACACAATGAACGAATAAATTTGACCTGTGACACCTGAATGCAAATACACAGTTAATAAAAAATTACAAGGGATAAATAATTATAGTCAAAAGTAAATAAACAGGTTTAAACAATGTTAAAGTATGATATCACTGTGAAATGTCAAACAATTTTTAGAAAATCATCACTTTTGAAGAAACCTGCGTCATATTATAAACAGGTAAATGAAAACAATGTATAAGTTTATAATAAGGTCAATTTATGGAAACTACTAGAGGTAGGTCAATGATATATGTTATGCAGTGGTATTAGCATTTGCAATTCTCTTTTCCATTGATATTAAATGGCTCCACCCTCACATCATGGTTCATTGACGTTGAAACTTTTGCATTGTTTACAAGTTAAAGTTTGTGTTTATGTAAGTTTAAAGGGAACCACTTATGATAAGTCAATTGTAATTGGTATGCAGTTTTTTTTTAGCATTTGCAATTCTCTTTTCTATGGAGATTAAATGGCTCCACCCTCTCATGGTTCATTGAATTTGAATGTTTTGCTTAGTTTACATGTTAAAGTATTGCCATCTTAATTTCAACATTTGCAATTTACAATGAAATTACATTAAGATGAGACAAATATCTTTGTCAGTGTTTATGGTATTTGTATTTCTTTGTTTTATGTTGCAGGATAGTGACAAGATGGACAAAGAATTAGAGGAAATTTCTCAAAAAAAGGATGAAGAAAGAAGAAAATTATTACTGGAATTAGAAAAGAGTAAGTGTACAGTTATATCTTTTCAAAAGTTAAAAGTCTTTGGATTTAGTTTTTATGCCCCACCTATGATTGTAGAGGGGCATTATGTTTTTCGGTCTGTGCGTCCGTTCGTTTGTCCGTCTGTTCGTCTGTCTGTCCCGCTTCAGGTTAAGGTTAGTTTTTGATAAAGTTGAAGTCCAATCAACTTGAAACTTACATGTAGTACACATGTTCCCTATGCTATGATCTTTCTAATTTTAATGCCCAATTAGAGTTTTGACCCCAATTTCACGGTCCACTGAACATAGAAAATGATAGTGGGAGTGGGGCATCCGTATAATATGGACACATACTTGTTTATTTTCAATTTTAAACATAATTTTTGATAATCACCTGCGACTATTTTCACAAAAAATCACTAACTGTATATCAGTTATTTTAATCTGAAATTTCTTAAAATGGCTTGACAGAATTAAACTAAATTTGCTGAGATTCCTCCACAGAAGAGGAATTGTGTACCTTTTATATTTTATTTTTGTTTTTTTTCTGTTAGGTTTTTTTTTGGATTTTCGTTACCAAAACATGAACTTTGTCATTAATGCTATACTATTTGGAGATATCAGGCAACAGAAGTGTTACTTTGAAAACTCAAATATTTTTTTTAGATAAATTTATTAAAGACAATTACATATTTTCTACCCCAGGAATAGATTACTTTAATAGCTGTATTTGGCTAAACCTTTCATAATTTTTAATTCTCTATGTTCTTCAATTTCCTACTTTATTTGGCCTTTTTAACTTTTTTTATTAGAGTGTCACTGATGCGTCTTTCGTAAACGACATGCTCATTTCAAATATAAAATTAAAATCTTGGTATGTATGATGAGTATATAAAAAGTTGCTGGTCAATCAGATTTATACAGTGTATGCCTGAGGGCAACTGCTCAAGTCAATTACTATGACCATTTTGTAAAAATAGCTTTATTAAAGATAATTCCATAAAAGTTGCGGGTCAGGCAGATTAATACAAACAAAAAAACAAATACTTCATTTGTCAATACAGCACCTAGAATGAGCAGAAGAATTAAAATCATAATTTTCAAACAGCATACGCCTGAGAACAACTGCTCAAGTGAATTACTATTACCATAAAAAAAATATAATGACTAATGTAGTGCATTGGAGTAATTTTGTGCTGAAAATATCTTTAGACATACTTACTCTTTGATTTGGATTTCTTTCTTATGATTGAAAATTTCAAGCAATTTTCAAGAGGATTTACAGCAATAAAAACATATAATTTACTTCATTTTTATTCGTATATTGGTATGACGTTGGCGTCGTCGTCGTCTGAAGACACATTGGTTTTCGCACAATAACTTTAGTTTAAGTGAATGGATCTCTATGAAATTTTACCATAAGGTTCAATACCACAAAAGGAAGGTTGGGATTGATTTTGGGGGTTGTGGTACCAACAGTTAAGAAATTAGGGGCCAAAAATAAACATTTTTGTAACTTCCAGACAATAACTTGTGTGTTAATGTATGGATCTCTCTGACATTGTACCACCAGGTTCCATATCACAAAGGGAATGCTGGGATTTATTTTGGGGGTAATTGCCTCAAAATTTTCGGAATTAGGGGCCAAAAAAGGGGCAAAAAACAAGCATTTTTCTAGTTTCATGACAATAACTTGTGTGTAAGTGTATGGATCTTTCTAAAATTGTACTTCAAGGTTCTATATCACAAAGGAAAAGTTGGAATTGAGTTTGGGGGTAATTGCCCAAACATTTAGGAATAAGGGGCCAAAAAGGGGCCAAAAATAAGCATTTTTCTAGTTTCCAGACAATAATTGTGTTCAAGTGTATGGATCTCTCTGAAATTGTACTACAAGGTACCATACCACAAAGGGAAGGCTGGGATTGAGTTTGGGGTGATGAATCATAAGGGGGTTCAATACGCAACAGCATAGTGTATTTCACAAAAGCAAAAAAAAGGGGGGTAAATTTTTTTATTGGGGTGGGGGGTCAATTTCACAACAGCATAGTGTATTGCTCAAAAGCAAAAAATTGAATATAAATTCAAATCATATAACCAATTCTAAGTTCTTTGACTACAGTTATTCGGTGTCAGAAACTTATTATGTGTCAAATATTTAATTACAATCCAAATTCAGACCTATTTCAAGCGCGAAGATTGTGTCAATTTTTGCCCCAACTGTTCAGGGTTGGACCTCTGCGGTCGTATCCAGCTGCACTCTTCGAAGCATTTTATTTTTTTTTTATCGAAATTTCAAGAGTAGAATAACTTTAATTTGAATGGGTCATATATCAGAGTCAGTCTTTTATTTTATTTCTTTTATTTTGTAGTTGAGAATGGAGTGAATCGACTGATAGAAGATATGATGATGGAGAACAAGAGAGTAAAACAGGTTGAGCAATGGATTGATCAGTTGGAAGAGGAGAGGTAATATTCAGTTTGATATCAGTTATCAAAGGACAATGTTCACTTTAGGCCAAATATGGCCTTGAATTTCAACTTTATCATAAAAATATCATTTTAGAATGGCCATATTTTGGTACTTAAATGGATCTATTTCAAAAGCCTTACTTAAAGATTACATTTTTGGTTCAAAATCAGCACATTTTGGATACTTTAAATTCAGAAATTATTGCGAGGTTTTTATTAATGCAAATAATGTGACTGGGTGAGTATTGCAATAATAAGAACTCGCATTCTGATAACTGAAACATAGACCTGTATGCTGATTTTTTCGAAATCGCAAAAATCGCAATAATTAAACTAGCATTTTTGTCTATTCTTGAAAAATCGCAATAATAAATGCACGCAATAATTTCTGAATTTACAGTATATTGTCAAAATACGATGATTTTGTGCATTTTTTGGGATCTAAAAGCTTTAGGAAACACTTGGCCGCAACCTAGGATCCAAAATATTCTGTAACCAAGAGTTGCTAATAATGATATTGAATCCCTAGACACAAAAACTATCTGGATCTTGGGTGGAGGCCAAAGTAAATTATGCTGAAAACTGTGAAGAATTATTGAAAATTTGAAAAAAACTGACGTTTCAATGCACATAATGCATACTTAAAGAGTCAATACTTTGTCATTTTAATATGATGTGCCAAAATGAAGTTATTTTGTATTGATAGTAATATTACAAATATTTCTATGTGAAATTTGTAGTATTATGGCCTGATTAAAAAAAACATCAAAATCTTTTAACCCTTCATGAACTTACTCCTTTCAGTCTGTTTATGGAAGCTTTACTTTCTTTCAGTTGACCGTCTGCCTGAAGGTTCATTGATTTGTTTATTCAAATTTCTGTGGGTGTTTCTTGTATTTAAGTACACATTTTGATCAGCATAAAATAAAAACAAATTAAATATGAACAAAATGAGATAAGGGTATATACATCAGTGAGACAGGTTTTCTGGTTTCACCAAAGTCTGCATACAAGTCTACAAAAATACTATAAATCGTTGAACATTTAAATTTGTTGTTCACCTGTATCCAGGAAATCCACGAAATTTGGTATCCAACGAATAATTATGAATCCACAGTATTATGGACTTTTTATACGCCCGTCAAATTTTTGACGGGACGTATTATGGTATACAAATGTCCAACGTCTGTCCGTCTGTCTGACTGTCTGTCCGTCTGTCTGTCTGTCTGTCTGTCCGTCTGTCCTTCTGTCCGTCTGTCTGTCCGGCTTAAACATGTCACACCGTAACTTGAGAATGACTTATCCAAATTTCATGAAACTTAACATAGTTGTTTCTTATGATGGTCAAACGATCTGTATACTTTTTGGTGAAAATAAGATTAAAACTTTTTGAGTTACGGGACTTAGTAACTAAAACAGGTGTGTGTTTAATTATACGACCGCAAAAAATTTTTGTGGTTGTATATTGGTATGACGTTGGCGTCGTCGTCGTCGTCGTCGTCGTCGTCGTCGTCGTCGTCGTCGTCGTCTGGCGTCGTCCGGCGTCGTCCGAAGACACATTGGTTTTCGCACTCTAACTTTAGTTTAAGTGAATGGATCTCTATGAAATTTTACCACAAGGTTCAATACCACAAAAGGAAGGTTGGGATTGTTTTTGGGGGTTATGGTACCAACAGTAAAGGAATTAGGGGCCAAAAAGGGGCCAAAAATAAGCATTTTTGTAACTTCCAGACATAACTTGTGTGTTAGTGTATGGATCTCTCTGACATTGTACCACAAGGTTCCATATCACAAAAGGAATGCTGGGATTGATTTTGGGGGTAATTGCCTCAAAATTTTAGGAATTAGGGGCCAAAAAAGGGGCAAAAAACAAGCATTTTTCTAGTTTCATAACAATAACTTGTGTGTAAGTGTATGGATCTTTTTGAAATTGTACTACAAGGTTCCATATCATAAAGGGAAAGCTGGAATTGAGTTTTGGGGTAATTGCCGAAACGTTTAGGAATTGGGGGCCAAAAAGGGGCCAAAAATAAGCATTTTTCTAGTTTCCAGACAATAACTTGTGTTCAAGTGTATGGATCTCTCTGAAATTGTACTGCAAGGTACCATACCACAAAGGGAAGGCTGGGATTGATGATGGGGGTAATTGCCTCAATATTTTAGGAATTAGGGGCCAAAAAGGGGCAAAAAACAAGCATTTTTCTAGTTTCAGGACAATAACTTGTGTGTAAGTGTATGGATCTTTCTGAAATTGTACTACAAGGTTCCATATCACAAAGGGAAAGCTGGGTTTGAGTTTGGGGGTAATTGCCCTAAACGTTTAGGAATTTGGGGCCAAAAAGGGGCCAAAAAACACATTTTTCTAGTTTCCAGACAATAACTTGTGTTCAAGTGTATGGATCTCTCTGAAATTGTACTGCAAGGTACCATTCCACAAAGGGAAGGCTGGGATTGAGTTTGGGGGTGATGAATCATAAGGGGTTCAAAAAATTTGGGGGGGGGGGATTTTTTTTTTTTTTCCTTTTTTTTTTCTTTTAAAATTTTCCATTTTAAGTTGGTTATTTCTGATTTATATTTAAAAGCAAATAATAATGATATGGTAGAAGATACACACCAAACAGGATGTGTAAATTATTATATAATAAGTATTGTGCAATAGCAAGAAATTTTCAATTGCGCAGTATTGCACAATAGCAAGAAATCTTCAATTGCACAGTATTGCGCAATAGCAAGAAATCTTCAATTGCACAGTATTGCGCAATAGCAAGAAATATTCAATAGCACAATATTGCGCAATACATGTGTAGCAAGAAATTGTCAATTGTACAGTATTGCGCAATAGCAAGAAATACTTAATTGCACAGTATTGTGCAAAAGAAGATACTTCGTATAAATTGCTTATTTCTTGACCAATTTCAATGGGTTTTATTCTTGAATTCTTGGGTTTCTTTAATATGCTGAATCTAACCGTGTATTTAGTATTTGGATTTTGGGCCCTGTTTTTAAATTGGTCCACATTGAGGTCCAAAGGGTCCAAAATTAAACTTTGTTTGATTTCATCAAAAATTGAATTATTGGGGTTCTTTGATATGCCGAATCTAACCATGTATTTAGATTCTTAATTTTTGGTTCCGTTTTCAAATTGGTCTACATTAAGGTCCAAAGGGTCCAAAATTAAACTTAGTTTGATTTTAACAAAAATTGAATTCTTAGGGTTCTTTGATATGCTGAATCTAAACATGTATTTAGATTTTTGATTATGGGCCCAGTTTTCAAGTTGGTCCAAATCGGGGTCCAAAATTAAACTTTGTTTGATTTCATCAAAAATTGAATTCTTGGGGTTCTTTGATATGCTGAATCTAACCATGTATTTAGATTTTGGATATTGGACCATAATAGGTGAATGTCCAATTTAAAATTTTTTAGTTCTTAGACCACATTCATTCTGTGTCAGAAACCTATGCTGTGTCAAATATTTAATCACAATCCAAATGCAAAGCTGTATCAAGCTTGAATGTTGTGTCCATACTTGCCCAACTGTTCAGGGTTCGACCTCTGCGGTCGTATCAAGCTGCGCCCTGCGGAGCATTTTATTTCACATGTCGCGCCGTATCTCAAAAACAATTTATGATTATTGATTTAAACTTTACACACTTCTTAGTTATATTAACCTTAAGATCTGTATACTTTTTGGTGATGATTCAAAATTTTATTTTAGAGATATTGAGTATTTTGTTAAAAAAGGGGGAGGGTTTTTTTTTCACGCGTCGTATCTTAAAAACAATTTATGATTATTGCTTAGAATTTTATACACTTCTTAGTTATATTAATCTAAAGATCTGTATACTTTTTGGTTTTGATTCAAAATTTTATTTTTGAAATATTGATTTTTTTTTTTTTTAAAGGGGGGTTTTCACATGTCGCGCCGTATCTCAAAAACAATTTATGATTATTGCTTAAAATTTTACACACTTCTTAGTTATATTAATCTAAAGATCTGTATACTTTTTGGTTTTGATTCAAAATTTTATTTTAGAGATATTGAGTTTTTTGTAAAAAAAAAAAGGGGGGGTTTTCGCATGTCACGTCGTATGTCAGAAACTATTTATGCTTATTGCATAAAAATTCACACACAAGACGACGGGCGTATCATGCGCTCATGGCGCAGCTGTTTATTTGTTGTTTTGGTACAATTCTTAACATTTGTCTACATTCTTGGTGATTTATAGCTCATAAAATGTCTTGAATGCTTGACCATTTTATGACTATAGTGGTTGGTAGTTTTTTGTCTTGTCTGCAGCTAAAGTCACAGAAATGAGACATGGAGGCATTAATGATTACTAGCTTTTAGTCCAGACATATCTGTGTGTTAACAGTTAATTGAAATTTGGTAAACTTCTGAGTTGAGTTTTTATCTTCTGTGGATTCATTCATTTTCGTGGGTACCAATTTTCGTGGATTGAGGGAATTTGTGTTTTTTGTGGATATTTGATTTCATGGTTTTGCCGAAGTCTGCATACAAGCCTATAAAAAATTTGATACTTCGTTGAACATTTACATTTGTGGTTCACGTTTACCCACACAATCCATGAAAATTGGTATCGCACAGATAATTATGAGTCCACAGTATGTAATGGTTTCTTAGCTTTTCTTGTCGTTCGTAGGTATTGATTTGATTGTAATTAAATCACTATTTTCTTAATTTAAATTTATTGAATTTGTTTTATAACAGTTTTTGATGATATTATATTTTAGAATGAAAGATGATGATTGGTGTAGTGTTCAGTATGAAGAGTATCAGAAATTACGGAAGCAAGAAATTTTAGGTAAATGTTGACATGCTTAGACTTGCATCTATGGCACATGATTGTGCACATGCCCTCAATATACAAATCTATGACACATGATTGTGCACATGCCCTCAAAATACAAATCTATGACACATGATTGTGCACATGCCCTCAAAATACAAATCTATGACACATGCTTGTGCATGTGCCCTCAAAATAAAAAAAATTAAAACATGATTGTGCACATGTCCTCAAAATAAAAATCTATGACACTTGATTGTGCACATGCCTTCAGAATACAACTCTATGACACATGATCGTGCTACATGCCCTCAAAATACAAATCTATGACACAAGATTGTGCACATGCCCTTCAAATACAAATCTGTGAGACATGATTGTACACATGCCCTAAAAATACAAATCTATGACACATGTTTGTGCACAAAATACAAGCAATACACCTTTTACAAAAAATCTGTATGATCATGAATACAGGTACTAGTATGCACTCTATAATGTATGCACTTTATGGATGTAACTCCTCTGGCATTCTTCATCAGATGTTCAGGCATCTTTGGACATGGTAAGATCCTAACATGGAGATGTGCCTACATAGGCCATCATGGTTGTTTCCAATCCCAGAGACAAAAAGTGGAAGTCGGTATATTTGTCCTGCTCTGCAAACAGTTCTAGTTTGAAGAATATAATATTTTTTTTTCAGATAATATGCAGAATCTATTAAATGATATAAATGCACATGAAACGTTAAGACTGCAGAATTTAGGACTAAAGGATGAAACAATGAAGCTAGCATTACACAGGTAAATTTGTTGTACAATAGATATACATAAATAAAGCAGAACTGTAACTGTGGCATTTGTGTACTTACATGTATATACTTATGATTACATGCATATAGGTTATTTTATAAGTTATGATAATTTTTTAAAGAAAAATAAACAGACTGAATAGTAATTTTATAAAGTACTTTCAAAACGGGGTAACTACTTAGAATTTAGAATTTCGCTTACATTTTCGCTGTTCTTGACACCAACCAATAGTGGGGAATTCAATGTGCCTTCTCTGGGTCCCATGTATGTTTTATAGAACATCCCTAAGAGGGAAAGCACAATTATAAAAAAATTATTTGCTTTGATCAATTTTACTTTTTTGGGGGGGATTTATATTAGGTATAACTAACTTCACTACATTCAAAACATGTTTCATAAAAAAAAATTCTCAGGAACACTCACGGACAAATGTATAAAATCTTTAAAAAATTACTCATACATTATTTTTTTATATTTAAACAGCGAAGAAGTTGCTTCTTATCAACAAGTAGAAGATGTATTATTGAACAAAGAAATAGGACACACAGTAGTTACAGATTTATATATACAACAGGTATGGAATATATTGATATTTGTTATGTAGCAAGTGATTCAACATTTTTTGATTTTGAATACAGTCTTAGGGTCACAAAAACAGATAATGATTAAACATAAAGGATCCTGCATTTTCAGAATTTCACATTTTAAAGTTGCAACAAAATTTAAATGCTTATACAATAACACATTTACATGTACATCTGTTCAAATACTTAAAATTGTTTTAGAAAAAAAAATATGGGGATAAAGTGCTTTTCTATATTTATGAGTGTTCCATTTTATAATCTATAAGACTTATTACTCAATTTTTTTTTGGCATTAAAAATGAAAAACACAAAATCTAGAAGGAAAAAATCCATGTTAGGTTAACACTCAAATCTTTGCCTGAATAATCTTAACAAAATGTACAAAATATTATTCATGGATTTCAGGGAAAAGCCCAGAGAGATGCATTTGAGGTATTACAGTTACAAAAAGATGCTAGAATCCAGAGAATAACTGAACAGATAGCTATGATTGAAGAAGAGCTTTATAATCTTACTCTGGTTGAATTAGAGAAAAGACAGATGAAGGCTACCTTGGAAGCTGTATGTATTTAATAAATAGGGGACACAGATGATAGTTTAACTCATCTATATTGCTTGTTTTACTAATTACTAGTTCAATGATAGTGCTGTAAAATTTATTGACATTTCCATGTGTAATTAAAGATAGACATTGTTAGATGAATGAGTGGGTTAAAAATTTGGCTCAGCATGTTGGTCTAGTACAAAACAGGGTTTAAATATTCATATTACATTAACATGTTCTTGTCCTGAATATGCATATTAATTTGCCGCTGGATGATAAGCAGCCAGCCATCCATCATCATCATCATCATCATCATCATCATCATTGTAGAAAATGTTCAAATGCTTGAGGTGATTCGATATCATGAACATAATGTGCCATTATTTTGAATTTCCTATTTTTCCTGCTTCCTGACAATGCTTCAATTCAATGAGTATTTATCTTTTGACACTTACCTTTACTTTGATAATCACCTACAATTCAATGAGTATTTATCTTTTGACACTTACCTTTACTTTGATAATCACCAAAACTATAAGGTATTTATATTTTTTAGAGCTTATTAGAAGAGAAGAGACACTCATTAATCAAAATGTTGGAACAATTGATGGAAGAACAAGAAAATAGAAGAATGGAATTGAAGAAAAGATTGGTAATTATAATTAAGAAAAGATAATCATGGGGCAGGCAAGACAGTCAGCATGTACACTCTTATCTCCTCAATGCTCAATACTTTCTGGTTTCCAAAGTTTGGTTTCAAGAAACACAGACACAGATACTGACTTTATATATGGTACATTCAATAGCCTATGTATCTATCCTTAACTTTACTGCTGTGTATTTTTAAATTGGAAAAGTAATAAAATAATAATAACAATGAAAATTTATAAAGCGCCCTATATAAAAAAGTAAAAATTACTCTAAGGCGCTGTACATGCAGCAGGGTAATTAAAACAAATCAAAGACAGAAACATAAAACATAAAACATACACTTTGTCAGATGCAAATACTGAAATAAAAATACAACGAAAATGCCTACCATAAAAAAGGTCAATTCGGAAATACATATTAAAACAAAATATTAAAAATTAACAATCTTGTCTAAAATCATGCAAAACAAGCAAAAAACCCTAAAAAGGAATACAAAACGTTACATTAAAAGTAGATACAAAACAAGTAAAAATCTGTAAACGAAAAAAAAAAGAAAAATTTTATTTAAAAGCAATGCGATAAAAATGAGTTTTAAGCTGAGATTTAAAGCACTCTAGGGACTTGTATTGTCTCAAACTGTTTGGGAGATTGTTCCAAAGAAATGCTGCTGCCAAATCAAATTGTCTTTCGCCGTACATCTTCGTCCGCACTTTTGGAATGGTAAGTTGTTGTGTATAGCTTAAACGGAGAGATTGATGTGGCACGTGTAAATTGACTAGTTCCCGAATGTAAGCAGAGCCAATACCATTCAAAGCACAGAACACATAAATAAGTATTTTGTATTGTCGTCTGTATTGGAAGGGTAACCAATGTAAATCAGCAAGTATCGGTGTAATATGTTCATGTTTTCTTGTCCTGATGATAAGACGAGCTGCTGTATTTTGTACTTTTTGTAAAATAAACATAGGATTGATGTTTAAAAGACAAGTTTCTAATAGAATACTACAAAATTGCAGTATATCAATTTTTTTAATGCTTCCTTTATCTTGGAAGTAGCTACTGTATTTTGGGATGTATGATTCATGGTCTTTCTCTCCAAAATCAAAATTGCCAGGTAGAGGTGCAGATTAAAGAGGACTACAAGCAAGAAATAAGAAAATAACCTGATTTTGCAATGTTTGTTTATGTTCCACCATGTATGTTCTTGACATTGTAGATGGCGCTCTTAATTCTTTTCAAATACTCTAATAATTTACATAACCTATATGGATATGCAATTTTAATTTACAATATCCAACATTCACTGACAAATATCAAAATATAATGCTACATTACAAATTTCTCCTTTATTTCCAAGCATTGCATAACAAACTATAAACTACAAAACCTAATCGGTTATTCATTCAGATTTGGTGTTTCATACTGCTGCAAGTGTATTGTTTTAGCTAAAGGTCCTTAAACATTAATGTGATGAATGATTTTATCATTATTTTATTAAAGGTTGGAACTGCTTTACTTTCAAAGTCTTTTTTTTTTGTAACATCTATCAAGCATAGAAACATTCTTGCCATATTTGTTTGTAATTTATGCATACTTTTCCTATTTCTGGTTTATGATAAACTTTTTTAGGCTTTTTTGCTTATTTTTGGCTTATTTCAACACTTGTTAAGTGTTCTAGAATCATTTACAAATATTTTCAACTTCATGAAGGGAAACAGGTTTTCCATGAAAAAACAGAAAACAATCACACACAACTATAAATTTATATGATTTTCACTGGAAGTTTTCAACAAGTGACAAAAACAAATTGGCAAAAAAAGAAAAAAGGGTGTGGTTATTTTTCAACATGGATAATACACAGCCGAATATGGTAGATGTCTTCAACTATGAACTGAAATTCTTACACAATACATTTATTTTTAAAATTGAACAGATTGAAATGGAACAACAGAAAGATGACGATCAAACAGATTATTGGTTGGTGCAATATCAAAGACTGTTAGATAGTAAACCACAGGCTGTTATTGATAGGGTTAGTATTTAAAAGTCCAAATATCTTCATTCTGATACTTCAAGGTTAAGGGTTTACAGCTTTTGTTGATAAAACAGGTCCTAAATAACAGACTACTGCAAATTCAGAAATTATTGCACGGTTTTTATACGACCGCAAAAATTAAAAAATTTTTGGTCGTATATTGGTATCACGTTGTCGTTGTCCGGCGTCGTCGTCCGAAGACAGATGGTTTCCGGATAATAACTTTAGTATAAGTAAATAGAAATCAATAAAATTTTAACACAAGGTTTATAACCACTAAAGGAAGGTTGGGATTGATTTTGGGGGTTATGGTCCCAACTGTTTAGGAATTAGGGGCCAAAAAAGGGGCCCAAATAACCATTTTTGTAGTTTCCAGACAATAGCTTGTGTTAAAGTGTATGAATCTCTCTGAAATTATACCACAAACTTCCATGCAACAAAGGGATGGTTATGATTGACTTTGGGGGGTTATGGCTCAAACCATTTAGGAATTAGGGGCAAAAAAAGGGGGAAAACAAGGGTTTTCTGGTTAAAGGACATTTGAGACAATTTAAAAGCAGTGTTAGGGAGGTAATCCAATTCAAATTAAAGAACACTGTTTGATTACCTCCCTTACACTGCTTGTAAATTATGTATTAAGAAATGATGATTGTCTTGAGATGATTAGCTGTCAATTTATTTTTAGCAGTTACTATTAATTAATATTAATTTTAGCCATGACTATGTATGTCATTTTAATTTTAAAACTTCTATGATGTATTTAAATGGGTAATTTTGGTTGCAAACTGCATTAGAAATTTGAATTGAGATACTGACCATATCTTTGAGGGAAAGAATTTTTTGGGGAATAAGGGCAAGGGGGGAGGTGAAAAAATTGGAGGGGGGGACAATTTTTCTCATTTCAGATTTCAGAAATTAAAAGAAAATTTCTTCAAATATTTTTTTTTGGGGGGGGGTTAATATTCAACAGCATAGTGTATTGCACAAAAGCAAAAAACCGGGGTAAAATAAATTTTTTTTGGTTGGGGGGGGGGGGGGGGGGGGTCAATTCGCAACAGCATAGTGTATTGCACAAAAGCAATAAATTGAATATAAATTCAAATCATATAACCAATTTGAAGTTCCTTTGACTACAGTTATTTCTGTGTCAGAAACCTATTATGTGTCAAAAATTTAGTTACAATCCAAATTCAGACCTGTATCAAGCGTGAATATTGTGTCCATTTTGGCCCAACTTTTCAGGGTTGGAATCTGCGGTCGTATTAGTAAAAGGATAAGTTCTTCTATTGAAACTTCAAGAATTTTGAGGTCCTGTCATGAAATGGATACACAAGTTTAAATTTTTCATCAAACCTCAAACAGTTATTTATAAGGCAGCTAAAAAAAACTCACTGTAAGGAAATGGAAAGCATTTTCATGTAAGATTGCAAAAACGTAAAGGTCTTATTTAAAGGTCAAGCATTAATGTCCAAAAACCGTAACATATTATTGAAAGAGTATTTATTTTGAAAGGTTCCTAGAATTGTTACTTTCAGCATTCAGACAATTCAATATATGAGTTTAAGTGCAAATGCATGTATTTAATCCACATTTGCTTGTAACTTGTCAGTTCAATGACCAATTTACTGGGAATAAATGTAACATGTTGATTTTATGTGTTTAGTTTATTTGGACTTTTGTTTTGTTATTTTTGCCATGGTGTTTTTTTCCGTTTTAGATTCATAGATTCTGATTGGCCATTGGTATCTTCAAACTTTTCCTATTAAAATATTTAAGGCCAATAAAATTATTATTTTTAAAGCCCAAATATCAAATAGCTTTGTAGATAAATCTATATATATATGAAGATGTTAAGCAGTGTGCTGTTTTATATTGACAGGAAAGGCAGTTAGCTACAGATGTTGTGACTATATTAGAGGATTCCAGGGCAGGAGAATATATCCCTATTTTTACACGACATAGAATGACTCCAGAAACTATTTTAGATATAACTGATGATGAGCTTAAACAGGTAAGGATATATCAAGTTTTAGAAGTGTCATATGTTTATATAGAAAGTGCAGTGGAAAAAAATATTTAGACATCTTTTGATTTTCTTTGTTGTTGGGTTACTGTCTTATTGACTTAGGCCCTACGTCTTCTCTTATTCATATTTATATGACAGACAGTTATTAAAACATGCAAACAGGAACGAAACAAAAAATAAAGATTTCAAAATATTTAGAAAGACTTGATTATATAAAACTGCTATTGCATGCCTTTCTCTTTATATTAAAAATTTAAATGGTTACTCCCTACTGCATTCAGACTTCAGTACATTTGTTTTAACAGATTGGAGTTCATGAACTTGGTCCTAGAAAAGCTATTTTGAAGAATATAAACAAATACAGAGCTCAACAAAAATTGGGTAATGGCAAAGAAAGTGCAGCTAATTTAATTAATAAAGAAAAGGAAGCCATGTTGGCTGAAAAGGGAGAGCACCCTCAACCAACAGCTCCACCTACAGATGAGACAGCTCAACCATTTTTAAGGCGTTCAACATCAAGACAAGCATCTATATTAGCCAGGGGAGTTAACTCCGAATGTGTTGTATGCATGGATAACCAGGTAATAGTTTAAGTACTTGTAGTCTGTTATGTATTAAAGTTTGGTATTTATTATTAATATATTTTTATTTTAAAAACTGGAATTTTTCAAAGATTTAAATACCTGTGCACAATAAAGAGAATGATGTTTAAATTTGATAATGAAGCATAAAGTATTTCATTCTGTATTTTAACAGAAAGAATAAAAATGATCTGGAATGATGAATAAATTTAGTTCAAGTTCAAGTTAACATGTAGGAGTGTATGTATTCACTTGAGTTGAAAGAATTGAATTTATTATGATTTTATTTGTCTGCCATTACATTTATAATATCTCATGGAGTGAGGAAGAAGATGAATGATGTCGATGTCAATAGGTCTAAGGTCCAAGTCATGGCAGCTATTAATATACTGAAACTTTGAAAATGTTTTGGTTTCCAGATGTTATCTATTGAATCATTTATCCCAATTTTACCAGATTTGGTTTGAGATAATACCCCATGAGATTAAAAACACCCCTATTGACCTTATGGTTAATAGGTCAAGGTCACAGCAGCTATTGGTAGATTGAGATTTGGCTTAATGACACCCTGGTTTCAAAATGTTATTTGTTTAACCATTTGTCCAACTATTACCAAATATAATGTGATCATAACCTGTGGGATAACAAAGACTTTTAATGATTTTGAGGTCACTATGTCAATGGTCAAGGTTACATCAGCTATTAATATACTGAAATTGGTTTCTGGATGTTATATTTGGAATCATTTATCCAGCTTTTACCGAATGTAGTGTGGTAAAGCCAAAATAGGATGTAGAAGACCTCTATTGAATTTGATGTCACAAGGTTAAAGGTCAAGCTAAGGTCACAGCACCAAATGATAAACAGAAAATAGGGCAAAATTTTTGAGTCCCTCAGGCCTAAAGTTAGACTGTGTTGGATAGTTGAACATAGACAATCATACAATATCTCCATATTTTCATATCGTTGAAATTATGCTTATATATATTTTAGCATTGAAAACCCAGTATTATTTTTTACTTATTATTTTCTTTTCAAAATTGGAGAACTTATATAGCATAGAAAAGCTAATTCCTAAAACGACTCACTATTTCTCAACTTTGTGTGAAAATATCTTAAACATAATTTTATCTGATCTATTTTCAGTCTGATGTCATATTTTTGAAGTGTGGACATGTGTGTACTTGTCAGAAATGCTCAGAACCACTTAATCAATGTCCTCTGTGCCGTGGAGAAATTGTTAGCAGAATTAAACTGTTGTCCAATCCAAGATAGAACTTTAAAATGCATGGTAGTGCTTTAATGACAACTCAGTCCATATTGGACAGATCTATATCTAGTATTGAAATGTTATTTTTTTCTCAATGTGATTATGGAAGTTGTCTTGATTTTGCAAAGAAAATGAAAGACGTGTTTAAAGTTTGTTTGTTACATATATTTAAGTTTTTGGATTTTGTCTTTTACTATGTGGATTATGGCAAAAATTGGATATGTTAAACCATTTATTTGTTATTTAAGGTATTAGTTTCGTCTTTTTCTCTGCAAAATCAAGACAAAGTTATAAAATGTTGTGAAATTTATTTCAGTTTTCAGTCTGTCTTTAAAAATACATCATTGACAGTGAATTCATTTATTTTCATGGGTTCAAATTTTTTTGGAACCAGGAAAATTTGTTACTTTGTGGATGCGTGATTTTGTCGTTTTCACAGATTCTGCATAGATGCCAACAAGGAATTTTGAAATTCTTTACCCATAAAATCCACGAAAAGTTAGAATCCCAGGAATAACAATGAATTCAGTGTAAACATTGTTGTGAAATTTATTTAATGTTTTTAAGTCTGTATTTATAAATATATTACAGTTAATGATCTTGTACTGAATGTAACCCTGTGTTGTTAATATTTTTTTTACACTTATTGCTAAATGTAAAATAATTCCTTACATGCAGTTATTTTGTATATTAACAAAAAATTGTAAACAAAAAAGGAAATTAAAAAATATTACTTATGTTCTTTCAAATTTTCTTAAGTAGTATGGGAAGTATTAATAAGAATTAGGACTGTAAATTTAGAACTTGTGCACTAGCCAAAAGTTGACCTTGTACTGTGTTGCTTGTTATGTTTAGGCTGTTTTGGTTTTCATGCTCTGAAATGTTTTATATTTTTGGTCTAGTCACTGCCGGTGTTGTAATAAAATTGCTTAAGTAATTTTAGCCGATTGAGCCATATTTATTTCAACAATTATAAATTTGATATAATTTTTTTTTTTAAAGTTCACCATTACCATTAACAAATTTGGACAATGGTGACCTGCTTTTATGCTGTTTTAATTTTAACAATTGAAAAAAGATATAATTATCACATTTTTCCACTACATTCATTAACTACCAAAGTTATTACAAGTTTTACCTGATGTGAATCACTTAATTCAAGAATTTAAGTTTGTCTGCAATTGCAAGAAATATATCGTTTTCTTGAGAGAGAAAATCATTCATCACTTAAGAAAACATTTGATGTCACATACCAAAAGTGATTGTTTTGCATACATAATAATGCCTAATGTCATAAAATTATGGCTAGCCGTTTTAAATTCATGGAACTTAAAAACTCATATATTTATTATTTCTTGCAAACGAAGACAACAGCATATTAAAGGTCAGTATATATAAGATATATAAGGTGAAATTTGCCATCTGTCAGATAATCGCAGGAATATATGTATACATTTTTGCGAGGATTAAGTGTACATTATATAAATGTTAAACTCTAGAAATGTCGATGGTGATAACATGTATGAGGGGGGGGGGGGGAGAGGGGGTCTCATCCCGATTTCCCGGTTTTAAAATCAGAAAATCCCGAAATCCCGGACATATTTTGTTAAAAATCCCGATCCCGATTAATTTGTTCCCCAATTTTAAAGTTTAAAGTTTCAATGCTTACGATTTAAATGTCTCGGGTATGATTGATGTTCAAAGTCTTTCAGCGTAACCAATCTGAATATGTATTATCAATATTACCGTGACGTCAAGCTGCATATAAGCATTTTTGTTCTCATAAATCTTCAGTAGCCAGTCAGAAAATTTGCCAAATTCCAGTTCAAGTCAATACAAGAACCTATATGACAAGCACTGGAATCGTTTTTTAACGGAGAGAAATTTGAATCTATTGAGTCACCATTCGAAAAACCACTGAACGAAGGATCAACCAATTTGCAGACATAAACAGAACTACAAATGTCACTTGAGAGATTTATAAAGTAGTCGAAACGCTGCTTTATATTATAAAATTAAAAAAAATACCCGATTTTAAGATACTTGTTAGGATAAATGATTATGCTTAGGGCTGTATGCAACTACACAACTGATCACCAACAAGAAGCTGATCGACCAACCTTGGGAAAATCAATAATGATGAATAATGGGTCAATTTTCTAGTAGTGATTGACAGGTATGAATTAATGTTGAGGCTCTTGTGGGGACACAATTTAGAAAAGTAGAAAGTTAAACTTATTTTATGTAGAAAACATGTTTTAAAAATAAAAATTATCAAGATAGTCCGTGACTTTAACAATTTTGTGAAATTTCTTTTTTTTTGGTCCATTAGAGATTTCAAAATGTACAGTGTTAGTGCTATAAATAATAAGCCAGTCTTGATGATATTCGTAAAGTAATTGAGGACCTGATGTGAGCTCAAAGCTTATCTCTAAACTTACTGTTACATGTACTCTGATCTGGATCTACTCTCTTTCTAGATGCGATTCTGATTGAAGTATAATGAAAATGGCACTTTTATCTGTCCTAGGTACAGTTTTTTGTCAATCCCGTTATATTTCAACATAAAAATCCCGATTTCCCATGGCTAAAAACGTGGCTTTCCCGCATCCCGATGTTTTTCTATCCCGAATTCCCCATCTTTAAACAAGGCAATCCCGATTTCCCGTTGCTAAAATCGGCCGATCCTGGCGTCCTGAAAATGGTCTCGCCCTCCCCTCATGTATTAAAATTATTAAGAGAAAACTGTTATTACCTCTACATTGTTGATCTATGTTAATTTCTTTTTTTATTGATCAATCCTGTATTAGTTGGTGCAATGAATATTTTGTTGTTGTATTTATTTTTTTCATTTCTTGAAGAGATATAATTTAGTTATATGGATGTATCTAAATATCTGCACTTTTAATCATATTTATACAAATAAAAAATGTTTATATGATCTTTCACCGTCATATTTATTGTTCCTTCAGCTCGCTGAAACCCATATGATTTTACTCAGTATATTGTCTCACATACATGAACCCCATATCTTTGCATTTTTATATTTTCATAATTTTTCTTTAACTGGTTGTGATGATCTATGAATTCATAACAATTTGAGGCAGAGTGGAATCAGAGTGTGAGGTGATGAGCATGTTATCCTTTAATTATTGGAGAAGCAGAAAATATCCCCAAAAATTCCTTACCAAAAATTGCAAAATTTGACATTTTTTCATTGGATTAACCTTGGTGACCACCTTCAATGTTCATAGCAAAACCATTTTCCTGGATCTGGCCCTGTTTTCATGAAGTTCAAGGGCAAACCATGAATTTAAGGTGATATATAACACATAAGAGAAATAAAGTCTACAGAATGTTTATAAAACATAATTCTTGATAACATTGACTAAAATTTTCAAAGCAAACGACATTTCTTATTTTGGCTATTTGATATATAGTGTGGAATTCTCTTGGCTTGATTGTAATAACGTTTTGAAATTTCGTGAGCTAAATTTTTATGGACTCGAATAAAAATTTGAAAAAAAGAAAAAGAAAATAGAATATTATGTAAACAAATTCAGCTTGTTTTGTACATATGTGTAAATCACATGTACCTCCTTTACAAAGAACAAACATTTTGCTTACTTTGTAAGTAAAAAAATAAGAAAAAAAGAAACTACTTTTCTTCTAGATTGTGTGAAAATTGGTACAGTGATAAGGGGTATATGTCAATGAGACAGCAATCCATCAACAAAAATGTCCAAAAGAAATCTACAAGCAATCTTCACAATTAGACAGGTGTGTACACAGTATGTCAAACTCTAAATCGCCCTGAATCTATAAAGTTGTGAATAAATTAAACGGAAGCAGTAAAAACAATAAACATTAATAAATGACATATGACAATAACCCTTACATTTACTGAAGCAACTACTGACTGTGTTGTACATTCAAAACTAAATGCATTCTTAGTACTGCTTTGGAAACCATAAGCTATTTTCAATTTTTCCAAAAAAAACTTGTATTGTATATATAAATGAATATATATTATTTATTTTCTTACACTAAAAAATAATAAGTAAATTTTTATGTAATTATGAAAATATATGTATAAAAGAACAATATATCTCTTTTATTTATGTTGTACATTATGTAATAAACACACAAACTTTACTTTAATTACTAACATTCAAACAATTATTTCTTGATTCTAATAAAATAATATATATGATCAAGATTTTTATCAATTACTATCAAAATTGATATTTTAAATTTATAATTTATAGATATTTGGATCATTTTACTTTAAACCTTATACAGGTGTTTAACATTTTCTTGCAGCTAAGTCAATTCTATTTTTAATTTTATGAAGAGCTGTTTTACACAATATCAGGTTTAACTGGGGTAAATCTGAGGTAAAATTAACCTAATCACCTGGTAAATATTGATATACAATAACAAACACATTTTTGTTGGTTTTGCTTAATTTTGAAGGCTGTGCAGTGACTTTTAGTTGCTTATATCAAGGTCATTGATGACTGTTGGGTAATTGTCTCATATGTAATCATACCAAATTTTTTTTTCTTTTGTATCTTGGTAAAATTCAAATTAATACGATCAGTTGCAAGAAAATAAAGAGCACTTATATTGGTTTTGGAGTAAACTTCTAGATGTCTAATTTTGGTCAGATTGTGTTGTTGAGTTGCTGTCTCATCGATAAGAACTTGGACAATCAATCAATTTGCAAATTGGATGCTGCTGCAAAAAATTACCATTTATGGTATTCTTTGTAGATTCATTCTTCTAAATTGAATGAATTTTTTAGTCTAAAATCCTAGAGGGGTTTGGTCAAGAGTTTTTTTATCTTCACAAAATCTTGCATCTCTTTTACTGAAGTCCATTATTGCAATAGCAGTTGTTAACAATTTCCTTTACACAAATTAGGGCTTTATTTTCATAAAAAAAGTGAAGAAACCATCATGTTAAATCATGTTTTCAGATATCTTTGTCAAATTTTGAATGAACTGCGCATGTTTAAAGCTTTTCAGTTGTACAGGTATTTTTCTAGTCAATGTTTTTAATCATACATGTGCATGCAAGTAGAAAATGTCTTTTACAAAATAGTTAAATGTTGAATATTTAAGTTTGACATTAAGGAATTAATTTAAGTTGAAAGTTGTACTGCTGCTAAATGGTAAACCTTTGATCTTAAATGAATTTTTACAACCAAAACCAAACATGTATTAACCAATTTTTCTTGCAACTAGTCATTGTACCCATATTTGAATTTTTATCTTCAGCTGTTTATTCAAAATCTATATTGAACAGAAGAATCAGCTGGTTTCAAAACTTGACCCTTGACCTTAGATTTCACCAGAAAAAATTAAGTTTCATCAAATGATATTATTTAAAACAGCTCTTGATAGAATTAGAAAGGAAATTGACCACTTTCAAGAAAATTGGTTAACACATTCATGGTTTCAGTTTTTAGGTAAAGAAATTGTATATTGTCAAGCAGGGACAGTAACTTAAAGATTTATGATGAAAGTATATGAGATCAATTACATAATACTTTATTAATTTTCACCTGATATGTGTGTAAACAGCTATGTAACTTAATGATATCCAATTTAAAAAGTTTTAAAGTATTGTAGGTAGTCTAACTGATTTTTAATTTACTAATTTTTTTTTTATTCTCATTATTTTCAAAGGAGTACCATTTAGATATGAATCCTTATGTTCCTTGTAAACAGAATGTCCTTTAGTTATATTTCTCGCTGCATTGAAGACCTGTTGGTGACCTTCTGCTGTTGTCTGTTCTATGGTCGGGTTGTTGTCTCTTTGACACATTCCCCATTTTCATTCTCAATTTTACATTTTATTGTCATGCACCAAAGTTACCATTAACGTCATTTGGGAAGATTTTTTAACCATTATTTGTCATGAAGGTACCCCAATTACGACCCTCATGTAGCCACTGAGGTCAGGTTCAATCAGGCAAAATCAATCAAGTAATACTGATTAATCAAATTGAAGGCTATCTTATACCAATAATTTTAAATAACAAGACTTATTTTATGTTTTATGTTCATAAAAGAAATCATTCAAAATTTACAGAAGACCATTTGTTGCTTCCCTTGCTGTTCCAAAGCTCAACAGAAGTGGTTATTCTATAAAATAATGTAACCAGAATTTTGTGTGCTAGGAAACAAATTTATTTTTAGAAAGAAAGAAAAAATGGAATATAAAGTCCAGTAAAAAAATTGATTTAGAAAATAAAAATATATTTTATAAATAATTGAAATAAAAAGATCCCTGCAACAATATATACAGCATTTAAAAAAAAACAATGTCACAGTTTTTGCTAATGCTGTAATTTGATTGACCCATAGGTAATATCTTACAAATGAACTCCACAGACTTATCTTAATTTGTTTATACATGTAGTTGTCCCATAAATTTTATATATGTATTATCCTTGATCTTATGTTTTATACTGTTCTGAATAAACAATATTATGAAGATTTTCAGTTTTGGTACTCTTTCTTATGGTATAGTTTTTGTCTCACCTTTTCGTCACGGAAGGGCCCTGCCCCCTAGGTCAAAGTCCAGCAATGTTGCTGTCCATCAGATATTCTTTTTTTCTGCCAACAAGCGAGACATATCTCCGTGTCAACAGTTTATTACTTGTTGAGTTTATTTATGAACATAAAAAAATGTACCATAGTTGTAGCCATCTTAGATTTTGAGATTGGCATATATATTAGAACTCATATTTGATTTTTGTCTTGCTTGCTTGCTATGAATGCCACAGAATGTGAGACATAGGGATGCTAATTCATGGACGGTAGTGATAGCTTTGTATAAAGCTTCATTTTTCAGAAGGTGGGAGACCTGGATACTTTACATCTTGTATACAAATGTACTGAAGTTTTTGTCTGGCATATGTCTGTTGTCCTCGAGTCTCCTTGACCACATTTTCATGGTTTATTGTCCTCATTTGTTCCATTTCTCAGATATTAAGCAATAGGTCAACTATATTGGATTTATACAATGATTGTCACTTTCACTTCATTTTCATGGTTCAGTGGTCAATGTTAAGTTCTTGTGATTATGTCCGTTTCTCAGATACTATAAGCAATGTGTTAACTGTTTTGAGTATACATGTATGATAATATGTACATGTCTGTCTGACAGGATTCATATGACCTTGATTATGGCTTGATATATAAATAATGATGTGTGGTATGGTTGCTTATGAGACCACTATCCACAAGAGACCAAAGGATGAGAATGTTGTTGAATATTAGAGGTCATCATACAGCCTTCATCAATTTCAGTAGCCTTTTCAATAGTCGTCTGGCGCGAAAAGAACGATAATTCAATTTTAGAATTGAATATTTTCGGAGACAGTCAATTTCCAGAATTGCATGCTTTATCATCATGGTTTTTTCTTTGGCCATCGATGACGACACTATTGCTGCATTCTTTGACAATAAGGTATATTTAACAAGACAGTATTATCAATGTATTATCATGGTATCAATATATGTTAGCAATGTTAGCTACCTGAATTAATTGTTATTTTGGCAAGGACAATTCATCACTTCCCCTGAAAACATGATTTTGTACAAGTTCACTTATGGGCATCTCCGGGCGGCAAGGCAGATCAATTTCCTGATAATTTTTACTACGGCATTCTGATTTTTATTAATTGCTACATATTACCGTTTTTTTTAAATCAATTTTTGTTTATATTATCAACAAATAAGAGTAACATACTAGGTCGAGTTGTCGTTCGTAGTGTATAGTTTGTTCCAAACCAGTGTTTGTTTCTTGTCAGGTTGGCAGTTGTTTATTAACAATAAAGTTGTTGCAACTAAAACACATGTTATCTTCAGTGTGTGTGTTTTTTTTTCTAATTAGTAATTGTTTATAAAAACAAACTGTTTCTAAATACATTTGGCAGATAGGATTATCATGTAATTGTTGTTTCCCTTGATTAAAAAATAGAAATTGCGTTTTTCTATATTTAAAGATTTACATGACACTTATTCAGTACTTATTTGTTAAATTGAATAGATATTGCTATTTTGAATTCATTTGTTGAAGATATTTATTTACGTTCTAAAGTTTAGTATTTGCATCCGTGCTTATCATTTATAACCTACGTTGGAAGACTTAATCATTTTATATAAATTGTTTGGAATTATAATATCGAATTAAATTGTTTAAAAACATTAAAAGGCCCTATGCAGGGCTAACTAGGCGAAGGCTATATAGCCAGTCAAGGTGGTTTTAAACTTGCATCATCATCGATGATTTGTCTGTGGACTGACGTTCAGTCCAACCATGGGAAGCTGTGATCTTCCAAAATCTCCCTATGAGGTTAGTGCATCTGCCTTATGCGTTTTTAAAACAGATAATTATTGCAGTCATTCAATGCTCCATTACTTTTGGTCTACATGATACAAATTGTACTTAATAAATTATATATTGTTTTCATTGTTTTTTTCACTTTTATTTAAATAGCGCTATTACATTAAGCATCAATCAGTCTTCTTATTTATCAGTTCACAAACTAGAACAAGCTGTGGTTCGCATCCCTTGCAGAATTGCTCCATATACATGCATGACCCCAACCCCTTTTCTTTTTTGGCTATTAGTAAGGGGTGACAGGAAACATTGATTCCCAGTTCCCTCCCCAAACTCCTACTTCACTCCGTATTCTGTTCCTCTGCACTCCTATTTTTTCGTCAACATGAATTATCCCAGTTTTATCAACCCTTTCCGCACGGTTAACACCACCCTGACTCCAGCTTTCATCTATCCAATTCCCATTTCCAGCCCTCTCATTCCATAGTTCCCATAATTCTGTCCACCCCCTTATCAGTGTCACAATGACTTGCTCCCATTAACAACCCATCATTTGGCCACAAAATATATTATACTTCCTGATTTGTTTCCTATCTGCAAAAATAAATTCAGTCACTTTTAAAATTTTCTATAGAATTAATTGAAAAAGAATCAGACTTTCATAAACTCAATTGAATTTGAATGTTTTAATGTCTTAAATTGTCATTCTTGCCTATTTATTTGATGACGCCCTTATTACCCCATAATGAATCTTTTTTATTTAAATCCACAAAGATTACATAGCAAATAAGTATTAAGGTTTTTTATTAAAGTTTACTTTGCGGTTTCAAAGTGAGGAACTAATTACAAAAACATGGGTAAGCAAACTAAATACCTAGAAGATGTTTTAAAAAATAGACTATAGTTGATGAGATAACTCCTCATGTAACAAGATTTATCTCTCCTGTGATTAAAACACATTGAGATTGAGATTGAATTGTCTCCCTTTGATAACAGCTAGTACCAATGCACAATTATTGTTTTTGTGATTTTTTATTGATTAACAAGAAAAAGGATAATACTTTCAATTTCGAGGTCTCACAAAAGCTTTTTTACCTGTTATTATAATTTTACATTAAAAACCCAAATTTAGATGAAAAGGCTAAATGATCAATGAGCAAAACCCATACATTATAGTAATCTATAAAAAACCAAGACATGCCAAAAGGTGAAACAATTCAAATGAGTAAACCCAATTGCCTGTTATATGTAGAGGCCCATGTATAGTATACGTTTATGTAGTTCTGGTAAATTTTTGAAATGTAGAGACAATAAATGGAAAAAAAATACCATCAAAACCAGTTAGGCAGGCAAGGCACTTTAGTGTGTGCACACTTGTATGGTTTTTATACGCCAGTTAAAGACAGCACTTTGATCCTTTAACACTTCATAAGATAACTGAATTTGCTTACACAGCTACTTTTGCATAGGTACTATTTCTGTACTAAAAATCTGTAGTACTGGAAATTTACTTTTGATATTAAGTACTATTTCTTTACTTTAAAATTCTTGTAATATTTAGGTACCTGTATTTTAACAGTACTTGATTTGTACTTAAAATTTTTGGTACAGAAGTAATACCAACAGTGATAACAATATTCCATGTTTGAAAATCATAACTTAATTTAAGAGATTTGAAATAGACAAACTTTCAAAATGCTGAAAATGTAACGGTGTAACCAAAACTTTGTAGTACTTAAATTTCAAATACATATCAAGTACTGTAAAATACAGGCACCTAAATATTACAATAATTTAAAAGTAACAAAATAGTACTGAATATTTAAAGTAGATTTCCAGTACTATAGATTTTTGGTACAGAAATAGTACCTATGCAAAAGTAGCTGTGTAAACCAATTCTCATATATTTAAAAGAACAGTAGGATTGACAGAAGAAAGCTCCATCTCAATTTTTTAAAATTTTGGCTTTGTCATTCCAGAGTTATCGAACTTTAATAGTTATATTTAATGCAATTTTTCACATATCGCACACTAACTCTTGTATGCCATTGATGGATCTCATACACACTTCTTATTATTGATGGGATTGATAAAAGGAAGCTACCTTTCAATTCTTAAATTTTTTCTAGTTTGTAGTTCCAAAGTTATGGGACTTGAACTGTCAGATAAAGTATTTTTTTTACATGTTGAACCATAACATGAGTTAAGTTTACAAAATTATTGGAATTGGTGCACATAATTCGCTGTACAATTCAAATAAATCCATTATGTCATTCATGAGTTATGTGACTGACTCTCAGATAAATAAAAGGAATTTTTTTTTAATATATGCACTTACTATAGTATGCTTGGATCAAATTAATACTAACTTAACACTGTTGTAAGAATTGGTGAATGTAGACTCGCTTTTGATTTTGGAAATTTTCTTGGTTTGTCATTCCAGAGTTATGGGACTTTTTAAGTCATATTTGATGCTGTATGTATATGCCTAAGGGTATCCTCATGCATGTTTTTCTATACAGAGCTGTTTTATTTGCCTCTGATTAAATGCCTTCTAATTGATTTTACTTCTAAATATACCCTTTTTTTTTTGCAACAATTTTAATATGCACAATAAGGGTGTATTATGCACTCTTGGCACAGCTTATTTATTAAGCAATATTAAGAGTTCAATGGAAGATAATTCTTAAGACAAAAAACCCTATATATTTCATTTCATAGAATCAAACTTGCCCAGTTAGGTATATAGATTGGGGGTATAGATTTATTCTATACATACATGCAAGTTTAGTTTGGATCTATCTGTGTTTTTGCTCATTTTTCTCTAAATAAAAATGACAAACAAGAAGAAAGTGTGTGGTACAACTCATCACTGCAAAGCTGCTGATTAAATATGAAATCATTCTGTTCAGTAGTACTTGAGAAAAGTGTGACTTAAATTTAAAGGTTAATAAACAAGTTGAAAAATTCAAAGTATCGACTCATCACTGTCAAGCTGCTGACTAAATATAAAGTCATTCTGTTTAGTTGTACCAAAGAAAAGTTTGAAGAATTTTTTTATGTTCATTGAACATATTGAAAGTTCATATTTTAGGCATATTAAATGATACAGTTGTGAAACATACACCAGCCATTCAAGACTACCATAATTAACTTCCTGTTGTTGCAAGTACATTTTCACCCTGCTTTCCAAATAATGTGCTTTTTTTATTTCCTTGTGAATGGTCATCCTGTTTGGTAGCAAGATTATGCAGTTTTATTTTATGTTACCTTTTTCATGTTGTCTAGATTGGCAGAAGGGGGGGGGGACAGAGAGAGGATTTGAGCACATGTAAAACTGGTTTAACCCAACCACATTTTGTGTTGTATGTTTTTGATCCAGACAATGATGGCTACATTTTCAAGACTGGACATATTTCCGAATTAAAAGTTGTTTACATGACTTGCAGAAAGTATAAAATACCATTTAATATTTTTTTGACAGAATGAGTTATTTACACAGACACTTTCTGGTCATAAAAAAGGATGACTTCAGAGTTGTCCACAGTTCTTTTCCCAGTAATTCAAATGCCTAAAAATATACGTCTATTTCAATAGACAAGGATTCCTGAGTTCCCAGGAGATTGTTGAACACAAGACTGCCTTTTTTATTATTATTTAACACCTTATAATGAAAGGGTTCTTATGTAATTATCGTAATTATTGTAAAGAGTTGGTTGTGGTCTGTATGAAATCTGGTTAACTCTTTGTAGTTTTAGTTTTTGCCCTGGTCTTTATGGATTGCCTAATGGTAGTTTGGTCAGTGACAAAAAGGTTACAAAACATTATCGGAAGTAATGTCGAACTAGCTAAAAACAAGAGGCTGTCAGAGAGACAGCAAACCGGATTTTCCTGCAGAGGTCAAACCCTGATCGGTTGAGCAAGTATGGACACAACATTTAAGCTTAAAACAGCTTTGAATTTGGATTGTGATTGAATGTTTGATACAGCATGGGTTTGTGACACAAAATAAATGTGGTCAAAGAACTGAAAAATTTGAAATTGAACATTTACCTATTATGGTCCAATATCCAAAATCTAAGTACATTGCTAGAATCAGCATATCAAAGAACCCCAAGAATTCAATTTTTGATGAAGTACTTCTTAGTTAAACCATAAACCATTTCTGTTCGAATGGAAATAACTCAAAACTTTATTTCCATGAACCAATAATGTAAATCTAAAATCAAATATGATTTAACCATAGACTCTAAAATTAGATATGATGTAAAGATATATGATGTTATATTCATTTTTAAATTATAATCAAATATAATTAATAGTTTTCTAATAAATCTGTCACTCCAATTATAATTGGGTGATTGCATTGACAATTACCAGATGTGTGTTATCTTATCACTTAGTGTAATCAAACTTTATATATATATAGTTGATAGTTCCCAATACTTTTTTCTTTCATTTGTAACATACTAATATAGATCTGCAACTTATCTTATCTTAATTTTAACTTTTTAACTTATAAATAATAGATTATTATCTAATGAATTTTCAAATCTGGAACCCCAAACAAGATCAAGTAAAAATTAAAATTAACAGACACAACAAAACAATTATATACATATATCACTCAGAAAATTAGTTTTTACAGAATAACAAACACACCATAAAATTCTTCAAACAATTTACCAAAGAAAAGAAAAATTAATAATGAAAATCATACTTGCAAATCTGAAGGATTATTTCCCTTTGAACAGAACTATGGTTTAACATAGTACTCTAACATTACATATATAATTATTAGTAATGTTATTAACTTCAAAATGTCTCTCTTAAAAACCTATAAAACTTTATCTGTAATTATCTTCAAAGTGTCTAATAATGAACAGTAAATTTTAAACTTCATTTATACAGTCCTACTAGTAAATTTCAAACTTTAAATATAGTCCTACAGATCTTATCAGGAAACAGAAAATTTTCAAATAAATCTGTCACTCCAACTATTATCATATGCTAAGATATTTCCCAGAGCTAATAAATAATGAAAATCATACTTGCAAATCTGAAGGGTTATTTCCCTTTGAACAGAACTATGATTTAACATAGTACTCTAACATTACATATATAATAATTAGTAATGTAATTAATTTCAAAATGTCTAATAATATAGCTTATAATCATCACCACTTAGGAAATAGAAAATTTTCAAATAAATCTGTCACTCCAATTATAATTGTGAGATAAGACATTTACCATATGCTTAGTCATAATGTGATAACAAGAGAAAAATATTTAAAAATACCACTTTTGGATATTAAAAAGGCGACAACTCAAAAAGGAGAAATACTAAAATCCTGAATATTAAACTTGACCTTCATTTAGTCACAAGAAACAACATATCTAAATTTGAAAAAAAATCATCACAGCGTTTTCATGTTATTGAAGAGACACTGTTTGGCAGCCGCCCGTACGCCCGCCGCTGTACATCCCCAAATCAATAACTGATATTTCCTTTGAAAATCCGGTTAAAAATGAAATTTATAGTATGGATGTTCAAGTGGAATTTGCAGGCTCACAGCACCTATGAAGCTTTGATTTGAAAATAAAAGAATATTATTGGCTAAGTGATTACAACACAGACATATTTCTTTTCCATTTATTACTAATTAAATATTATTAACAGCGATCAACACTGACTGAGAGTCAAATATCAATATTCCAAAAAGAGTGACAATATCCATTCATACGGTCAAACTCACAGTCTATCATAAAATAACAAACATTGGTCTTCCATAACAAGACTTTAAAACAAATCTGTAAAACATTTTATCCAGATATAATTGAAACAGGACATATTGTATACATTAACTATGTTGATACCTTAAGGTGGTACCAAACACCTTGACTAAAATTAATTTGGCTCGTTTAATTTTCATAAAAATTTGACAAAATATTTACTTTGACCCTTTGATAAAAATATAAAAATTTCAAAAAACTTGTACCACACACTTTATTGGAAAAATTTCATTGGATACATAGCAGTTTGACAAACACTAATTTTGATCATTAAGAATCTTAATATTTCCTTGACAATAGAACATGATTAAAACGTTCAGCTGATTTTTACAGAGTTATCTCCCTGTATTGTTATGTACCACCTTAAGACTATATAAATAACATTTAGTTTCTCAATCAAAAATAAACTTGAGCAGGTAAGCAAATTTCCCTTTCATTTCACTTCTGCTAAAGAAAAGAACTGTTTTAAATTTATGAACTTGCTTTCCTTCTTTCAAGTGGCAAACTTCAGCTATATTTTTTTTCTTAGGCAGTTGGTATATTCTAAAGAAAGGCAAGGATGACAATCTTGAATTTTTTTACTGTGGTCTTACAATATTAACAAATTCTGATGCCCTATATTTCATGACAATAAAAATATAAAGGCGCTTTACAAATAAAATAATCCTGACCAAAGCTTGAATAAACAACTTGATAAAAGAAAAATCACTGATTAAAGAAAAGCAGTTTAATATTCAGCCTCCAAAATTTTAGTGTGAAAATATAAATAAATAACAGTTTAGATTTTTTACCAACAAATGACTAGAAGAGTAAAATGGATTTGATAAAGCTGACTATATTAATGTTTCTGGTAGTTTATTAAAGCAATGTCAACATAGCCTACCAATCATGTTTAATACTTTATCATTTCCAAATTCTCTTTTAAAAAAAATAACTTGTTGCTCACCTAACAGCTAGTTCTTTGACTATCTTATGTATCATATATTTGTGTGGTTTTTTTTTTCACATATATAGAAAAATATTGTCAATCTTACTCTCATGCGGCAGTATGTATCTGTTATCTAACCTACATAAATTACTACTGGAATCACAATTCAAGTAAACATATGTAAGTGACACAACCATTTAGATCATTTATTCATCAGTAAATGGTGATTTATTCCAGGCTTAATCTAAAAACCAAAAAAAATAATTTTTCTGTTCACAAATATACAGCCATTAAAACATGATTTCATTCAATGTAATCAAATATACGGATTTAGGCATTTTTTTAAATGCTAGAATGCTTTGAAAATATGTGAAATATAAAGTGTATCAACAGATCTCACAGTATGATGATGGGCAGTTACTGATCTCACAGAGTGAACATGGAATGTTACTGTTCACGTCCACAAACTCAATTTATGCTAAAAAAAAACACCATCAGATACAAGTTGCCTTTTTTTAAATAACGTGGTCGTGTTCAGTAATTCAGTTTAATAACAAAAAATATAATTTTAATTCATAATTTTTGTCTTTGGTTGTCAAATCATTTCATCCAATTATCACTATTAACATCCAATCGCTTTCAAAACCAATCAATGCTTATTTTCCTTGTGAAGCTTTCCATTCCTTGAAAATTTCATCTGCTTTGGCTAGAGTTTCATCTTTCTGTAATGATAAAAAAAAAATTTAATTCAATATTATCCTTTATTAAAAAAATAATAAGAAAGTTATACTGTAAATTCAAAAATTATTGTGTGCATCTATTATTGCGATTTTTGAAGCATGGACAAAATGAGAGATTAATTATTGCAATTTCAGGAAACTCTGCATACAGATATATGTATCAGATATCAGAATGTAAGTTCTTATTATTGCGATAATCACCAAGTCATTATTTGCATTAATAAAAACCTCACAATAATTTTTGAATTTACAGTATTGAAGTGCCATATTTCGATATGTTCTAAGTATTTCTCTATAAGGTTCTCAGTGACAGAGTGGTCAAAGAAGTTCATCTTCAGTGATCACTAGCGTTTCAACAAGGAGGTTGTGAATTGAATCCTGCTTGTGGCAAGGTGCATTCAATTTGGATCTTAATTGACTAGGATTGCCAGTTTTCCTGCCAAAATTAGTGGTTCTTATCGGGCACTCCTGCTTTCTCTGCCAATAAAGTCTAGCTACCATCAAATAGCCAAGAGTGCTGAAAGTGGCATTCAACTCCAACAATCAATCAATATAAAAATAATGAGATGTGGTATCATATGATTGTCAATGAGACAACTATCCACCAAAGTTTGTTAGCAATTATAGGCAACTGTACGACCTTCAACAATGAGAATAAACTGCTTCGCCAAGCGCAGCTGGATACAACCGCAGAGGTCCAACCCTGAACAGTTGGGGCAAAAATGGACACAATATTCAAGCTTGATACAGGTCTGAATTTGGATTGTAATTTTAAAATATTTGACACATGATAGGTTTCTGACACAGAATAAATGTAGTCAAAGAACTTGAAATTGGTTATATGATTTGAATTTATATTCAATTGAAGATTTCTTGCTGTTGTGCAATACACTGTGCTGTTACGCAATACTTGGTACATCTGTTTTCTTTTTAATTTCTTAAATCTTGAGGAAAAAAAATTGCCCCCCCCCCCCCCATAAACAAATTTTTTTTTTACCCCCCCCCCCCCCCAAAAAAAAAAAAATATTTAAAGAAAACTTTCTTTTTGTAAAATGTGGTACAATTTAAGAGACATCTGTACACTTAAACACAAGTTATTGTCTGAAAACTAGAAAAATTCTTGTTTTAGACCCTTTTTGGCCCCTAATTCCTGAACAGTTTGGGCAATTACCCCCAAAATGAATCCCAACCTTCTACTTGTGGTATTGAACCTTGTGGTACAATTTCAGAGCAATTAAAACACTTATACACAAGTTATTGTCCTGAAACTAGAAAAATATTTGTTTTGGGCCCCTTTTTTGCCCCTAATTCCTAAATGGTTGGGACCATCACCCCCAAAAACAATTCCAACCTTCCTTTTGTGGTATTGAACCTTTTGGTTTAATTTCATAGAGATCCATACACTTAAACTAAAGTTATTGTCTGGAAACCAAATGTCTTCGGACGTTGACAACGTGATAGCAATATCAAATACCACAAATATTTACTTCTATATAAATGTATGCGTATGGAAGCACCAATGTACCTAGTTCAAAAGTTTAAACTGAAATCAGATAATAATCCTTACTCCTTGAGAGGTGTCACTCAAGGTAATCTGATAGTTCCTTAGCCAAAAGCTGAGCTATTTAAGAAATCTTTTGTTTACTCTGGATCAGTGTTATGGAATGGACTACCACACAAAATGCGTAAAGCTCAAAACACTTATACTTTTAAACAAAGTATCAAGAAGTACTTAACACAGTCCTGATAAGATTATGTTTTCTACAATGTATTTGTATATTCTTTTATTTTTATTTTTATTTGATTTTTTGACTACATGTGCATCTTGAACAGCCTTATATCATGTTAGTAATATTACATTGAACTAATTGACTGTAAATAAACTATGTGTAAATATCTGTTTTTGATTTTATTGTAATTTGTATGTGAGGGCCTCAGGGAAGATTAGTTTATTGTAACTAACTGATTTTACCCTCTTTAAATAAAGAATTTATTATTATTATTATTATTATTATTATTAACGACCGTTAAAATTTTTTGCGGTCATATCAAACCCATACCAAGCATGCTTCTTTCTAAAGTCGTTAATATAACAAGTCTATGTCATGACAAATAAAAGCAGGTGGAAATTCCCTTTATATTTTTAACGGTTCTGGTGAGGAAACAGAATTTTTTCCAAGTTCAAAATGAAATTGGCTACCAAATATAAAGGGGAAAAAAAATCATCAGTGAAATAATATATTAGCAAATAAAATTCCATTATTATGAGAATTTATAAACAACAGAGGCATATATTAGTTAATTTCTGTAGTTGTTTCAAATGGGAGGGTAGTAACATCTGTAATAGTTTCAAATGAGAGGGTGTAACACCTTTTTTGTGGCCCCTTGAATTTAAAAACTTTTATAAATCTACCAAATAACATCCTTCATATTTTCATGAAGACATTAGTATGTCAAATATCATTTTAAATATTTGAATCCTGTATCCTATTTTGGTTAAAGTCATCAAACTTCTTAAATTTATGGAAAAACTGCAATAAATGCAAAAACAAACCTTGTTCTTAGATCTTGTCATTAGAAATTTAGACATGAGCTATGTACTTACCAAAAAAGCTATGTCTTATTAAAAAAAAAAGTAAGTGATTAATATATCTTGTAGGAAAGAATGTGGCTCATATTTGATTTTACTATTTAAAAAAAATTGTAAAATGGCTTTTTTATATCCATGATACCACAGTGACATCATAAATATTTCTGCTTGAATGTGACCAGACTTAATCATCCTATGCATTGAGAAATAAATCAACTTAATTTTCAAAAGATGGATGAATTTTTACACTTTTTGCCAATTAAAGATCCAAATAATGACTCTTTTAACATAAACTCCTCCTTTCATCAGAATCTATACTACCATACGCTTTTTTTAAAGAATTTCATTAATTATTATAAAATGTAAAGCTATGTTCTTACCTTTATAAAACAAAATCTGACAAACTTCTCTCCAAGATTTTTATGTTCCTGGTTATAGAAAGCTGAGGGCGGTATCACAGATAATCTCTGAAAAAGTTAAAAGTTCATGCTACATTCACATGGTGGATTGTGCATGCTTAGCAGGAGACATCCTGTGTACGTATCTGGTCTTGCTTCTTTTTCAATTTCATGTGACTCTCTAAGTTCTTGTTTTTTTACCTTGATTTGTATCTTCCTTAAGAATTTATGAAATTTGAACATCAGTCAATAACTGTTCCTTCTAATCAATTTATACACTTAATTTTTTGTTTGTATATCAAATTTTCTATTCTAAACAACAGTCTTTAAAACCATGATTTAACCAATCTGTCAACAGCAACAATCTCTATTAAATGACAAATTAATCAAATTTAGAAAAATAAGAAATTTTCTCACACTGAATATATATCTTTTTCTGTTAAGTTTCAGTCTATAATACCAAATACTTTTAAACTCTCTACACATCATGAGACAGTTACTCACCTTTTCTTTACACAGCCATCGTACAAATTTAAAATCATAAGGATCCTTAGTGCCATCATCTGGAATATCTATGTCTGTAATGAAGAAAATAAATTTTACATATTATGTCTATACAATACCATCTTATTATTCTGCAAAAATTAAGGTAAAACTCCCTCTGGCAGATCTGACCTTGGACATTTTGGATATTTTGTTGAAATCCTTTTTGTATTAATTCTCTTACAAATTTTATCCTCTTGGTTTTGGATGTATCAGACTAACAGTTTTTTTTATTTTTTTATTTTATAATATAAATAAACTGCTTCGCCGAGTGCAGCTGGATACGACCGCAGAGGTCAAACCCTGAACAGTTGGGGCAAAAATGGACACAATATTCAAGCTTGATACAGGTCTGAATTTGGATTGTAATTAAATATTTGACACATTATAGGTTTTTGACACAGAATAAATGTAGTCAAAGAACTTGAAATTGGTTGTATGAATTGAATTTATATTCAATTGAAGATTTCTTGCTGTTGTGCCATACACTGTGCTGTTGCACAATACTTAGTAAATCTGATTTCAGACTATATACAAAGAATTAGCAAAATGAATTGTGACCCCTAATTTTTTTCTTTGGAAAATTGACAATTTCTTAAATCTTGAGGAAAAAAAATTAACCCCCCCAAAAAAAATTTTTTTTTTTACTCCCCCTCCTAAAAAAAAAATTTATGAAGAGAATTTCCTTCTGAGGAAAAAAATTGCCCCCCCCCCCCCCAAGAAAAAGTACAAATTAAGAGACATCCATACACATTTACATTGCAAATCATCACATTTCTTTTAAAAATTACATGGGTGATTGGTCAGAAAAGAAAGTGTCTTCCAAACCCCAGCACCTTCCCACTTTTTTTTTCTGGAACAACCCTATATTAAGTAAATCTTACTTAAATTAGAAATATCGGCCATCATGAAATATCCACCATCAGGGATTGTGGGTATCATACCAATTTCTGTCAATGATTTAGCTAGAGCGTCACGTTTAGGTTTTAATTCAAGAGCAAGACTGGTCAGGTAACATTCTTCTTTCTTGTCTTGAACAGATAATTCATACTCCAGACCTTCTGCTACTGCCTCCTACAAAAAATCCCAATGCGTTATTTCATAATCTACTGCATTCTGGGTAATAAATTACAAAAGCGTACACCAAAACATCTTAAATAAAGGATATTCGACCAATGATGCAATGGGTACAAACAATGGATCTAACCATAGTCCTTTAGATTTTAAAATTGCTAATAAGAGCTTTACATATTATTGAGCCATTTGTCTATTCTTGAAAATCACAAGTTGACCTCTTGGCCTCTTTGTTTTTTTGTCTGATTTGGTATTGTCTCATTGTTGTACATCTCAGAATTTTATTCAAATATGGAAACTTGATCACTCACCTGTATAGGTGTTGGACAGGTGTATATACAGTTCTGATGCAAGATCTGCATCGGTTTAATCAGATGATCTGGACCAACTCCCCATCCTAATTTCCATCCAGTAGCACTAAATGTTTTACCAGCACTTCCCATTGTTACTGTTCTCTCCCACATACCAGGTAAAGAAGCTGAAAATGGATAAGAAATAACACAACTAATTCATAGCCCCATTGCTTTCTATGTTAAATTCTACAACTTCAAGCATTCATAGCTATTTTGTCTTAAGTTCAAATAAAGTGATAGTCATTTCAAGTCAAAACTATACCTTATCCTGACTTGTGCTGAAAAAATCAACATACCTTTAATTGCATAAAAGAGTGCACTGGTTCCCGAAAGTTTGGCAGTACAAAAACAGGTACTTCTGATCTGAGCAACAGTGCACATATGCCCTCCTATCTTAATTTCATCTATTTTTTCATTATTCAAAAGAAACATTTTACAAGGTTCTAAGGTGACCCAAAGTCCTTAAGCTTTCATTTGATACCAAAATTACCCAAATATTTTACTTATTGACAAGTTACAGCTATGCGTAGGAACTATTTTGTTTAAAATATGTACTACTTTCTTCTATGTCCTTTCTGACTGGGCCAAATTAGTAGTTCTATACCATAACAGAAATGGCCACTGAAGGTTTTATGAAATTCAACGTTCTCTACTTCTTAGCCAGTTTATCTTTTCCCCGAACGTTCCATTAATTTTTCATAATCAAATGTGTGGTTCGGTTGTTTTCACTGCTTCACTGGTCAAATTTCATTTATGATCTCAAAATTTTCTGATCTTCCTCTAATTTAGCAAGTTTAATGTCAGGATTAAAAGACCATGCCTAATTAAGTCTCAAAGAAAGTTTTATTTAATATATTATTGGAAAAGATTTTTTTTTAAAATAAAATCATTAAATCAATAAAAAAAAAAAATTCACCACCATATTTTGTGATATTTCTCCACAGTTTTTGCTCATCAAGACTTTTAAATTTTAACTGTGTTTTAAATATAAAAATTTAAATATGTCTCAAGTGAAGAATCATTGTATAACACTCAATGCAGTGGTACAATCTACATATTAACATACTAACACCTACAAAAATGGCGCTTTGAATTTCTTTGAAACTAGCATCTACTTCATACACATGTTTTACATGTTTTTTTCATGTGAAATTAAGCAAATACATTTAAAAATCATTTAAAATACATTGGGTAAATGTTCTTTTAAAACAAAGAACTTAATTTTTTTTTATTCTTGGAAATTTATCAGTTTTTATTTCTATATTAAAAAGAATTTTTTAAGAATTTTATCAAGCTGTTAAGGTTTCTAATACAATTTACATTTTCAAACCACGTTAAATCAATCAAAATGTGCAATTTAATTTGTTGACCAATTTTACCTTAATTAACATCAACTTTCAAGTTTGTTCAGAACAATATTTTATAAATACTGTGGATTTATTATTATTCGTGGGATCCACATTTTTGTGGATTTCGCGGTAAAAAGTGAACCATGAATTCAAATGTTCGATGAACCATGAATTCAAATGTTTGATGAAGTACCAACTTTTTAGAGGCTTGTATACAGACTTTGGCAAAACCACGAAATCAAATATCCACGCAAAATCCAATTTTTCCTCAATCCACAAAATAGGTACACCCGAAAAATAAATGAATCCACAGTAAATCCAACAGATAAGTGACATAGTGATGTCGTGTGATCATCCTTGATTATCATTGAAATATTTATAAAATGTTGGGATTATTAAAGTCAGAGGTAAAAAATAATGGCCTTACTAAACTATTATTTATAAAATAACAAGATGCTGCCAAAACACTCATATTTGTCATTGTTAAACAATATGGGGGTAATAGCTCCTGGCTGGAAAAAGAAAAAAAATGGTCAAACTCCAATTTTCCCTCAATTTTGTCATCAATAACAAACAAGTTCAACTTGTTTTTGCCACATACTCCGCCTTTCCAACGGTTAAAATGTATAAATTGAATTAGTACTATTTTCTTACCTATTTTGAGATGTTTATTGTCATCGTAAATCATCCATTCATAAACTTCATCAGATATACATATACAATCATACTTCTTACACAGATTGGCTATCATTTCCAACTCTTCTTTCCTAAATACCTATGAATAAAAGTAGATGTGGGGTATACATCACTTAGACAGCAACCAAACATTGTTTGAACATTTACACAATGTCTACCTCAGGAAAGAGGACAATGCACATACAAATACTGTAAATTCAGAAATTATTGCGAGGTTTTTATTAATGTGAATAATGCGACTGTGTTAGTATCGCAATAATAATAAAATGCTTCGCTGGGCGCAGCTTGATACGACCGCAGAGGTCGAACCCTGAACAGTTGGGGCAAGTATGGACACAACATTCAAGCTTGATACAGCTCTGAATTTGGATTGTTATTAAATATTTGACACAGCATAGGTTTCTGACACAGAAAGAATGTGGTCTAAGAACTTCAATTTTTTTAATTTACCTATTATGGTCCAATGTCCAAAATCAAAATACATGGTTAGATTCAGCATATCAAAGAACCCCATATATTCAATTTTTGTTGAAATCAAACAAAGTTTAATTTTGGACCCCAACTTGGACAAACTTGAAAACTGGTCCCATAATCAAAAATCTAAACACATGTTTAGATTCAGCATATCAAAGAACCCCAAGAAATCAATTTTTGTTAAAATCAAACTCAGTTTAATTTTGGACCCTTTGGACCTTAATGTAGACCAATTTAAAAAACGGGACCCAAAATTAAAAAATATAAAAACACGGTTAGATTTGGCATATCAAAGAACCCCAATAATTCAATTTTTGATGAAATCAAACAAAGTTTAATTTTGGACCCTTTTGACCTCAATATGAACCAATTTGATAGCGGGGTCCACAAATAAAAAATCTAAATACATGGTTAGATTCAGCATATCAAAGAACCCCATATATTCAATTTTTGTTGAAATCAAACAAAGTTTAATTTTGGACCCCAATTTGGACCAACTTGAAAACTGGGCCAAAAATCAAAAATCTAAATACATGTTTAGATTCAGCATACCAAAGAACCCCATATATTCAATTTTTGTTAAAATCAAACAAAGTTTAATTTTGGACCCTTTGGACCTTAATGTAGACCAATTTGAAAACTGGACCCAAAATTAATAAAATGCTTCGCTGGGGCGCAGCTTGATACGACCGCAGAGGTCGAACCCTGAACAGTTGGGGCAAGTATGGACACAACATTCAAGCTTGATACAGCTCTGAATTTGGATTGTTATTAAATATTTGACACAGCATAGGTTTCTGACACAGAAAGAATGTGGTCTAAGAACTTGAATTTTTTTAATTTACCTATTATGGTCCAATGTCCAAAATCAAAATACATGGTTAGATTCAGCATATCAAAGAACCCCATATATTCAATTTTTGTTAAAATCAAACAAAGTTTAATTTTGGACCCCAACTTGGACAAACTTGAAAACTGGGCCCATAATCAAAAATCTAAACACATGTTTAGATTCAGCATATCAAAGAACCCCAAGAATTCAATTTTTGCTAAAATCAAACTAAGTTTAATTTTGGACCCTTTGGACCTTAATGAAGACCAATTTAAAAAACGGGACTTAAAATTAAAAATCTAAATACACGGTTAGATTTGGAATATCAAAGAACCCCAATAATTCAATTTTTGATGAAATCAAACAAAGTTTAATTTTGGACCCTTTTGACCTCAATATAAACCAATTTGATAGCGGGGCCCACAAATAAAAATTCTAAATTCATGGTTAGATTCAGCATATCAAAGAACCCCATTTATTCAATTTTTGTTGAAATCAAAAAAAGTTTAATTTTGGACCCCAACTTGGACCAACTTGAAAACTGGGCCCATAATCAAAAATCTAAACACACGTTTAGATTCAGCATATCAAAGAACCCCAATAATTCAATTTTTGTTAAAATCAAACTAAGTTTAATTTTGGACCCTTTGGACCTCAATGAAGACCAATTTAAAAAACGGGACCCAAATTAAAAATCTAAAAACACGGTTAGATTTGGCATATCAAAGAACCCCAATAATTCAATTTTCGATGAAATCAAACAAAGTTTAATTTTGGACCCTTTTGACCTCAATATGAACCAATTTGATAGCGGGGCCTACAAATAAAAAATCTAAATACATGGTTAGATTCAGCATATCAAAGAACCTCATATATTCAATTTTTGTTGAAATCAAACAAAGTTTAATTTTGGACCCCAATTTGGACCAACTTGAAAACTGGGCCCATAATCAAAAATCTAAATACATGTTTAGATTCAGCATATCAAAGAACCCCATATATTCAATTTTTGTTGAAATCAAACAAAGTTTAAATACTGGACCCTATCTTGGACCAACTTGAAAACTGGGCCCATAATCAAAAATCTAAACACATGTTTAGATTCAGCAAATCAAAGAACCCCAAGAATTCAATTTTTGTTAAAATCAAACTAAGTTTAATTTTGGACCCTTTGGACCTCAATGTAGACCAATTTAAAAAACAGGACCCAAAATTAAAAACCTAAATACACGGTTAGATTTGGAATATCAAAGAACCCCAATAATTCAATTTTAGATGAAATCAAACAAAGTTTAATTTTGGACCCTTTTGACCTCAATATGAACCAATTAGATAACGGGGTCCACAAATAAAAAATCTAAATACATGGTTAGATTCAGGATATCAAAGAACCCCATATATTCAATTTTTGTTGAAATCAAACAAAGTTTAATTTGGACCCCAATTTGGACCAACTTGAAAACTGGGCCAAAAATCAAAAATCTAAATACATGTTTAGATTCAGCATATCAAAGAACCTCATATATTCAATTTTTGCTAAAATCAAACAAAGTTTAATTTTGGACCCTTTGGACATTAATATAGACCAATTTGAAAACTGGACCCAAAATTAAAAATCTAAATACACTGTTAGATTCGGCATAACAAATAAATAAATGTGATCAAAGATTTTACAAATCTAATGCGCCATACTGTGCAATTAAAGATTACTTCTTGAAATTTTTCAATATTTGAAATTTGAAAAAAAAATAATATTTGAAGAATAATTCTTTTTAATTTCTGAAATCTGAAATGAGAAAAAATTGGCCCCCCACAATTTCTTTTTATCCCCCCCCCCCCTTTTTCCCCCAAAAAAATTCTTTCCCTCAAGATATGGTCATAATCTCAATTCAAATTTCCAATGGAGTTGGCAACCATAATTACCCATTTAAATTTACCATAGTGCTAACTTAATCTATTTTATAATAGAATTAATAAAAATATAGTGTCAAATCTTTCATATGGATTTTTTTGTAAATAAAAAAAGATGAAAACATTTGCAGATATTTTTACTGGTCTTCCTTTATAAATATGCATTTCTTTAAACATAATTTAAAAGCAGTGTAAGGGAAGTAACCAAAACGTTGTATTTGGATTACCTCCCTTACACTGTTTTAGATTATCTTTATTGTTCATTAACCATTACTTTATACATAATTTAAAAGCAGTGTAAGGGAGATAATTTCAATGATGTATTTGATTTATCTCCCTTACACTGCTTTAAATTATGTTTTGTACTAAAGTATTTGTCCATTAACCAGGACAACCTTGTTTTTCCCCCTTTTTTGCCCCTAATTCCTAAACGGTTTGAGCCATAACCCCCCAAAGCAAATCCTAACCATCCCTTTGTGGTATGGAAACTTGTAGTATAATTTCAGAGAGATCCATACACCGTTCCACAGTTATTGTCTGGAAACTAGAAAATACTCATTTTTGGCCCCTTTTTGGCCCCTAATTCCTTAACTGTTGGTACCATAACCCCCAAAATCAATCCCAACCTTCCTTTTGTAGTATTTAACCTTATGGTCAAATTTCAAAAAGATCCATTCACTTAAACTAAAGTTAGAGTGCGAAAACCAATATGTATTCGGACGACGACGCCGGACGACGACGACGCCAACGTCATACCAATATACGACCACAAAATTTTTTTGCGGTCGTATAAAAATCTAAATACACAGTTAGATTCGGCAAAACAAATAAATAAATGTGGTCAAAGATTTTACAAATCTAATGCGCCATACTGGTCTTCCTTTATAAATATGCATTTCTTTAAACATAATTTAAAAGCAGTGCAAGGGAAGTAACCAAAACGTTGTATTTGGATTACCTCCCTTACACTGTTTTAAATTATCTTAATTGTTCATTAACCATTACTTTATACATAATTTAAAAGCAGTGTAAGGGAGATAATTTCAATGATGTATTTGATTTATCTCCCTTACACTGCTTTAAATTATGTTTTGTACTAAAGTATTTGTCCATTAATGAGGACAACCTTGTTTTTCCCCCTTTTTTGCCCCTAATTCTTAAACGGTTTGAGCAATAACCCCCCAAAGCAAATCCTAACCATCCCTTTGTGGTATGGAAACTTGTAGTATAATTTCAGAGAGATCCATACACCGTTCCACAGTTATTGTCTGGAAACTAGAAAATGCTTATTTTTGGCCCCTTTTTGGCCCCTAGTTCCTTAACTGTTGGTACCATAACCCCCAAAATCAATCCCCACCTTCCTGTTGTGGTATTGAACCTTATGGTAAAATTTCATAGAGATCCATTCACTTAAACTAAAGTTAGAGTGCGAAAACTAATGTGTCTTCGGACGACGACGACGACGACGACGTCATACCAATATACGACCACAAAAATTTTTTTGCAGTCGTATAAAAACTCGCATTTTGATATCTGATACATAAATCTGTATGCAAATTTTCCTGAAATCACAATAATTAATCTCGCATTTTAGGATCTGTATACCCCAATACCCAGACTTTAAATCATAACAGAACCTTCCTACTGGAATATTGGCAGTGCTGTTCATTATAGCTTCAATTTTATAATATTTGATACTGTGTATAAATTTTTAAACTTTAAATGAAGTAATACTTTATTATCCAAACCACGTATGTCTTGCAAATTAATGGACATGATGATTCCTATACATCCCAGACTCGGTACAATAATTTACCTTTCCTACTGGATTATTAGGATTATTGATCATTATAGCTTTAGTTTTGGCACTAAACTTGCTTTCCAATTCTACAGGATCTAACTTCCAATCATCACTTGACAGCACACCTTCTTTCTTTATCTTAAATAATAAAATTTAATTGTGTTAACAGATTATACAAAAATATATATGTTGATATATTCAAACAAATACTGTAAGAACGTAGTTGAGATTCTCTGTAAATACTCAGTGGAAACTTTACCTCTAGCATATTTTCATTCAAAAACCAACCATATGGAGTGAGCAATTCAATAATTAAAATGTTTTGTTCACCATAGTCTTCATACTTCTGACTTTATTGTGTGTGAAATATGAAATCGTTACAGTAATGCTTCAATGTAAAACTTTATATTATGAAAAAGTCAATAATCAGAATATTCATCAATTATTCAAATGATTAAAGTAAAGAAATAAATCAACTAATCAAAAACAATTAAAGTGCTTTATGTAGCTAAATTAGGGGACCCATTGCTTCTTTTTTACTCATATCTTTTTTTCTACTTATAACAATCCAAATAATATATGTGTGAGACTGGAAGATTTTTCACTTCACTCACCAAGCATAAAATTATAATTACCATGTCTTTTATATCTTTAAGATGGATTTTTAGAAATTATCAACATCTTTCAAATGTAAAATTTTTCTCAACTTGCCCTCATGCTCTATGCAATAATCTTTTTAACAACCCTTACGTACATGCTGACTCACTATTTATAGATACTTACTGGACGGAGTGGGACATATTTTGGAATGGCACCAGCCACTTTTACCATAGGTTCATAACAATCAAAGTATGGCTCTACAATAACTACCTGAAAGCATACAAACAAACAAGCAATATAAAATAAGCATGATTTATTTTACTTCTTAACTACTTTCAGAGTATGTGGTTGTACACAAATCAAAGTCGCTTATTTGTTAAGTGAACTATCAGTTTTTTATTAGCTATGGTACATATATAATTAAAAAGAATATGTGTCCATAGAACACCATGTGCTGATAGCACCATCTTACTTCCATTCTTAGTGAACCTTGAAAACTTAGTCAAAACCCTAATTTGGCAAATATATTTCTCATGGTAATGAACATGTGAACAAAGTTTCAAGTCGATGTGACCTCAAATCCTAAACCAAAATTTAACCTACCTTGAACCTTAAACCAAAACTTTAACCTTTTACCTTTAAAGGTAAATAGTTTTAAAATGCCTTTCCTGAGTGTCTGCCCAAAAAAAGAGCCTGACTTCCAGATTCTCTTTCTTCTATAGAATGTCTCTTTCTGATCGTCTGCTCCTTGCAAAATAGAACCTTTCCACTGATTATTTGCACTCCCCCTCCCTTCCCAACCTCAACTGATCCTTACCTCATCACCAGGATTAATCAACCCTTGAATAGCACAAAACAAAACACCATAGGCCCCAATAGAAATGGTAACATTATTCATTGGGTCCAAAGTTCGGCCTATTAAAGGGCTATACAATTTGGCAAGAACATTCACCAATCTTGGATGTCCCTGTAAAAGAAAAAAGGAAATTTTTTTCAAATACCCTACATCTCTTATCACTCTGAAATGTAAAAACACATTATCAGATAAAAAATATATCTGAAAAGTTACTTATTTCTAACTATTAACTTCGAGTATGAAGCTGATGAGATACTGTACCTAAAATCAGATTTCTGCAATACTTTGCAATAACCGGTATGGACTCCCGTGAATTCCATTTTTAAATAGTCTACTGTTTGAATGATTTCATGTGGGAAACTCTCATTCATTAAATTTGCCTTTGTTTTTTGTTTTTTTGGTTTGTCAGTCTGATATTCCTCTTGACAACTGTCACTGTGTCACATGTGTAATCCAAAAAGAGGTTTATTCAAAAGATCCCTTAAATACTTGCAACTTTTCTGTAAATATTGAACCAAATATCAAGGAGAACCATGAAACCTAAAAGAACCTCTTTGTAAAAAGCTATTTAAAATATTTGGTCCATTAAAAGATTTTTTCAGTAAAGGAATTTACAGAACAACTTTCAACCTCGCTGATGAAATTTTCACTTTTGCAAATACATAGTCCCTCTGAAAATTTGTATTTATGAAATAGACAGTGTAAAAAAGCAACAATAAAAATATGTTGATTGATTGGTTTTTAACACCCCTTTCAGCACTATTGTGCTATTTCGTGGCAGTCAGTCTTATTTGTGGAGGAAGCTGGAGTGCTCAGAGAATACCACTGACCTTTAGTAGGAAAACTGAATAAAAATATGTGTGTTAAATTTTCTTGCAAAAGAATATTAGCGAAGTTAAGTCAGAATTTATGTTCAATATTATACCTATCATTTTACCTGAAGTTCCACATTTGTAAATGAACTTAGTGACAATGATTAACATGGGTTATTTCAATTGTGTCAATTGTCACAAATTTTCATAAAATAAGTTAGCAGCTACAAAATATGATATGTTGGTACACAGTTCAAAATGGCAGAATACTTATAAAAACATTTCAGTCAAAATTCAATATAAAGGTTGGCCAGGAAACATATGTGTTTTAAGTCCTAATAAACAGAACAGTATTTTTTAAATCCTAATAAACAGAACAGTATAATAATGTGTTTTTAGTCCTAATAAACAGAACAGTATTATAATGTGTTTTTAGTCCTAATAAACAGAACAGTATTATAATGTGTTTTAAGTCCTAATAAACAGAACACTATTCTAATCAAAGTACTTACATAACTACGAGTGTACTGACTCAGTAAAGCATTATCTGAACCATCAACAGCATGAACCATCTTGTCAATCACATGTTGTGGGGGTTTGAAATCGGGAAATCCCTAAAACATAAATATTAAAAATATGCAAATACATCAACTTTTCTTGGTTATTAAATCTAAGCTGTGCTAACACTATAGAAGCAGATCCGAAAATAAACCCATAGCTTAAGTTTTAGAATTTCTTGTTTGAATAGGTTTTTTTATCGATCTGTACATTTCTTCTTTTAATTGTCGCTTTTAAGTGTTGTTCCTATACAGCTTTGATTTTGGACTAAATGGGCAAGTTTGACACTTTATTAACCTATACAACAAGAGGCTCCTGGAATTTATTCCACATACAATGCAACAAGATTTCTGTTGAATGGAAAGTGTGGGTCAATATCTTGTTTTACTGATCATATCTGCTGCTCAAAGTCTATCAAAGTTTTCAAGATATAAGAAATAAACACTAAATTTGGGCGAAAATCATTATTAAAGAGCAAAAACTCCTCTATATCTACAGAAAATTTCATCCATTTAACTTTTTAGTAGATCACATTTTGTTGATCATTTTAGCTGTTTCAAGTTTCTCAGGGCTTTTCCATTAAAATGTATGTGAGAGGGTAGGAAGGGACTTTCAAAATGACTCACAACCAAGAACCATTTTTTAGATAATTTTGCATAATGGTAATAGACGCATACTGAAAAAAGACCCATGACCCACATTCAATAATTAAACTTCCCTTCGTACCCTCCCACATACATTTTAATGGAATAGCCCTCACTCACTATTAGTTGTAAAGACAATAACAAACAAGAGGCTCTCAAGAGCCTGAATCGCTCACCTGTATTTCAGAGGAGAAGATTTTTAAATGTTAGCAAACTTGATGAACAAATTGTTTATAATTGTCTTTAAAGGGCAATAACTCCTTAAGGGGTCAATTGACAATTTTGGTCATATTAACTTTTTTGTAGATCTTACTTTGCTGAACATTATTGCTGCTTACAGTTTATATATATCTATAATAATATTCAAAATAATAACAAAAAAACTGCAAAATTTTGTTATAACTACTAATTCAGTGGCAGCAACCCAACAATGGGTTGTTCGATTCGTCTGATAATTTCAGGGCTGATAGATCTTGACCAATTAAACAATTTTATCCCATGTCACATTTGCTCTTAAAGATTTAGTTTTTGAGATATAAGCCAAAAACTGCATTTGACCCTTATGTTCTATTTTTAGCCATGGTGGCCATGTTTGTCGATGGATACAAACTTCGGATACAATTTATAAACAAGATACCCTAAGGAACATTCAGTTAAAGTTTGAAGGTAATTGGCCCAGTAGTTTCAGAGGAGAAGATTTTTAAATGTTAGCAAACTTGATGAACAAATTGTGTAAAATTGTCTTTAAAGGGCAATAACTCCTTAAGGGGTCAATTGACAATTGTGGTCATATTAACTTTTTTGTAGATCTTACTTTGCTGAACATTATTGCTGCTTACAGTTTATATATATCTATAATAATATTCAAAATAATAACAAATAAAATGCTCCGCTGGGGCGCAGCTTGATACGACCGCAGAGGTCGAACCCTGAACAGTTGGGGCAAGTATGGACACAACATTCAATCTTGATACAGCACTGAATTTGGATTGTAATTAAATATTTGACACAGCATAGGTTTCTCACACAGAATGAAAGTAGTCCAAGAACTTAAAAATTTTTAATTTACCTATTCAAACCATATCAATTTTCACACATCACGCCCCCCCAAACTCAATCCCAGCCTTCAATTTGTGGTATGGTACCTTGCAGTACAATTTCACAAAGATCCAATTACTTAAACACAATTAATTGTTGGAAACTTAAAAAAAGTGCTTATTTTTAACCCCTTTTTTAGCCCCTTATTCCTAAACATTTGAGCAATTATCCCCCAAACTCAATTCCAACTTTCTCTTTGTGATCAGAATTAACCAACTTAAAATGGAAAATTTTAAAGAAAAAAAAAAGGAAAAAAAATCCCCCCCCCAAAATTTTTTTGACCCACTTCCCTTTGTGGTATGGTACCTTTAAGTACAATTTCAGAGAAATCCATACACTTGAACACAAGTTAATGTCTGGAAGCTAAAAAAATGCTTATTTTTGCCCCCTTTTTTGGCCACTTATTAATAAATGTTTTGGGCAAACATTTTACAATAATATTTAAAACTGAAATTAATTTGTAACCTTAAAATTAAATAGAAAATGACATCATGGTCATAGCTAAAAATAAACAAACTATTGGTAAATTTCCAATGGAGTTTATTATATTAAAACAATAAATTTGCAACCATAAAAGCGCATTAAAATACATCATAAAAGTATTAAAAAAAATTTAACTACATCATAAGGCTATTAAAATAGAAAATGACATCATAGTCAGACTAAAGGTAAACAAAAAACCTTCATCAGCAAAATTTTATATTGGCAAATTTCCAATGAAGTTTATTATACTAAAATAATTGGCAAATTTCCAATTTACATAATTCAAACATAGTGCAGGTGAGATATTTAAATGAGTTTGAATTACCAACCTTACACTGCTTTTAAATAATGTTCTTTACTCAATTATTTGTCTATTAAAATGGAAACCCTAGTTTTTTAACCTTTTTTCCCCTTATTCCTTAAACGAAAAAAAATAATTACCCCTTTTTTGACCCCCCCCCCCCATGATTCATCACCCCCCCCTTCCCCCCCAAACCAAGCTCAATAACAGCCTTGCCTTTGTGGTATGGTACCTTGTAATACAATTTTAGAGAGATCCATACACTTGAACACAAGTTATTGTCTAGAAACTAAAAAATGCTTATTTTTCACCCCTTTTTAGGCCCCTTATTACTAAACGTTATGGGCAATTACCACAAAACTCAATTCCAGCTTTCCCTTTGCGAAATGGAACCTTGTAGTAAAATTTCAGAAAGATCCATACACTTACACACAAGTTATTGTCATGAAACTAGAAAAATGCTTGTTTTTTGCCCCCTTTTGGCCCCTTATTCCTAAAATTTCGAGGAAATTAACCCCAAAATCAATCCCATCATCGACCCTTTGTGATATGGAATCTTGTAGTACAATGTCAAAGAGATCCATACAATAACACACAAGTTATGTCTGGAAGTTACAAAAATGCTTATTTTCGGCCCCTTTTTGGCCCCTAATTATTTAACTGTTGGTACCATAACCCCCAAAATCAATCCCCAACTTCCTATTGTGGTATTGAACCTTATGGTAAAATTTCATAGAGATCCATTCACTTAAACTAAAGTTAGAGTGCGAAAACCATTGTGTATTCGGACGACGACGCCGGACGACGACGACGACGACGACGCCAACGTCATACCAATATACGACCACAAAATTTTTTTGCGGTCGTATAAAAACTGCAAAATTTTGTTAAAACTACCAATTCGGTGGCAGCAACCCAACAATGGGTTGTTCAATTCGTCTGAAAATTTCAGAGCTGATAGATCTTGACCAATTGAACAATTTTACCCCATGTCAGATTTGCTCTAAAAGCTTTAGTTTTTGAGATATATGCCAAAAACTGCATTTGACCCCTATGTTCTATTTTTAGCCATGGCGGCCATGTTTGTCAATGGATCAAAACTTCGGATACAATTTGTAAACTAGATACCCTAAGGAACATTTAGTTAAAGTTTGAAGGTATTTGGCCCAGTAGTTTCAGAGGAGAAGTTTTTTTAAATAGTTTGCATCGACGACGACGACAACAGACGACGGACGACGACGGACGCCAAGTGACGGCTTGAGCTAAAAACCCTACAAATGTGTCAATTTCATCACTGCAGGGTAATAACTCTCATGGCAATTTAAGAAAAAGTGTAGAGAAGGGGATCAAAAACAATTTTATTATACCCCACTACCCATAATTTTTACTTTCATTTTTAAAAGAATAGCGTTTTTATACATACATGTATTAGCGAAAGCTCCCATTTTACCCCAATGTACTACAATGTATTTATAGCTGTTGGTGTTTGGCAGGCAGAATCATCTGACATTTTGTTGATACTAAATACCCCAGCGGATGATTGTTGCCAAGTTTGGTTTCAATTGGTCAAGTAGTTTCAAAGAAGAATTTGTAAACAGTTAATGGACAATGACAAACAACAAACGACAGACGCCAAGTGATGGCAATAGCCCACACTGTCCCTTTGGGTTCAGTGACCTTAATAGTCACATAAGGGCATCTTTAACTTTGTTGTTTCTATTTACTGTAAATTCAGAAATAATTGTGAGATTTTTATTAATGCGAATACTGCGACTTGGTGAGTATCGCAATAATAAGAACTCGCATTCTGATATCTGATACATTTCTCTTAATTCAGATTTTCCTGAAATCGCAATAATTAATCTTGCTTTATTGTCCATTATTCAAAAATCGCAATAAAAAGTGCATGCAATAATTTCTGAATTTACAGTAGGCCTTTTGTTTTAATGCTTTAGATCTTTCCCCTCTATATGTTCGGCTTTCCACACTTTAAAACTCTGAGCTTTTCCAGATATAACAGATTAAATAGTACTATTCTGGTTCCAATAACATGAATGGTACCAATTTTTCTGCACCAGATGCGCCATTCGACAATAAATGTTTCTTCAGTGATGCTCGAGGCCAAAATATTTGAAAATCCAAAGCTTATTAAAAAGATGAAGAGCTATAATCTGAAAGGACATAAAAGTATAGTCAAAGCTGTGTTGTTTATACATGTATCATATCGTTGAATCATATATGTTCTCTTCTTTTCCCACTAGGGCTTATTCTTTTTCTCTCAAAAATAACCAGGACACACAAAAAGTGTACATCCTTTATGTGCCTGTCCCATGTCAGGAGCCTGTTGTTCAGTAGTTGTCTTGGTTCATGTCTGTCATTTGTTTTTCATAAACTGTTTCGTTTTAAATTAGGCCGTTAGTTTTCTCAATTGAATTGTTTCATATCTAATGGCCTTTTATAGCCGACTATATGGTATGGGTTTTTCTCATTGTTGAATGCCATACGGTTACCTATAATTGTTTACATCCACTTCATTTGAACTTTGGTGGATAGTTGTCTCATTGGCATTCATACCGCATCTCCTTAAATTAAAATTGTGATACATGCATATATGAAACTTCATGTACTGGTAAAAAGTCCTCATATTTCCATGGAAACACAATGATTTATGTTACTCTAATACATGCAACTTGACTCCTTGACAAAAGTCCACTGGTATTGTATGATTGTTTTCAAAAATTAGAACCGTGATACTGATTTTACTTCAAAAAAAAAATTCCACTTGTACTTCCTGTAGAAAATATTTCTATGGCAATATGGCAGAGCTCCAGATAAGAATTCACAAATTGGGGTTTTTACCCACCATTTTTTCATGTAATTGGGTGATAAAGTTTTTTAATTGCATTATCAATTCCAATTCACCCCTCAAGCAAATATCAAATTGGGTTTTTCACTACCAAGCTCCTTAATGTATTGGGTTTTTTCATCAACACAATATTGAATATTTAGGCATGTTATAATCACATTATATCAACCCCAGATGTGTTTCCATCTTAAATGTGTTTCTTTCTTTGTAGAATATGTGCTAGCTGTTTTATTTGGTTTATTCACTGACGAGCAATTGTACATTTAATTTGTGTCCCGTTTTAAACGTTCTGTCAGTTTTGTATTTTCTCAAAACTTATGTAAACTGCAGCTGGTGTCACTAGTTGGACAGGAACTAATTGCCTTTCTAGATCCCATATGATCACCCTACAGTTTAATTATAGTTGGGGTAGGTGTGGCTAAGTGTTTAGATTTTTGTGTAATATATGTGAAATTTAGGTGCTGTAAGAAAGTTTTGCCAGTCCTTTCACCTATTTGCCAGATCTACTTTTTAATAAAAATAAAAAGTAGTTTCCAGATTTAAGATATACCCAAAAACCTTGAGGTTTATAGGGTGGTTTATAATGACGTGGTTTATAATGACGGAGACCACATTCAACTTAAATTAACAAATAATTCTGCAACATCAAGTAAATAAATGACAATGTTATACTGCACTTGCAAATAAGACAACTATCTGAAGCATCTAGAACAATTAGACCAAAACAAAGAAAGTGTCAAGCTGCATTGACGTAAAAAACGGATATGTGTATTCACTCATCAACTAAAATGAAAAAATAATATATAAACTGTTTTCGTTTAATTCAATTTACATAAATCTGGGTTAAATTGTCCCTTATCAGAACTTTTGGTTTCCGATGCTTTCAAACTACATATCATGTCATAATTGATTTAGCCTTTCACTTTTTCCAACTGATTTCGTTTTTGACGGAACCCCGTGTTTATCGCTCTAACAATGTTCTCGTTATGGTACGCAAACACGCCCGTGCGTTCAATGGCCGCTTCCTAAAATCACTAGCTGAGTCTTGTTATCATCATAACTTTCCCTCAGCTATCAAAAAGAAGCCGAAAACATGCTTCTATTCAATATTTTTAACGGATATTTACTTTCGTTTTAATTCATTGTATGTTATGATAAAACCCGAGCAATTCGAAAAAAATATGACAGCATGTCACACGCTAATTGAATAAACGCTGAGAAGATCGAAATGTTTTCATAAACATGTGTACCTTTTGAGCAACGGAAAATTCCAACAGGGACCCATTACAACTACTTGATGCAGGGCTCTATTTTTAGAACGAAAGGACATTTCCAATTATAAATATTATAAAAATAGATTTATGCGACGACTGTAATCAAGTAAGGGTAAATAACGCAAACGATAGCGAATAAAAGCGTTAAGAACCCATGTTTTTGGCATATAATTGGGTTTTCCTTTGAATTAATTGGGTTATTGAACCCTGCAATGGGCAATTGCATTGGGTTTTTAATTATTTTTATTGCGTGATCACGCAAATAGGCAGCTTATCTGGAGCTCTGATATGGTTATCGATTTTAAATTATATTTTTCATAATATTAAACTAGAGGCTCCAAAGAGCCTGTGTTGTTCACCTTGGTCTATATACATATTCAACAAAGGACACTCTCCAACATTGTAGAAGAAACTAGAATTCATGACAAAAATCTGTTTTGTTAATCTTGTTTTGCTGATCATTTAGTCTGTTTAGGTTCTCTCTATCTTCTTAAATGTTTGCTCAAAACACAAAAGAGGGTAACAAAAAATCCTCATTTAGGGGCAATCACTCCTATATAGAGTGAAATCGTCATCAAAGGGCAATAACTCTAATAAGTAGTCAACCATGCAAACTTATTCATAGATCTTGTCTTGCTGATCAATTTTGCAATTTAAAGTTTCTCTCTATCTATTATAGTTTTCAAGATAATAGGCAAAAATGAAAAAAATGGTAAAATTCGTCATTTAAGGGCAAGAACTCCTATAAGAAGTCGTCTGACAGTTTTGACTTATATGGACAATTGATAGAGCTCAATATTCTTAACATATTTGCTCCTGTCTCTATTAATATCGGTTTTCAAAATAATAGACAAAACTTTAACCCCTATGTTCTATTTTTAGCCATGTCGGCCATCTTGGTTGCCAGGTGGGGTCATTGGACAGACTTTTTAAAATAGATACCACAATGATGATTGTGGCCAAGTTTGGTTAAATTTGGTCCGGTAGTTTCGGAGGAGAAGATTTTTGTAAAAGTTGAGAGACGACGGACAACGACGGACGTCGGGCCAGGTGAGCTAAAAATACTTCATTGTATTCTTACCTGTCCTAAATTCAAAGCTTTATAATCGACAGCAAGCTTTCCAAACTCTACCCTGTAAAACATTAAATTCAGTTATGCATAACTGTACTTCAATAATTTATGAATTAAGTCAAAGGTCAAAGAGCTTTTTTTAGTTTAAAAACTGTAATTCTTAACAAACTGTCTCCTGAACTGTAATTCATACTTTCTTCTTCTCAAAATTGACACCAATAAAGACATTATTTCAGCTTTTTCAAAAATCAGTATAAAGTCTCTTTATTCAATTTTCATTTTTTTCTTAATCATTGATAAATAGTGCCAGTACAGCTTATTGTATCAGTCCGAGCAATGGCAGCACATGTGGGCAATTGGTCTCTTTTTACCACTTTCAAATGTTGTCCACTGGGTTTTTGCCGTATCCCTTCCCCGGATTAGTTAGACACTAGAGAATTACTTTAAAATTTCCATGTATTTAGAATCATTCATTCTGAAATTCTTTTAGAAGTGGAGAAATAATATTGAAATATTCTCTAGCAAACTGTTCCTGTGGTGTCAAATATATTAGGGTGGTTTTTTTTTTACTTATTTTGGTTGATGTTTAACCCCACTTTCAGCTACCTTGGCTATATTATGGGAGCCAGTTTCTGCTCTTGGAGAAGCTTGAATACCCAGAGAGAACAATCGACCTTTGTCAGAAATACTCACAATTCTTGTCAATTGAGACTGGGGTCAAGAAAGTAGGAGAAAAAGTCACAGTAAAAAAAGGTCACGGACAAAAAAGTCGCAGATTAAAAGTCACAGGAAATTAAGTCACAGGAAATAAAGTCACAATGATAAAAAATAATAGTAAATTTTGTATATATATATATATATTTTTTTGAAAATATATAATTTTTAATAGATTTCTATTAAGATGCAGACATTTTTAAAGGAAAAAGTCACAGTAAAAAAGGTCACGGACAAAAAAGTCGCAGATTAAAAGTCACAGGAAATTAAGTCACAGGAAATAAAGTCACAATGATAAAAAATAATAGTAAATTTTGTATATATATATATATTTTTTTGAAAATATATAATTTTTAATAGATTTCTATTAAGACGCAGACAGAATCATATACATGAATTATATGTCTCTAATGTATGGAAAAAGTCACAGGAAAGTCATTTGAAATTGTATCAACTGGATAGAGTTTCAGAATGTTTTGACATCTTTTAATGTTAGAATGCAAGGTGTGGTATTTCGATGTTTATGTTTATTGCAGTTTAATAAATTTTCTTAGATTACAAACAAAATGTTGTCCATGAAAATGTCAAGTATTTAAAATAATTCAACAGATGGTTATTGACTAATTAACTGGATTCAATTTATTATTTACATTTCCTGTCAATCGCCTACTGTCTGGGCAGATTATAACACTTAAAACCTTAAAAATATCTGTGTTTCTTGTTTCTCGTTTTTTATATAGATTAGACCGTGGGTTTTCCTGTTTGAATGGTTTTACACTAGTCATTTTGGGGGCCCTTTAAAGCTTGCTGTTTTCGGTGTGAGCCAAGGCTCTGTGTTGAAGGCCGTACTTTGACCTATAATGGTTTACTTTTACAAATTGTGACTTGGATGGAGAGTTGTCTCATTGGCACTCATACCACATCTTCTTATATCTATTTATGACGTGTATTCTCCCAATGTATCACTTTGCATGGTCATTCATTAAGAAAACCACATATTACAATATTATCTTACCAGACATTTTTCTCCGTTCCTTTCAATCTGTCAGCTCCCCTCAACTTGGACATTTTTGAATATTTTCTCTACAAAGACAAAAAGTTCAAAAAATTTGTTTGTTTTGTTCTCTAAAAATAATTCATTATGACATGTATCCAGGACACTGTTATACATGTTATATAACTACTTTCTTCCTTTACCTTTGACACAGATAATATTTTTTTTTTCACTTAAACATGCAAAGTTAAATAATGTTCATAACAAGTTTAAAATGAATGTGAAAACAAACAGCGAACAATTAAGATGACAATGTCTCAGAGTAGATGAAATTGTAAAAAGTGTAGTATATCTCTCTCAAACATGCTTTCATTTCTGATGGATATTTCTTTTGATTACTGAGCATGTAACTTAAATAAATTTAATTTATAATCTGATACAGAATACAAGATAAATGGTATCCTACTAAGAGGGTCTGGATGGGGTTTACAGAATAGAGAATTGTGGGCAAAAAGTGCAGAATAAGGGTAAAAAAAAAAAGAATAAAGAAAATTTGGCCCAAAAAATAAAGAATAGAGAATAATGGGCAATTAATATAAAGAATATAGAAAAATGATATAAAAAATTAAAGAATAAAGAAATCGAAGGACCACCCTATCCAGAACCTCTTCTAACTTGTCCACAAACCACTAAAAACAAGGAATTAATTGAATCTGGAATAATTTTGAATTCTGGAAAATTGATTAGAAATGTATGATGAAAACTAACCCAACTAAATGGGGTTAGCCATGCATGCATGGCTAAGGTTAATTTTACTTTCACTATCATTTCAGTATGAACTAACTAACACCCCTTAGCCATGCGCGCATGGCTAACCCTATTTAGTTGGGTTAGTTTTCATCATAAATTTCTGATCAATTTTCCAGAATTCAAAATTATTCCAGATTCAAATAATTCCTTGTTTAAAATGTTATATCTACAGGTACCTAATAATATTGTTGACAAAACATAAAATATGTGAAAAAAATGAATATGCTAAAAAGTTCTATAAAAAGCTTTTCAAGTATACAATTATCATACTCAATGCTATAATCATATAATTGCAGAATAATTGATCTTTTAAATAATAAATGGACTACAAAAGGCAGAAACAGAATTTTTAAAATAATCAATTGAACTGATTACAATTACGATCGTTTATTTCCTGCTCATTATTTTTTTTGGATTATTATTTTGCACCTCTTGACATTCCATATTAATATACATGATATACAATTTCAACCCTGCACACACTGATAGAAAAGTTATAATTAGAGAGGTCACATTGGTTCTACAATATCACTGATGGGACAATTTTCTTTCTTACAATGCAAACACAAGTTTCAGAAAGAATATTTCATCATGTGTTCATTGTAGTAACTGTTCTTCATCTTGATGATGCACAGTGCACAAATCAAAGACTGCACAGGACGACATATTTGCAAAGACTTCCATTTGAACACCCCTTAGTGTGTATTTTGCTTATTCAGTCAACCAGAGGGGTTCAAATGGAGGAAGTCTTTCTGAGATTATATATAAATAAGTTTCTTTAATAAATTTGATGTTTCATTTTATTTTGAACTATTTAATCTATTTGTCAAAAAAATGAGTTTTACAAAACTTGTATAAATAAATGTTAATGCCAATTGACAATAATTATTAAACTAGTATACATATATAAATATAATAGTATAGAATAAGAATAAGAATAAGAATAAGAATATTTATTATTCCAATCAAGGGCCCTTGATGGGCAGCATAAGTATATAAAATTTAGGATGTACATCCTTGAGTGTAAGCAAATAGCACAAGTCATAAATTTACATCGTTTTATATTTTGCTATGTAAGCATGATAAAGTATGTTGATGTTTACCCTTAAGCCCTTTTTCGTATTACATATTAATAATTGACTAACATTGCATCATTAACCAATATTAAAACAACCTCAATACCCCGAGAATGAATGGTGTCAGATAATAATATAAATCCCTATGGCATTTCAACTGGTTTTACTTACACATCAGTAAATTACTATATCAATACATTGATAAAAACATGATAAAACAAGCTGCAAAAATCAATGAAAAACTAACATGGTTTATTGGAGAAAATACGGTAATCAATAACTTTACTATCATGTTTACTAGAGCATGACTTACAATCAGTTACAAAGGTTATTCACACAAACAAAGGACAAAGAAATACTTCCCAACCAAACCAAAAGCTCTAAGCCATTTATTCAGCCTTGAAACTAACAAATCTTTCACCATAAATTAAATGGAAGAGAGATTTGCATTACAATAATGTCATATTAATATAACATTTCTGAAATTATCAATTGGTGAAATGATTTAATACTTAATTTAAATATATGTTAATCAATTTTCAATTTCATTAGGAATTTAAATGTAATTAATCCAGATTGGGTCAATGGGTTCACCATAGAAAATTTTATACTGATGTAGTAAATTAAAACCATAATAAAGACAACAACACCCATCAATTACCGCATGGTAAGAGTTTATTCTGGTCGACATGTTTTGCCTTCAGGACAATATTACATATGAAATCAAACCCTGAAGTATGTGGTAAATGAAAAATTATTTATCATTATCAGGCCTTACAAGTCATGATTGTGGACACCCTTGAAGTAGTTTATATAATGTTTCATAAATCATCCCCCTCCCCCCCCCCAAATAAAAGAACTAAATAAAATTGTAATAAGGAAATATCCTTAAAACTGAGTTTTTTCATCTGGCTTAATCATTTAATAATTGTTATATTATATGCTACCACAATATTTATGTTTTCTACTCTTTCTTATTAGTGTTGACTTGAAACTCAACTTTAACTGTGTTAAAATCTTTTGTTTACTGAAAAACTAAACACAATGAATTGTGCATGCTATACCCTCTGGATGCTACCAAAACAATAACTTTACCCCAAATAAAACGTACTATAACAAAATTAGTAAAGAAGAGAAAACAACACATGTTAGTAACTAATAATAAGAAATCAAAACCAAAGATAAATAGAAGTACAGTTGTTTTCTTTAAGTTCCCTTTTGTTTTAAACATTTACATTGTACAGTTAAAATTATCAATTCATCTTACTGGTCATTATGGATCTGATTAGACCTTTGGGTGTGATCACTTTTCTCCAACATTTGATAATTAGACTAAAACAACATTAGGGATTAGGGGGTCCTCTTAAGGATTAGCATCCTGATATTTACCAGTAATTCACCTGTTCTTACCAAAATATTGTTAAAGAGGGGTATTTTTAAAGATATATATTAAAACATTAACAAAATATTTTCATTTTTTTTTACAATAATTGGTTTTTCATTTATTTTTTAGAAGTAGTTTCCCAAGATTTTAAAAGTCGATAAAATCTAGCACAGTGATGTACTTTTTTATTTTACTTTGTTTTCATATTTATTTTCTCTATTTTCCATAATAATGTATTGTTGATTACAATGTTGCAATCTTGAATAAAAATAAACATTTCATATTCTGATAGCTATTTTAAAAGCATTTATAATAGCTCGAGTCATTAAACTTAATATATGAATTCTGCTTATTGTCAAAGATGTAGTATATTAAAATTTCTTAGTCAACTTGCATTAATTGTCCAAAGCTTAAGTGACAAATCGAGAATACTTGTATCTCACAATTCACCAAGCCAGTTCCCACAGTTAAACACCCTATAGTTCACAATGTGATTTACCCAATTTGTATTCTGCCTTTTTCGTGGAAAAAGTGGACAGATATACAACTGACACTTCCACCTGCTTAGACAACATGCCAGGAACATAAATTGACTTCGGCTCTTATGATATACAGACAGAACGACTAAGTAGATATATGGTTCTTCGCACTAGAAGATAACAGCTTTCGGCGACTTTCTACGTAAATAAAACTGTGTTGTTGCTCATCGTTTTAGATTTGAACACAAATACAAAAATATATCAAGTAATAGAATAAATTACATAAATGAGGTACAACATTTCTATTGTTCATATTATTTCCATTGTTCATATTATTTTCATTAAAAATTCATTAAAAAAATCATTTTGAGATTATTTCTTGATAAGTTTTTATGAAATTTTCAGTTTGATTTGAATTTTCCTTGTTTATTAATAGAATTTTTTTTGAATAACTTTTTAATTTTGTAATTCAAAACCCGATAAAAATAATTATGTAACAGTTTCTGGTTATATTCGACCAAAAATATATGATAAACCAATTATTGTAAAAATAAAATGGTTTGTTAATGTTTTAATAAATATATCTTTAAACAATATCCCTTTTTACAATATTTTAGTTAACTGATATACCGGTAGGTGAATTACAGGTAAATATCAAGATGCCAATCCTTATGAGGACGCCCTAATCCTTAATGTTGTTTTAGTCTAATTATCAAATGTTGGAGAAACCTGACTAAACCGACCTTTGAAATCTTCTCCCTTTTTTTCTTTCTTCACTTCAGTATCAAAATGTATAAATTTCAATTCAGGGGGTGGATCAAGCCATTCCTAAAAGGGGGGGGGGGGGGGGTCCCAACCCAGGATAAAGGGGGGTTCCAACTATATGTTCCCATTCACAAATGCATTGATCGTCAAAAAAAAAGGGGGGGTTCCAACCCCTGGAACCTTCCCCCCCCCCCTAGATCCGCCACTGCAATTACAAATGTAATTCAAACAATTCCCCTTTAAAAATAATTTTGTTTTGACACTGTTTTATCCTAGTGTAAATTATAGCTATCAAAATAAGAAGATGTTAATTTTTTTAATCCATTAAATACTAATTTCCTGGAAGGATAAATATTTAAGGCATAATGCAATATTTAAATCTAATTTCATTAATCCTTGTTTTGCATGAAAATTAGGTTATTTTAATCAAGGATTTGTATAGTAACTATACAAATCCTTGTTTTAATAAATTGGTGTAAAATATTACAACCAAAAATTAAAAGTGTGAAAGATGAAAAGTAGGGAATGAAGTCCAAATCATGAAAGCTGTGTTAGAGCGACTTATTTCTCGTTGGATAAATGAGGGAGAGGTTAACTAACGAATACCTGCAGAATATGCCAACATTGTTGTTCAAATAACTAACTCTTTTTCAAGAAAAATTTACACATTGTACACTAAAAGAAAAGGTTGTCAGTTGAAGATGCAAGATCAGAAAAATACAAAATACAAAACCCTTGGTTCCAAGTTGAAAATGTGACTCTAAACTGTCATCTGGGAGCCAAAAATAATACGCACAATGAAGGAAGATTTTTGAAAATACACGTTAATCTTTGGTAGCTTAACATGAATTTTGAGTCATAATGCTATATAGTTACTTAGAAAATGACACAGAAACTATGAATTCCAATCATTAGGGATGGAAAAAAAACGAATTTTGGACTGATGATTGCTACCAGGTTACACAGGCAAAAATAAATGAGCAAGTGACATTAGTTTTTAATTTTAATGAAGTATTCTTTATAATGGTGTTATATACTTGAAAAGTACATGAAAACTACAGTTTGCTCCCCCAAATTTTTAATCAGTATCCCAACATAGAGGAAATAAGACTATTTTCATATTACCGACTTTTGACTCCGAATTATATAATTTGTCGACTGGTTACCTTGGACATCATGGTACTCGGTCAAGTAAGAGCAACCAAAATAAGTAAAATCATACATATAATCGGTGTAATTTGAGGGGAAAGTTTACTGTTTTCAGATGATTTTGTAGTGAAAAAAAAAATATTAACCAGGTAATTTTCCCCCTAAATTGTACCGATTGAAAGATTGGTTTTACTTCTTTAGCTTGCTCTTACCTGACTTGGTACCATGATGTCCAAGATAACCAGTCGACAAATTATATAATCCGGAGTCAAAAGTCGGTAATATGAAATTAGTCTATTGTATATCAGCCGAAAATTGTAGAATCTGACAGGGTAAAATAAGTTTTAAAATAAAGCTCCAAGCTTTATCTTTCTTAAAGGGTAATGTTTCTCTGATCCTAAAATAAACTAATGGGTAGGAAGAACATTGAACTGAATAACAAAATAGCAGTTTAATTATTTTATTAATATTTTTTTAAAAGGGGGTGGTGGTTTTAAATGTATATACAAGAAAAATGGTACTTAAAGTAAACAAAAGCACTCAAATTAGCCAAGTGTCAAACAGATTATAAAGCAAAAAACACTATGTGTGCATGCTACGACTTACATTACTGCTAAGTATAGGTAAAACAGTTTTATGGGCTGTAGACTGTACTACGTATGTAGCAAATGCTATACCCACACTTTTTACTGGATTCAATACTTGCATAGCTTCACTTGAAAAAAGAATGTAAAATATTCATGAATCTCACCATTGGATCAAATCTACTCAAACATTTATTTCATTTGAGATCATGATAACAGAAAGAAGAAAGAATTTTCTAATTTTTGTTTTTAATCAGTAATCTTTAATAATGAATTGGGTCATCAAATGTAATTCTAATGTCATCGGTTCATTTCCCAAACATTATACATAAGTTTTTTGTTAAACAATTTTTTACTGATTCTCTTATAAATTTCCCTTTGTTAAAAAAATAACAGCTGCAACTTAAGCTTTAGGTACATTTAGTTTTGGAAACAACTCTTTGAAATCTGTAGCAGAACAAAGGTTTTATCACATTGAAACAATGAAATAGTTCGTTTTATATTTTTAAGCAGGCTTTTGCCTTTTTGCCACCTTTCCTTATATTCACTATAAGCATGACAAGAATAAGAGAAATTTGTATCTGGTTTGTATATACACGTGTAAGTTATGACAAGTGAAAAACTGTTAAAATCAACCTCAACTAACAGTAATGTTAGTCATTCCAAAGATTGCCTGGCGTCAGATATTGATAAATGTTCAGTATAATAAAGGTTGGTCCACATTTTTCTTCATCAAATAACCAGAAAATTTTTTAATCTCCCATGTTTTATTTCAATAAAACATTGTTTGAATGTCTGGACCAGTTAAGACTCATACTTAAAGGACCTAATGTCCAATAAAATTGAAATGAGCTTTGGAATCATTGGTACAAATGCTTTATAACAATGTTAATATATTCATAAAGGCTATTCCAAACTTTAAAATACTGGGTGAAGGAAGGCATGTTTTTAAAGACCCCTGCATATACAATTTTAATTAGAACTTCAAAGTCATTTATATATTGGTTGAAAAGTTGTTCAAACCTTACTACCCCTTTATAGTTAATATTAGGGGCTCATTGCCCCCTCACCCCCACCCTCCTTTTCACACCAAATAATTAATTTTGGAATAGCCCTAAGATTGGGATGCAAAATTCTGTTGAGTTTTGAGTAACTGTAGGCAAATTCATGTGAATTAACAGATGAAAAAAGATAAAATGTGATGAAATGTTAAAAACTTTGGAGGGAATGTATATAAAAACAAGTTTTGGGATAAGCAAAGTCATTCAGGCATATAGTCAAATGATGGATATAAAATTAAACCAATGGTATGCGCAAGTCTGTTCTGTCATTTTGTGATGATGCTGCATGCATAATTAAAATTTTACACATTCATAAATCCTTGTTCATAGCTATATATATATATATATATATAGGCATGGATAAAATATTGCAAGAAGTAATATTAGTGGTGAAGAATTATTTTCATGAATTTGTAAACTGCTAAAATCAGTTATTAAACAGCAAAATCAGTTCCCAATGAAAAACATGAGGGTCTGGATGGGGTTTACAGAATAGAGAATAATGGGTCATTTCTACAGAAAATTAGGCAAAAAAAAATAAAGAATAAAGGAAAATAGACTTAACAAATACAGAATGCAGAATAATTGGATACTAAAATAAGAAGAATAGAGAATAACGAGCAAAAACTATAAAGAGTCGAGAAAAATTACCCAAACAATTAAAGAATACAGAATGAAGGACCCTTAAACATGTAAAAACAAGGGTAAAACTTAATGCCTCCACCGCTACGGCGGGGGAATAAAAATTCAGAAGATTGTGTTGTGGCAAATGTGAAACCACCATATTCAAGAAACAATGTAAAAATTAATTGTCTCCAATCTACAGAGATAGAGAAGCTAAACATTTTTATTAAAAGAGTCCAAGTCATGAGGAAATTTAGGTTATCTATTTAATTAACTTTTAGTCTGAATAATTTACTTACAGCAAAGTACTATCAAAATTGTACATGTATTTTCAGTCTCTTTTTAATCTTTACTTAATTGTTAAGATCTTCAAATAATACATTGTCATGATTGTAGGCGTATTGCTGTTGCATAAAAAAGCACTAATGTTATTTTTAATTTGCTATTAGTGCATCATGCTGTACTTGGCAGAGAATAACAAATTGTCCTTAATCATGTTAATGTATACTAGTATATGTTTGGTCAACCTGCCCATACATTTTAACTGAAAGAACATAGATCTAGGTAGTTTTTGTCGCAAACAAACATAACATACAAGTTCTCAGTAGCTTAAATTTTCTAATGAATTTTTTGTCCAGCCATGAAGTTTTAATTTTAATATTTGAATTGGATGGTGAGACTATCATTTTAGTCTACAAAATGTAGCTAAAGGGGGGGTTCCAACCATATGTCCTCATTCAAATGCATTGGTCGTCCAGAAAAGGGGAGGTTCCAACCCCCAGAACCCCCCTGGATCCGCCACTGCAACAATACTTACCAAAATTAACTTGTAATGTGTATATACTGAGAAAAAAAATAATTTTCATGGATTCATGATTTTGTGGTTTGACAAATTCTGCATTCAAACCTATAGATATTTTATCCTACTTGTTGCTCTTAAAAATTAATGTTTGAAAACTTCCTACAATATCGTTTTAATCATTAAGGTGGTACCAAACAACTGGACTAAAATTAATTTGGCTCGTTTAATTTTCATAAAATTTTTACAAAATATTTACTTTGACCCTTTGACAAAAATATAAAAATTTCAAAAAACTTGAACCACACACTTTATCAGAAAAATTTCATTGGATATATAGTAGTTTGACAAACACTAATTTTTATCATTGAGAAGCTTAATATTTCCTTACAATAGAACGTGATTAAAACGTTCAGCTGATTTTTACAGATTTATCTCCCTGTAGTGTTATGTACCACCTTAATGACTTAATAATCTACAACAAGATGTCAGGTACAAAAAATGTAGCTTGGTTACTTCATATTGTACATGTGTAAGCAATGTTTTAACATAAATTTACATTTTCTTTCAAGGACATACAACTAAAAGTACTTGCAACATGAGAAATTGAGGTGATAAAAAGGATAATCTAACAATGTTTTATCTACTTGCATTTACGAGAGAAACCAATGCCTCCTCTTAGAAGGCTGTTCTTTGAAGGAAAATTTCTAAACTTAAAAAATATTTGGCTCTCACCAGTATCTGGAAATCCTACACCTATCTTTGTCTTATGTTTCTGCATGTACAAGTAATTACAGCATAGAGTAAGGCCAAAAAAAAATATGTGTGTTTACGGTCACCCAACCGACCCTCATTTTATCGCCACGACCCTAACTTTTTTTATTGGCAATTTTCTGAAATTTCGGAAATTCCAGCCTTTTCCGTCATGGATACCAGTATTTACCGTATTAAACAACAATGGCGACCTCCAGTGCCAGAAAACTAGCGGATAGACAAGCCATTATAGTGTCTTCTGTTACTCCGTATGTAGCTAATTGTGTCGAGAAACTACAATTGAACTCCCTGCCACCTTATAATAAAAAAAAAAAAATCCGACCTACTGACCCTATTTTTTTTCAGCATGTGACAGTAAACTCACATATTTTATTTTTTTTTGGCCTATGGCAAACATATCTATCTTTTTCATCTGAAAGATAGATTGTTTGATTTTTGGTGTTTAACACCACTTTCAACACTTGAGTATATCATTGGGCCAATTTTTTTTTTTATTGGTGGAGAAAAGCAGTAGAAACACTGATCAATTGGGTGTCAAACTGGCATTCATAGTCAATTAAGATTGGAGTCAAAACCACATTGCCACAAACAGGGTTCAAACTTAAAACAGCAGTGTTGATGGCTGTAGATGAGTTACTTTGACCACTCTGCCATCAAGGCCTGTTCAACTGAAAGAAGGGTACACTTAAAATACCATAAAATAACAGAAGTGTAACAGTAGAGTATGATTTTTCGTCCAGAATTTTCAGGAATCTATATAATCATCTGTGGTATCAAGTCCTTTACCTCATTCAGTTGATAGTGCAGTGGCTTACTGTACCAGAGATTTAGGACTAAGGATGGGGTTGTTCTCTGTGGACCAATGGTAATTTTGGAAGAGAGTCCTGCGCTTTCCAACACTACTATTGTACCCCAAAGAACAACCACACTCTTATTCCTAAGGGAGCTATCAGTTGATTTTTATGGGGGGGGGGGGGGGGGGGGGGGAGAGGCTAGGATGAAATTTGAAAAAAAAGGCAGGACAGGAGTTTTGAGGTAAAAAAAAAGGCAGGATGAGCAACTTGGCAAAAAAAAAATTAGGATAAGCTAATAAAAAACAAGCATTCTGTGAGTATTGCATGGCAATACATAGTCCCCTACCGGTTAAAAATTAATTGTGCATGTAATGGAATGAAATTCTAACTTGATCTATAATTTTTCATGGTGTAAACTACATAAAAATATGAAGTCAAAATCCTCACGCATGATGAATAAAATGCTTCGCTGGGGCGCAGCTTGATACGACCGCAGAGGTCGAACCCTGAACAGTTGGGGCAAGTATGGACACAACATTCAAGCTTGATACAGCTCTGAATTTGGATTGTTATTAAATATTTGACACAGCATAGGTTTCTGACACAGAAAGAATGTGGTCTAAGAACTTGAATTTTTTTAATTTACCTATTATGGTCCAATGTCCAAAATCAAAATACATGGTTAGATTCAGCATATCAAAGAACCCCATATATTCAATTTTTGTTAAAATCAAACAAAGTTTAATTTTGGACCCCAACTTGGACAAACTTGAAAACTGGGCCCATAATCAAAAATCTAAACACATGTTTAGATTCAGCATATCAAAGAACCCCAAGAATTCAATTTTTGCTAAAATCAAACTAAGTTTAATTTTGGACCCTTTGGACCTTAATGTAGACCAATTTAAAAAACGGGACTTAAAATTAAAAATCTAAATACACGGTTAGATTTGGAATATCAAAGAACCCCAATAATTCAATTTTTGATGAAATCAAACAAAGTTTAATTTTGGACCCTTTTGACCTCAATATGAAGCAATTTGATAGCGGGGCCCACAAATAAAAAATCTAAATTCATG